TTCTCGTGCCGCACGTCGCGCACCTGGTCCATCAGCATGCACAGCAACGTGTTCGATACCGTGGTGTCCACCGCCTCCTCCTTGCTCTTGTGTTGTGTTGCAAAAGATGATGGTGATGTTGTAAAAGATGAAGTGGGTGTGGCGAAAGATGAAGATGAAGAGGTAGAAGATGAAGAAGAGAAAGAAGAAGAAGATGAAGGGGGCGAAGAAGAGGAAGTCGTGGGTGGTGACGGTCCGCGAGGCAGAAGCGCTCCGGGGACGAAGGTGAGGGCTGACAGTGGGGGCGGGGGGAAACTACCGCCGGCTGCGCGCTTTGCGGGGCGGGTGGTGGCGGGGGTGTCCACGCCCAGGCCGCGCTCGTGGTTGGGTCTTCGCCCGCGCTTGCGGGTGGGCGACGGCTGGCACGCCTCCTCCTTGCCCGACAGCACGCACCTCCCGCACGGTTGCTTTCTGCCCCCGAGCCGACCCCATCATAAATCTAAATGTACAAAAGATGTGGAGATGTATGCAAAGAGGTATACCTATCGCATTGGGTATGGGCTTGCCGGCACGGGGTACACACCAGCCCCTGGCCTGAGTTGTGGCTCGTCATCCGTTTTGCTTTATCTTCGAACGTTTAAACTGAATAGATTTATGTTTTATTTATATTCTCATACGCGGGCCTTTTTTATTCTCTCGGGGTTTTAACTGGCCAACCAATCAGAAGATTTAGGCCATCAGGAGTAGAGATCATCATCGTCTTCGTGGGAGAAGGCGGCGGACAGGCTCGGGTCAGTCGAGGATGGGAGGAAGGCGTATGGCGTGGGGAGGGAGAACGGCGGCCCGATGTGTTGGTGGTGGTGCGGACAGAGCTGGCCGTCGCGCCGCGTGCCGTCCCGATTCCACAGCTCCGGCCCGTTGCAGTAGCCGCCCCAGCCCTGCAGGTACTGGTCGTTCAACTGACGGACGCGATAGAGGGTCAGCATCTTGCCGCTGTGCATTGTGTGCGTCGAGTGTCGTGTGTGTCGTGTGTGTACCCAACAAGGATCGAAACGCTTGATGGCGGCTACTTTTTCGGCCGTGTTCTCCGCCCTTATAGAGTGCAGCACGGTCTGGAGGCTGAGCCTGACCGCCTGTGCCCGCAATGAGTGAGTGGTCAGGTCTACAGAGCAGAGAGAAGGTTCAGGAAGTAGGAAGAGTACGTCGTCGCAGATCTGGATGAGGTCTGTGACGCTGAAACCCTCCGTCTTGAAGGTCATCTCAAGCAGTTGCCTGTTGCCAACGGAAATGTCACGTTGTTCTGTGGGCGAGGAAACAACAAAGGTCAATACGTGAACCTATGTATCGCATTGCGTCACGGTGTACCGAGGGCCTCTCTCAAGATCGTCCGCCGTGTGCTGAGGTCAGGCAGCCCGATGTGGACCCAGTTCTTCATCCTGCGATACTGAGACAGACATGAGCACCCGGCCGAAATGGACGAAGAAGGGCCACACTCCAAGTACCAGCGCCGCTGAGGTGCGTTGAGGCTCGCTCGTCTCTCCAATGATAAACACTGGTGGCTCTCGGAAGGGCAGACCGTCGATCTCGGTCATGGCCTGGTTCTCGGACCTCCTGTGGGACGTAGCTAACGATCAGGAGCGGCCCACCAACCAAAGCCATTAGCGGCAAACGTACGCTGCGAACTTGGAGGTGGCCGATAACGCGTCAAAGTTGTGCAGTAGGATGATGCAGGGCCGGTGCTTCCTCGCCAAGTTAAACACGTCACGCAGCAGAGTTGAACCGAGCTCCACACCAAACTCTTCCTCCAGTCCCTGAATACGTGGGCACTGTTGAGGCAACATTGCGCGACGTCAGCATTGATGAGCGTCAGCACAGGAGGAAGACTCTGCGCAGTCTCTCGGTGAGCAAGCTACGTACCTCGAATTGCAAGAGGGGCAGCTCGAGCTCTGCCGCCAGGTAGCGGACGAGGGTGGTCTTGCCGCAACCCCTCGGCCCATAGACAACAATGTGATCAAGCACCGAGGACTGTTGATAATCTCTCTGGTTGGGTAAACGTGTGAGTGTGCACGTTGTCAACGTGAACACCGAAGAGTCAATGGGATGACGTACAGCCTTGAGGGAGGACAGCAGTTCCACGGCGGCAGCTTGCATCTCTTTCCATGGCCTCTGCAAGTAGAGCGGCATGTTGCTGCTCTCCTCGATGTACTTGCGGTCGAGTTGCGTAGAGTCTGCGTTGAGGTGGCGTTGGAACTGCTTCAACTGCTCCTCTTCCTTGGCTTGCGTCCTGGCACCCCACTCCTGGAGCTCCGCGGCCGATCGCGCTCGCGACCCTCCACCGAACCAGACGCGAGCCTGCCTGAGCAAGTTGGCGATGAGCCTCTTCCTAAAGTCCACTGGCTCCTGCGCGCTCCTGGCCAGAGGCCTCAAGGCCTGCCACGTACACCCCCACATCTCCCTGCCGGACGCAAGTGTACTGAGAATCAAACAACGCCAGATGTTGATAGGTGCTGGTGGTGTAGTGGCCTACGTACTTGCACTGTTGGTGGGCGATGATCCAGCAGGCCTCGCGTAGCCCGCACCTGGGCCGGTGAGGGTCTTTGCGAGGACGCAGGTACAGACTCAGAGGCGGAGGGGGCGCTGCAGCTGTGGTGCTGAGGGACTGGAGCAGGAGCTGGTGCAGGTTGCAGTCCTGCAGCAGGTCGCGCCACAAGCGGCACACGGAGGCCAGACGTAGGCGACCAACTAGCATGTCCAGCGGGTCGTACACCGCCCCCGAGCCCAGGGCCGCGGCAGTCCCGGGTGTGGCCAGCACCAAGATAGCCTCCACGAGCTCGTTGGGCACAGTATTCATCTTTGTTTGCTCCTTTGCCTCACCTACAGCTGCCAACAGCGCTGGTGGGCTGACACGTAGACAACCCAAGAAAAGACAGAAGAAAAGAAGATCGAGAAGAAAAGAAACAGCCGTGCTTGGCTAGCTCTCCAAGCCCCTGGCCTACGCCCGAACAGGGAAGTTCCACAACTTGATTACCTTGTCCCACCCACCGCTGGTCAGCCTCCCCGTCGCCGCCAACGCGAGGCATACCACATCCTGGAGAAAACGACGAACGTTACGTCAGCTTCGCCTTCGCACACTACTCGTAGTGCACCAGCCACGGGAAGTGGCGGTGTGCGCGTACCTTGGCATGAGCGTCATGTATGGTGTGCACGAGCGCTCCGCTGTGTACGTGCCACAGTCGGATCGACTTGTCGGCGGAGCCCGAAGCGAGGAAGCCTTCGGTGAGGGCCTGCAGGGTGCGCACGGTGCCCTGGTGGCCCTCCAGCACGCGCACGCACACCTCCTTGTCGACATCCCACACTCGAAGCATCATGTCCTGCGACCCGCTCACCAGCCGGCCTGAAAGTCCAAGTCGGCACCCAGAGGGAGGTGTCGCATTTGAGAAGGGAGGTTTGCGATCGCACCAGACACAGAAAGGAGTACCATCGAGCAGCACGGCGATGCACTCGACGGGCTTGTCGTGCCCGCCAAGCCGACCCGTACACCGCATGTGGCCTCGGCTGGCATCGCCAGCCCACACGCGGATGACCTGATCGTCGCCACCCGAAACGATTCTACCGTCAGGTAGTACGCCCAATGCACGCACTTTGCCCTGTGCGGTGTGTGTGCGTGTGTGTGGTGTGGTGTGTGGTGTGTGGTGTGGTGTGTGGTGTGTGGTGTGTGTTTGTGTGTGGTCGTGCGTGCGTGCGTGCATGCGTGAGAGAGATCCACAGTAAGCAGGTATCAAGCAACGCGTGCAAGCACAATGCGAGATCTCACCTGGTGGTCGGCCAGTGTGGCGATGCATGTGCCAGTGTCGGGATCCCAGAGCCTGATGGAGGAGTCCCACGACGCCGACACCAGCACCCCGTCAGGCAGCACCGCCAGCCGGAACACCGCGTCTTTGTGGCCCTATGAGGAGAAAAAAAGAAACACCACCAGTTGGAAGAATGAGGTCAGTCACCACCATTTCTCCAACAACAGCTGAGACGGATACGCACGTGGAAGGAGGCCTGGTGTTTGCCGGTCTTGATTGCGTACAGGTGGATGGCGCCGTCCCACGACCCCGACGCCAGGCACAACACTCCCTTGCGCATCACCACTGAATTCAACGAGTGAGAAATGCCATTGCCCACATGGCTTGTTGGGTGGTACTTGAGACTCACCTTGAAGAGACCACACGGACTTGGAGCGCGTCTTGATCGTCTCTGGCCGCACCTTGGGCCTCCGCGGGTCCCACACGAGGATGCTCGCGTTGTCGGTGCCGCTGGCCAGCATTCCTAATGTAGACACACACGGCGACAAAAAGTCGGCCACAAGCGGAAGTGCTGGGAACGCCTGAATTTGCGAAGCGTACCATTGGGCAGAGCACAGAGCACGTTGACTTCGCCCTGGTGCGCTTCGAGTCGCGCGGCAAGTGGGGCGCCACCACCCAACAGCTGCCGCCGGGCGCTCTCGGGACTCACCGCCACATGTGAAGCGGCCTGTCCACCACCAACCCACAAACTCACCCGTTGGTGACCTGTCGACAACACACAATCAGGTCTTCGATTAGCGTACCTCGAGGGAGCTGATGGCCAACTCGTAATCCGATTCGGTCCCGTGGAGACCTTGGACCTGCGTCTCTGCCTCCTCCGATCCGGCTGACCAACCCGCCAGACCGCCGTCGTTGGCCTCTCTCTCTGCTTCCGCGTCCGTTTCCTGGTCTTTCGAGTCCTTTGTCGAAGCGCCATCTTGCATGGCTTCGTTGGGCTCATCAGTTTGGTCGCTCAGGTTCGCCTCGCTCCACTCTTCGCCTTCGTGACTATCTCCACTGACTTCCTTTCGCCTTTCCTGTTGGAGGGCTTGCATGTAGTGTTCGATCCACTTGCGCTGCTCGCTCTGCTTCTTGCTTAGCTGCTCGTCGTTACTCACATCTATCTGCCGCTTCCCCTTCTCATCGGCCTCGTCATCGCCATCGTGGATCTCCTCCTCCTCCTCCTCCAGCGCATGTCTTCTCTGCTGCAGGAATCGTTCCATGCAGAGGATGATGTCCGTCTTCGAGCACCGGTCCGACATGGCCATGTCCCTGATGGACTGGAGGCGCGGCGTTGAAATTGAAGTGGCGGACATTAGGGACTGACAATTGGTTGGCACCACCACCACGACAACACATAGGCCAAGTTTTGGAGCGTACCTGCGTGAGTATGGTCTTGCTCGACGAATTCGATGCGTCGAGCTCTCGCCTACGGTGGATCTGGGCGGTGGTCCGCAGTGATTCGAAGGTGCGGGGCGAGGGCGAAGTGCTGTTCGGGGTCATCGACCGAGCCGCCGGCGCGGTGGAGGCCATCGCGGCCCGGCGCTTGGCCTCGTTGGCGTGGTAGCGCGTCTTCGCTAGGGCGTCGTAGTTGCTCGTCTCGGGGCACACCTTGCGCATGATCTCCGCCAACCGGGCGACCACCTCCGAACATGGAGGCCTCCGTTCTGCTCAGCCAACACCTTCCACGTCAGCACACCCACTGAACCCGGTGTAAACGCACCACAAACACAACACGGCACAGAAGAAGCCGGTGATACCGGGGTCCTGAGCCCAACAGTCTTGGATCAGCTGACGGTAGGCGGGCACACAGTGTTGAGGAATCGGCGGCCGCTCTCCAGCAAGCACCTGCGCCACACGTGGAGTAAGACTGTGCGGAAAGTGAACTCAATGGAGAACTGAAACCCGTTGCATTGCAACGACATTGAACCTTGTCTTCGATTTGCTGCATGAACGCGAGTTCGCCGAAGAAGCTGTCGCGGGTGAGCAGCTCCCACAATATGACCCCGAGGCTATACACGTCGGCCTTCTCCGTATAAATCTTGTTTGCCAGCACTTCCGGCGCCAGCCAGACTGTACACGCAGAGAATGCGTAGCGCCGGTGTGAATATGCGCAAAGCACACAACAGCCATGCCACAGGATACGGGGTACGTACTGGGGCAGTCAACTCGTCGACCGGCCGTGTGGTGCGCCGCGCTAAGGGACACCCCGAAATCGCATACCTTCGCCACGACCTCGGCGTCAGGCGACAGATCGGCCAACTGGTTGCCAGATCCGAACGTGTTAACGGTTGCGCCGCATCGAGTGTGTGCGGCCGTATGACGGAGATTTTGGCGGGGAGGGTACAAGGATGTTGGGAGACTTGAGGTCGCGGTGCATCACCGGCGGCGACGTGCTGTGCAGGAACGCGCACCCCTTGGCTGTGTGCACGTAGGCAATTGTTTGTTTTGTTGAGGTCAGACGACGCTTCGTGTGGGTTGCTTGGGTTGAGATGGAGGTTAGGGTACGCGTACCGACATCCTTGGCGATCTTGAGGCGCAGAGGCCAGTCCAGGGGCTTGGCTCGGTCGGCGAGAAACTCCAGCAGTGTGCCGGCACCCACGAACTCAGTCACGATGCACGCCGGCTCCGTACAGAAGCCCCGAAGTGCGACCAGATTCGGGTGGGCCAGGCCGCTCATGATCCACACCTCGTGGCGGAATTCCTCATACGTGCGCCTCTGCGCGTCTGCTTGACCGTCTCCACCGCCCGGCGTGGACCACGGGTCGATCGCCGCGTCGTCGGCGCCAGACTTGAGCTGCTTGATGGCCACCACTTCGCCCCGGTAGGTGCCCCTATACACCGTGGCGTAGCCGCCCTCGCCGATGGCCGGCTCGTGCTTTTCGAGCTCCCCGAAGGCGATCTTGTGGCCGTCGAGGTGGGCCATGGCCAAATCGGGTGCGGCCGCGTCCAGTCGGATGGGCGTTGCCTCGCTATCCTTGAGCCCTGTTGGGACGGTGCGCGCCATAGATGTCAGTGCTACGTCACCGCCAGTGCTCTGGACGAAGGGAGGGGCAAACCGCCTATCCGGCAATAGAGAAACGAGTCGTTGGGGGTGATCGCAGCTGTCTGACACTCCTCGAAGGTGAACATGTACGGCGCGACATTGAGGCCGCCGCGCCCCAGACAATGCGGACACGGAACTTCCACTCGGGCCTGCGGCGAAACCGCAAATCAAAACCAAAAAACGAATGGTCTGGACAAGGGTCGTACCTCGAGATTGTACCACTCCTTGACGAGCGACTCGATGGCGGCGAATATGAGCCAACACAAGCTGGACATCTCCTCCCCGCGCAACCCAGTGCGCACCAGCAGGCTCAACTGATTCGCCTCGGGCTGAAGCTCCACCAACATCTGCTCACTGCCAGAGCGACGCGGTCATTATCATTTGGCGCGAAGTGGACCAAGTGAGTCGTGGAGTAGGTACTTGGCAAAGCGAGCGAGCATGCCGTGGCGCCACAGCACCTGCGCGGCCAACGGAAAGCCCAGCAGCCGGATGATCAGGCGGCCCATGAACCCGCGCGGCACAAAATCGAAGCGGTACGTGCGCCCGAAGACGTGTTCCTCCGCCCCTACCACACCACCATCCAGGCCACCACATACCACCACCATCACATACAGCCACCACTCCACGTCAGCTTCGCACGTGCGCCTTCGCAGGAACGAAGGAGGTGAATGGACGAACGAATGAACGAAGGCCACAGGTGGGTCAGCCGTGCGGGTCGCTCTTCGGGCAAGAGGGCGGGCACCAGAGACGACTGACGGTCGGCCACCGCCACGCTGCCCCCCTCGCCTTCCTCGTCCTCGTCCATTAGCCCTGGCGCCATTGCCCAGGTTACTACTGTTCATGATGATCGTGTTGTGTGTGTGTGTGTGGGTGTGTGTGTGTGTGTGTGTGAGAGAGAGAGAGAGAGAGAGAAGAGAGCTATACCGAGCTTGTGGACATGTTCCTGGACAGGAAAGGTGACTTCGAAGCGCTCCAGCAGCGACATCAAAAAGCCGTGCAGCTCTGGCGGGTAGGTGGGCGCCTTCCATATGTGCGGCAGCGAGGAGTGGGCGATCACCCCGTTCCTGGACAAACGGTAAAACACAGTGAACTTACAACGCAATGAATCGGCTGTGATGCGGCGCGAGAAGTACCTGCAGAAGTTGTGCTTGGTGGAGACCACTGTCGAGAGCATGTCCATCAGCCACTGCGGGTCCAAGATTACCACGTCGTGCAACTGACCGAGCGAGCCCAATACGTAAAAGAAATAGATCAGTCACAATATCTTGCAAATGCGAACAAGGTGGCGCAGCGAAGCAGGGAACCAACCTTCTCGTCTTTGTCGAAGTGGACGAGTGAGCCCAGGTTGTGGAGGAACGCGGTCGCTGTGCGCAGATCGCGCTCGTCGTAGATGAGGCTCAGGCGCGCCAGGTTACTGTAGGCCTGCCACGAGAGCACCGGCGGAGTCCGGCTCTTGGCATGCATCGCCAACGCTTTCTCGAGCGCGAGGTAGCTCGATGGTAGCGGACGGCCCATAAAATCCTTTGCACAGGCCATGTGTGTGTCATGTTGTTGTGTGAAAGAACGTCACACGGTTCTGGGGCGTACCTGCTTCGCGATGATTTCCCGGATGCCACCGAGCAGCTGGTCGATGTTCTTGCCGGAGACGGCACTGACAAAGTGCACACCCGCCATGTTGGGGTACTTGAACCGGAACTTCTGCAGAAGCTCGGTTTTCAACCTGCCCAGGAATTCCTCGGTGCATTCCTCGCTCTCGGCGTGCGTGCCCACGAGCAACACGGGCGAACCTTTGACCGCCGTCTTCACCGATTGCAGCCTGGGGCGCGCGAATGCTGAGTGGTCACCATGAAACTTGCTCACAAGCTGTACTGAGCAGTACCAGTATTCGATGCGCGAATGGACAGGCGACAAGGCATTGAATACGACCAGAAACAGTGAACGCTCCGATAAGAAGAACTGATGCGTCGCATAGTAGATCTCCTGGCCTGCGAGTTACACAAAGCCCATGAGGTTCGTGTGATTAGAATAGCACAAAGATAAGGCAGCGAACCGGCAAAGTCCCAGGCAGAGAGCTCGACGGCGGCGGCGCGGTTACTCCACACCGAGCCCATAGGCAGAGTCCAGCCGCTGATGTCGATTCCATCGGTCGACACCGGCGCTGCTTGTTGCGCTATAACGAAAAATGATAGATGTGAGCCGACGTGTCTTCAGGCAAGCTGCGAAGGTGCATCACAAAGATGGACGGGCGGGTGATGAGCGTACGGCTGATCTGTGAGGCTGGCGCAACTCGAAGCGAACCTGTGGACCCAGATTTGGCAATTGGCTGGCCGTCACGCTGCAACGCGCGAAGCAGGGACGTTTTCCTATTTCATGGCGGAACGAATTGGTTAGTTTGTTTTGAAGGTACGATGCAAAGAACAACGTACCCCACGTTCTCGTGGCCGACGAACATGAGCTTCATCCGGTAGCAGGGCTCTTGGCCCTTCAGCAGCTGCCCCAGATACGTCACTATGCTTTCCGAGCCCAAGGCCACAACCTCCCCCGGCGGAGACCTGGTCACACACGGGCACGCGACACGGTACGCTGGTCAATCACACGTTAATGGAATGTGCAAGGTCCAAGCGAAAACCTGAGGCGTCGGCTCTGTGTTCCTACGGCGAGGCGCTCCAGCTGCGTGAGGCTGCCAAGCTGGGCGGGCAGCTCCACGATCGCATTCTCCTCGACGGCCAGCACGCGCAGACGCGTGAGCTTGGCCAGCTCCGTGGGCAGGGCGTCGAGCTGGTTGTGGGTGAGGTCGAGCTCCTCGAGCGAGCGGGCCATGCGGCCGACGTCGGGCGGTAGCGACGCCAGCTGGTTGTGCGAGAGCAGCAGCGTGTTCATGCAGCTCCACTCCGCGAAGCAACCCGCCGGCAGGGACAACAGGTAGTTGTTGCGCAAGTCGAGGTGGCGCAGTTGGGTCAGGCGCACCAGAGGCGCCAAGCGATGATCCTTGTCTGTAGGCATTCGTTGATTACAAATAGAAACAATAAAAATATTAGTTTTCATTAAACCCAATAAAAGTAGAACATTATCTTTCATCGTACCTGGTGCTTCACCAGTCCTGGCTGCGAGGCAATTCCTGTTGGTAAGAAACAGTGAAAAATCGTAACCACATTACACTCGAGAGCGCTAAGCAAGTGCGGAAGTACCGGGCACGAAGTTCTTCGAGGTGGCAGAGGTCGGCCATGTCATCAGGCAACGCCGTGAGCACGTTGGCCGACAGAGTGAGCACCCTCAGGCGGCTACAGGAGGCGATTCCAGCCGGCAGGGCCGACAGCGCGTTGTGCGCCACGTCCAGCACTTCGAGGCCCGGTAGGGAGGAAAAGAAGTCTGCCGGCAACGCCGCTAGCCCATTACCAGCCAGCTTAAGGTTGGTGAGCGACGGCAGTCGCAGGATTCCCTCGTGAATAGCTCGTTGCCCTGTAATTAATAAGTGTTACTATGCAACCTGACTGTAATCACAATGGAATTGGTGACGCACCCTGAATGATGGCGAACTTGTTGTGTGATAAATTGAGCACGCGGAGGTTGGTCAGCAAAGAGATGTGCTTGGGCAGCCGCTCGATGACATTGTGGGCGACGTTGAGCGATGTGAGCGTCACCGGCAGCTGCTCCAGGCACCACAGCCGATTGTAGCCGAGGTTCAGCTCGGTCAAATTGGGCCAGGCGCCGCCACCATGCTCAGCCGGCTGCCTCGATGACGAAGCGAAGTCGCGCTGTTGCGCGAAGGTGGCGATCAGATTGTGGGAGAGGTCGAGCGCGCGCACGGAGGTGAGGTGGTGCAGGCTAGTCGACACAGAGGCCAGGAAGTTGTTGGCGAGGCTGAGCGACCCGCGCGGCGGTAGACCGAGCAGCACGCTATCCGGTACGGCGCACAGGGACAGGTTGCCCAGATTCAGAGCATCCGCCTCGGCGCGCACTGCTTTAGGTCATCGATTGTGGCGTGAGTTGAAACCGCATACAAAAACGTGCAGAAGAATGCTGGAATACGGACCGAGTTCATGGGTTGCGCTCGCCCCCGCCACCCATCGCAGATAATACTCTGCGCGTGCTTGATAAATGAAATGCTGATAAAGTTGGCTGAGCGTGAGCGGGGGACGAACCGGTCCAGAGGGTGACCTGGGCCGGGTGGACAGCCAACTTGGTCACACGGGCCTTCGCATCATAGGCGGAGTTCAAGAAGTCGGACTTGTGGGCAAAAATGTAGGCCCAGACTGACACAGTATCGCCAAGTCCTCCTGAGGTGCCTATGAGCAACCACCGAGATATGCACGCGCCAGGCAAGGCTGAGGTACCTCGGGTTCGGTCCTGATGGGAGTCAGCCAGGAATGAGCCGAACCGGCACGTGTAGAGTGAGTCTAGCAGGAACACCAGCAGGGACGGGCCGAATTCGAACTGGCTGGGCCACTGCACCCACAGCTGCCACACTGCACGATGTCGAGGGAAGAAGTGGTGAGCCCGAGGCTCCTGAAGCGAAGAATGGACCAAAGGGAGGGGTACCAGCGTCTATGAATTGCAGAAAGAGGAAAGATTGCTGGGTGGCCTGATATTTGGCTTGCCGGCTCTGGCCCCACTCGAAGCCTAGAAGAACATGAACAAACAGTAAGAGTTGCAGTCACTCACTTCTAACGACGACAAGTTGAGGCCATGGGTACCGAAGGCCATCCACTCTTTCTCGAGCAGCGCGCAAAAGCCTTCCACTGTGCGACAGTGTGCGTCGAGACAAATCTGGGCTAGGCTCACCACTTGCGGTACCGATTCCCCTCCCCGCTGATTCAGCACCACCACCTTTGCAGATAACTATGTGAGGCTGTGTGTGTGTGCTAGTGTGTGAAAACTGCGTGTGCTTCGTACCGGGTTGCCGAGCTGTAACCGCGTAACTACCGAATCAGTGACGGCAAAGAGTTGGCCTATGCCGGAAAGCCACCCAGCCGAATAGACTGCGCGTCGCCACTCCCTCGCGCGTTCGGGCTTCGCGGTGAAGAGATGCTTGTCGAAGGATGACACCAACCGAACCAGCCGCGCCAGACTCTCGCCCACCGCTTCCGGGGACATAAGCTTGACTGCCCGCTTCTGTATCTGGCCCTCCACTTCACATCAAAGCCGATCGAGTTAGCAAATTGATCACTCTCTTAAGAAGCTCAAAAGCTTTACCTGTTTCGATTCGTTCAACTTGGTCGTCTTCTTCTCAAGTACCATTCACTCACTTTAGTCATCAGCACATGGTAGATAATGCGCAAAGAGAAGAAGCTGTACCGGATTCGTCTTGCTTGGCTTGGCTGGTCCGAAGCCGTTTCCTGGGAGGTGATGTGTCGACAACGAGTACGGAACCGGCCTGGCGGTGGAGCATCAGCACGTGTTGCATCATGCTGCGCTGGCCACGGGCCGAGCTGAGCTTGGGCGATCGAGATTCGGAGTCGAAGCTGATGAGCCGCGCTCCCTTGGCGCTCGCCTCGTCGCTCGGTCGCCGTTCCTTGCAAGCGCGCAGCAGGCACGCTTCTGACATGGGGTGGCGCCAGCACAGGGCTAGCGTCCATCGCTGCCATTTCTGCTGCGATCTCCACAGCGCATCAATTTCATCTGTCCCACAGCTATGAGAAACGATCTCAGGCGAAACGAAAGCATCGCCCGGGTAATACCATCGCTGATGGCTTCGGGCACGACGAATTGGTTCGGAAAGCTGGAAATCCGAAAGTCAGCGTTGAGGTGAGTGATGCGCCAGTGCCTGGCGGGAATCTGCAGCCGCTCGAACTCCATTCGCACGTCGTACAGATAAAAGCCCGCCGCGTTTGCTGTCGCCGCAAACCGCTCTTGGTTCTTGAATGCGAACACATCACTGCAGGAACACACAGAAGCACCGCGTTCATTAGATCTTCCTAAAAACCAATGAATTATGAGCTGCAAATGTACTAGATGTGCTCGGGGCACGCATGCTGCTTGAGCAGAGTCACCAGCGCCTTGTGATGGTCGGACTGGACGAGAAAGAACGATAAGCAGCGAAAGTCCTTGCAGGTCAGCGCGAAGCCCGGCAGCCCGCGCTCATCGTGGCGCGTCGTCTTCATTTTCATCACCAGCCCCAGGGGCAGGCTTTCGTTCTTCTCCTGCTCATCACACTCTCTGTGAGCAGACTTCGGCCCAAGTGCAGTGTGGAGTCGGTGCGCGCACCTTGGTCATGAAGATGAGGCGGTAGTTGGTGAACCACAGCTTGGCCTCCCGGCAGTCACGCAGGGAGTGGTGCGTGTAGAGCACGTCCTCGCCACCCGCGCCGCTTGCGAACAGGAGCAGCTCTCCCGCAATTGGCGAACCCTCTGCACGCACATTGTTCGAGCCAGGGTCAGACCTCCCAAATCAGCCCGTCAGTCGCTGGCGCGCTTGCGGGTACCGTCGGGGAGCTTCTGTGTGTCGGCTTTCGGTTGGATGGACGCCGACGCAATGGTGGGCGTTGAGATCGGAGGTGGTTGTGGCTCCAGCCCACGCAGCGGTTGGTGCAGCGCATGCGCGCTGCGGCAGGAGACGGGGGCGAGAGGCGCCGCGTCGCTGGCGAAGGAGAAGCTCGCCGTCGGCGCCTGCGCGCGAGTCCGGAGGATTGCGTCGGTCCACTGCTTGGCCGTTGACTCCGAGTCGGCCGCCAGCACGTAGACTCGGCCCTCGGTCACCAACTCAAATGTCACCCGCCGCTGTTGCTTGCGCTTGGTGCCTGCAGTCGCATCCAGGCGCACGGCCTCCACTCGCGCCAGCCGTATCGACCCCAGCACCGGTGTATCTACGATTGCAAATATTTTATGGAATATAAGTATATTTTTGTAATTTGTGATAAGTGTGGGGAAAGGGGGGCACTGATGTGTACCTGGCCGCTTGCGGTAGGTGAGGGTGGTGTGGGTGAGGCGGAAGTGCCGCGTTTGCCACCGCTTGACGAGGGCCTTATTGGGGGAGTGCTTCTCCAGCCACCCAACCATAACCGCGGGCGCTTCGGCCACTGCTTCCTCGTCCATTGGTGCAGATATTGTCTATGCTGATGGGCGTGCAGCGACATCGTGTTGCTTGCTCCCTTAGTTTGCAACCGGTCGAGTGCCAGGAACATGTACAGCAAGCCGAGGCCGCCCAAGCGGAGCTTTTTTTCCATTTGGTTTCGTTTTGTAATTTGAAACGAAAAGAAACGAAACGAAACCTGTGCCCGCAAAATACTGGAAAAGACAAGAAGCCCTTGATGACGAACACGGGGCCGGGCGAGCACCAGGCAAGCCAAGAGAGAGCAGTGATGCATGGCGAGGATGCCGTCGGGCAACCATCACGCGCTGTTCCCGAGCAGGCCTGCTCCGGATGCCGCCAAGCACACGCCCTTTGCGATAGGTGCCTTGCACCCTTCCCAACATCATTCTCTCCCTTTTTTTTATATATATATTTCGTCCTTCCTGCCTGAAAAGGATCAAAGTATTATTCATAATTTCCTTGTTTTTTTATCAATATTTATTTATGCAGGAAGAAGCCGTGCGGGCGGTGCGTGCAGCTGGGCAAGGCCGATACCTGCCACCCCAGCCCCGCACGCAAGCGGGGCCGACCACCCAAGGCGCGCTCACTCGACCAAACCGGAGACCAGCAGAACGTACCCCCAACCGCCTGGCGCCCGATCACCATAGCCCAACAGCCCACACTGCCTGGTTCGCACCTCTTCACGCCCATGGCGGTGAGTCCCCGCGTCCACTCGCCGTCATCGGCCCCACTCGGGCCTCGCCTCGCCGCCGCACCACCGCTGGTGCCTCGGCCATCAGTAGCAGCTGATCGCCACGATACCTCGTCACCCTCCTCAGAAGAGGACGCCAGCAAGCGACCAAAGAAGGCACGCACCACGCACTTTGCCGCCCGCTCGAACGACGTGATCACTAACACGCACACATACACATCGCACACACCGCGCCACACACGCGCTGATGATGTCGGTCGTACTTCACATTTACAGGCACAGAGGGTGGACAACTGCGATACGAGGCACGACGGCGCGGATTCGGCGATGACGAAGACGCTGATGTTAATGCTGGTGGACGAGGTGCGCGAGGTGAAGGAGGAGAACAGGCAGCTGCGGGACCGGGTCGCCGAGCTGCGCGGCCAGCGCAAGCGGGACAGAGCCGAGATGCGAGCTATGGAGAACCGACTGCAGAACATGGAGCAGTCGATGCAGGCCATGGCCACTGCGCAGCGGGAGAGTGCCGTACAGATGACGAGACTCTTCCAGCAGAAGCCTTTGCCGCCATCACGTCATGCCACGTCAGCACCACAGCCGTCCAGTGCCTCGCTTATGACTGGCTCATTGACTACCACCTCATCGTCGACCACCATCACCCCGGCCGCTCTGTCGTCGCTGCCGCAGAGCTTCGATTCACCGCCGCGGCAGTCATCGTCCTTTGCCGGCGCTGTATCCCCGGCTTACTCGATGTCGGCCCGAATGCACGGATTGGCGGGGCTTCTCCACGCGCTGCCCTATCTGCGCGACTTCGACCCGGGTCTGCTGATCGTCTCCGATCTGAGGTACACTCACCTTCCTTAAAGTTGATGATAAGCAGGAAGAGGAAATTAACCGAACGATGACAGCCAACAGTTCATGGTGCTGAGCATGACGCACCCCGAGACCCTGGCCGACATGATGCCGCCCACCATCGAGTTCGTCTCACCGGGCGCCACCGCATTCCTCGGATACAGCCACGTACTACCGCTTTCCGCATACCCCAATCGTCAGACTCTCGCTCGCCGCTGACACTGTCCGTGGTCGTGTCGTGCGACGCATGTAGGAGGAAGTCGTAGGCAAATCAGTCCATGTGCTGGGATGCATCGACATCCAGGACAAGCTGGATCTCATGCACTCGATGTTCTCCAAGTCTGCTCCACCGTCCGGAGTGAGCGATTCCATCCGCGTTTGTCCCGTTATGCGACGCAAGGGCTGTGAGCCCGCACGTATCGAGACCTTCCACCAGTACCTCTGGGTCAACTCTCGCGTACGCCTCCTCACCGCCCACACGGACACAATATGACACTCCGAACGAACGAACGCACGCACATAACCGCACACGCGCACCTATGCGCTTCGTCTCACATCGCACACGCACAGGTGCAATGGAACATCGCGTTGGTGACTCGAGTGCTCGAGGAGGGCGTGTACATTCCGCCGCTGGGGAGCATGTCTGAGCTGCTCAGCAACCCCAGCACCAGGGCCCTCTTCTGCTCCCGCCTCGCCCCCTTCCTGCGACAGCCCCTCGACCGAGCCCGGATCTGCGCAACCATCACCACCACCACTTCATCAGCGTCGTCGTCGTCGTCGTCATCGTGGTCGCCAGAGGCGAGCGCGCAAGAAGAGACGATCCTGGCGCTACAGCAGTCGTCGATGGACCTGGACATCGAACTCCAGGAAATGATGCAGGCGCTGCGCTCGCCGGCGCCGTCGCCCTCGACAGGACCACCCGCAGACGACCACGAGCGGTGGCTCCTCTGATTTAGCCAATTCGATTGCCCCCAAATCGCCCAAAACCGCGACGCGCGCGCCACCGCACACACCGCACACGCGCTATCTCAGTCATCGGAGCGGCCGCCAAGCATCCGGGCGTACATTTGGCCCATCCGCTGGTCGTGCAGCTTCCGCTTCTCGCTGAGCTCCCGCATCAGGGCGCCCACGTCGCGTTGGATCGTCGCGTCGCCCTCGGCCAGGTGGAACGCGCGCTCGAGGTCCCGCTGGGCCAGGTCGAAGTCGTGTCTCCCCAGGTGAGCCCGGCCGCGCCTGTAGAGGGCCTTGACCGCCTCCGGATGCACTTCCAGCGCCTAAAAAAAGATACACACAACCCCCGTATTCAGTTCCAGCCGTGTGCGCCGTGTGTCGTGTCCTGTGTGGCGGGCGATGCGTGTGCGTGCAGTGTACTTGAGTGGAATGGAAGATGGCTTTCTCCAAGTAGCCGAGCTGGAGGCAGGAGGCTGCGGCGTTGCAGTCCAGATCGACCGAGAGCTGATTGAGCGCGGGGAGCTCATCAGCCGGCGGATTCTTGATCTTCTGCAAACTCTTCAGCCCCTGTGCACCACGTCCACATGCCCCGGTCAGCTGACGACGCGACGAGATACGAGACAGATGAAAGGGAAAGGCTCCAGTACAATCCGGTAGAACTTGAGTGCGGCTTGAAACCGCCGATTACGGAAGCAAACGTTGCCGTCTGCCCTGGCTTCCTCCGCGTCCGCCGCATGGTCGCGCTCCTTCTCGGGCTTTGTCTACAGCGCTCATTGATGTGAGCGCGCGTGCGCGATCGTGCGGAAGGAAAACAAGGAATCGAGGCATACCAGCGCGTGGCCGAGCATCTCCACCTCAAACAGGACCGTGGTGTCGGGCGGGATGAATTCGGGGATGCCGATGCCCCCGAAGGCGTACTCGGGGGCGATTTCGAAGCAGGCCACCTCTTGCGGCCTCATTGTGGCCACCCCGTCGTGCAGGCCCACGATCACCTCGTGCATGCCGTCCTCTGGCAAACAAGAAAGGTCAATGTTTGTCTACATTTCGCGCGGTGTGCCACAGAAACCTGGGTTAAGCTGGAACCAATGGGGCTGCTGACGCTGGCGGGTCGAGTCGAACGGCGCGCCATTAGCCACTCGGCCAACGTAGTGCACTGCGAGAACCAACCTCGTTTAGTTACGCTCTCGTCGGTGCGAATCGGTAGTACGTACCTGAGACCCACTCGCCGGCTGACGGGAGAGCACCGCTGCCCTCCCGAACGACCCGCTTCCGGATGCCGCCGTCGCCGTGGGCGTCGATCCAGTTCACGGGACCGGCGACGGGGTCCTCGGCGCCATATGGTGCTAAGTCGACCACTGGCGCCCGCCCCTGACCGCACATCGCAGAGCCGCCCAGGTGCTGCAGCACCAATAGAGCGGCCTGGTGCTCGGCCTCCTTCTTGGTGCGATGGGCGTGCTCCTGCTCGGGCCTAAACTCGAGCCCCAAATCCGGCATCTGTCGCTCACGCACCCACCGGTCAACATTTAAACAGACTTGATGGAGATGTGGGTGTGGTGGGAGTGTACGGCAACGGAGTAGAGGAAGCGTTCGAGCGGAACGTTGGGCTCCAGCCTGAACTTGGGGAGCTCCGATAGGTGCGACTGCTGACAAAACTCGAAGAGGAGCGCCTTGGGCGGCTTGGTGAACTGCCATTCGCACGGCTTGTAGACCAGCGGCAAGCTCGCCCCGATGCCTACAGCCTTGGCCTGGTCCCTGGCGGCGCCATTGGGCAGCGCCGAGAGGAGAACTCTGGTAAAGCTGTCAACACCTCTGTACTGACTGCCCTGGTCGTTGAATGCCTGGTAGGTGGCAAGCGTCACGTCGGTGAAGGGCACGTCAACAGAGTAGCGCGTGCAGAACAACGCTGGTCCGTAGATTGGCTTGTTCGTCCCTTCGTTACCTATCAACAGCGTTGCGCGCTGCAACCATCACTAAAATAAGGCCAACATCACTTCACTGCGCCAGTGGTTTGCAGTGCTGTGGTCTGGGGAAGTTACCGTGTTTAGCTTTCGCTTGTTTGCGCCGCGATTGCGGTCCAGCACCAGGTGCGGACCAGTTTCACTCCGAGCATGGCTTTTGGGCCTAGATGAACGTTTGGTTCAACCAAACGTTTCATCAACGAACGGCAGCTGGCCTTGGTTTGATGCGAACGAAGAGGTACCACTGGTTGTGCAGGTCTGGCCCCAGAATCTGGGCCGCCCTAAGAGGAAAGAGTGTTTAACATTGAGTTGATTCTTTGGCCACCATTGTTGGTGGGGGGGGGGATGTGGTACGCGCTGGTGTAGAGGTGGCAGTCTGTTGGGAGTGTGACTTCATAGGGTTCACCCTGCCCGTCCTCAGGCACCACCACAGCCACGAACTTTGGCGCTACCTCTTGTGGTTCTAGGTCCATCACGTCCATGGTGCACACAACGAAGATGTGCCTCTGGAGGCACACAAGCGACACCGCCCAGCAACTGAAGGTGCGTGCGCGCAAAGAGCAACACCCAACCAACATACAGGACAAAGAATGCGGCGGATTTCTGCTATTTTTTGGCGAGCACGAATATTCTGGGAATATCAATTATTCGGTGAACTGAGAGGCCTCTACAAACCTGGTTCCTGTTCCTCATCATCTTGTAGAGATCGACTAAATCGCGGCTTGGATCGTTGCTGGTGGAGGAGAACGATTAATCAAGCCATATTTACAATATATAATTCGAATGTCGCTCACAGGAGATGCATTGGAGGCGGCTGTAAGGAGGCTGCTACGCGAGTTCGGCAATCAGTTGGATAGGGAGGTGCTGGAGAGCGTGCTTGAGATATGTGGGGGCGACGTAGACCAGACCGTGGCCTTCCTACGCGTACAAAATGACAGTACGACCCCCCTCCCCTGGATCTTCTCGCTTATAAAAAATAATGATTATTATTTGATTTGGATTATTTATTTTATTTCTTTTCTTTTTGTTGTGTAGCGGACTACGTGGACCCAGGCCCACAACAGAAGGAGAGCATTCCCAAGGACTACATGGACAAGCCGCCCGGCTATGCTGCCCCCAAGGTACGCGTGGTGCCCTCATGTGCGGCGAACGTTGGCTCTGTGGGCGTCGGCTCAGTTGGGCGTTCGTGGGGCCTGCAGGCTGGCGAGGGCGACACATCGAGCGCCGCGCTGCGGCTGAAGAAGGTGCTCCTGTCGGGCGAGGCCGGGTTCGAGGACCATCTCACCGCTGTCGACAAGGTCTTCCCCGAATACACCGCCGTACTGCTCATGCTCCTCCACAAGGTACGACACGACACGACACGACACGACACGACACACAGCGCACACAACCATACACAGCCGCACATGATCGCGCACGGTTGGCTGACGTGGCGATGGCGATGGCGATGACAGAACGTGGAGCTGAGCACGGTCACGAAGTCGCGCGTGCTGGCGGCGTGCTGGCAGCTGCGCAAGCACGAGCTGGCGGACCACCTGGTCTCCCTCGAGAACCACTTCAACATACCCGAGGTCCTCAAGGCCCTCAAGATCTTGGGTACGCCGCCGCCGCTACGCCAATGTCTCGTCGACACCGGACTTTTGAGAGCTGTGCTGATGATGACTGCCTGGTTTGTTGGTCATGTGAAGATGGTCCGAGGCGTCTGCGAGCGCTGGAGAAGAAGATCGCGCGGTTGGAGAAGCAGGCCACGGCCAAGCCCAAGACGCTGGGCCTCCTGCGCGCCAAGATCAACGACCTCAAGAAGGACGTACCCGGCGTCGGTTCGTTCTTTCTTTGGCTTTGGCACGTTCTTGTTTTCCCATTTTTCTGATTTTCTTTTATTTTCCTTCCCTTCCCTTTGCTTGTTTGCTTGCGACTGTGCAGAGACACAGCTGACGTCGGTCAGCGGCGCGCTGGCCAAGCGAGTGAAGAAGTGGACGCTCTCGCTGTCGAAGGAGAACCTCGACTTCTACGCCCTGCAGCTCCCCAAGGAGCCTTGGTTCGTCTCGCGCGCGCACACACACACGCGCACACGACACGAAACACGACATACAGTGCTGACGTGGATGTGTTGTGATGTGTGCCCGGCAGGCAGGAGCTGGCGGACCTGGTCCACTTGCACCCGAGCGACTTCCAGCTGCCGTGGTTCCTCTCGTTCGTGTTCGGCCACCCGGCGCCGGAGGACTCGCTGGTGGTGCAGGCCCAGAAGCTCACGCCCGAGAACGCCGAGGAGCTGGTCACCCAGTACAAGTTCCCCTACAGCTTCCTCCGCAAGAACCTCCCCGACATGTCCCTCAAGGTCAAGGCCCAAGTGGCCCTCTACGAGGTACTCCACCGCACACACCGCACACACACCGCACACACCGCGCAAGAATGAGCGATTGTGCTGAGCGATGTGGGTTGGGTGAATGAAAATAGAAACTGGACACGCTGGTGTGGTACTACGAGGAGCTGAGCTCGAACGAGGTGGACGCCATCATCGCGCAGCGGATCGACGCCGGCGAGGAGCCCAACTTCTCCTATGGTAAGCTCATGGAGCGCCTGCTGTACTTCAAGATGAACGGCATCGCCTTCTACCACAAGCTCGTCCCCGTCGCACAGAAGAGGTAACACACACGACACACACCGCACACGACACACACACCGCACACGGCGCACACGGCGCACACGGCGCACACGACAGGTGCTGACTTTGTTGGCACAAATCGCAGGCTGAAGGACATCTTCCTCCCGCTGGAGCCTCCGGTGGTGGTCATGGGCGACGCCTCCTACTCCATGGACATCGGTACGCCCCAAATTAAAAACGAAACGAAACAAAAACGTTTTCCTGACGGCCGCTCGCGGGTGGGTGTAGCGATCCGTACGGCGACGATCATCGGTTCGCTTCTGGCGGCGCTCACCAAGGCCGACCTGCTCTTCTTCAACGTCAAGTCGTTCACGCCCAAGGTTAGCCTGTTCTTCCCGTCGTGTGTGGTGGCGTGCGTCGTGTGCGGTTTCTAACGTCACATGTCGGTGTTTGAAACGTACAACACAGACCATGCCCCGCACGATCGAGGACGTGCTCGAGTGCGCCACCTCCACGCCCGCCGACGGCCTCACCGCCCCCGCCTGTGGTACGACAACCACCTGCCTACCCCCCCCCCATTGAGCGGTCTGCGCTTCTGATTGATTGGGGGGGGGCTATTCTGACCTGATGCCTCTACCACAGCGTTGTGGGACTACTACCAGAAGAAGACGGTCGTCAAGTTCTTCATCGCCGTAACCGACGGTACAATCCTGGCGTGACACGACACACGATGACACGCACACACACATGCGCCTCACCGTTGCGTGTTGTTCTCACTACTGTGCAGAAATCGAGAACGAGAAGAGCAAGGGCGAGTACTTTGCACAGCTGTTCTATAAGTACTACACGGAGGTCTATCCCGCCAAGATTGTCTTCGTCAGCTTCCTCGAGGTAGCTGCGCATGCTCTGTGCGTGTCGTGTCGTGTTCTGTGTGTCGTGCGTTTGCATTTCTGACACTGCACGACACGCAGAACCCGGGCGAGAAGGGTCGGATGGTGAAGTCGCTGGAGAACCTGGGCATCGTGCCGCTCCAGTTCCGGCTCGACTCGCACAGGCCCGACCTCACCAAGGTCGACACCCTGCTGGGCCTGCTCGCCTCCGAGTGCAGCTTCTTCCCGGTTCAGGTCGACGCCGTGGCCCAGGCCCTGCGCCGCAGCGAGTGCCGGCTGGCCGCGGCGCTTGAGCAGATGAAGGACCTGCCCTTCCCCGACCAGCCGCTGGGCAAGCAGGGCGGCGAAGACGAGGAGGAGGAGGGCAAGGGCAAGCAGAAGGCCAAGGCGCACGACGACAACGAGCCGCCAGAGGAGTTCCTGTGCCCCATCACCCAGGAGCTCATGAAGGACCCCGTCGTCGCCAGCGATGGCCACACCTATGAGAAGTACGTCGTGTGTGTGTGTGTGTGTGTGTGTCGTGTCGTGTGTCGTGTGTCGTGTGTTCGTGCGTCGGCGGTGTGTCTGTGTGTCGTTGTCGTTTGGTCGGTTAGTGGCAGGGCTGACGTAGAGTCGTATTTTTGTACAGGCTTGCGATCGAGGAGTGGATCCAGAAGAAGGCTGTGTCGCCGATGACCAACGGCGCGCTGGAGGGCAAGCTCTACCCCAACTTCTCCCTCAAGTCCCGCATTGCCGAGTGGAAGCAGACCCACAACGCCGAGTGAAACTCTCAGCGCTCTGGCTCGGCCTTCCCCACACCCAATAAAGGAGGATGAACGTTCTCATGTGTAAACGAAACGTGTAAACGACGAGCGAGAGGTGTATGTGCTACAAAAAAAATTGAGAAAAAGAAGAGCGAGCTTGACAGGGGCGATGGCGCGACGCATTACTGGTAGCTGAGGTTGGCCGAGAGCCACTTCTCCGCCTCCTCCACCGACTGGCCCTTCCTCTGCGCGTACTCGTTGATCTGCGGGCACACGATGATGATCATGTTGAGTCAATGTACACCGCACACACGACGACACGACACGACCAACTGCCGGGTACCTGGTCCTTGGTGATCTTGCCGACGGCAAAGTACTTGGCGTGCTCGTTGGCGAAGTAGAGACCCGAGACGGAGGCGGCGGGGAGCATGGCCAGCGACTCGGTGAGCTCGATGCCCGACTCCTCCTTGATCTTCATCAGGTTCCACATCGTGATCTTCTCCGTGTGGTCGGGCTGCGTGGGATAGCCCGGCGCCGGACGAATACCCTGCGATCCGCCGCAGTAGTCGTCAGACACCGCACTCACTCGCCCAGGCCGCCGCACACGCACACGCACACACGCACGACCGCACACGTTGAGTGGGGTGCGTACCTGGTACTTGATCTTGAGCAGATCGCTGGCGTCGAGCTGCTCGTCCTTGCTGTAGCCCCACATCTTGGTACGCACGTCCGCGTGCAGCTTCTCGGCGAACGCCTCAGCCTGCGCACCGCACACACAATCAAAAATAAATAAAACATAGCGCGTGTGTGCGTGTGTGTGTGCGGTACCAAACGATCGGCGAGGGCCTGGGCGAGGATGATGGAGAAGTCGTCGTGGTTGGCCTTGTGGCCGGCGATCAGCTCGTCGAGGCCGAAGCCGGCCGACACTGCGAAGAGGCCGATATAGTCCTTCACCCCGCTGCCCTTCGGGGCCACGAAGTCGCCCAGCGCCGCGTAGGGCTCGTCCGTCGCCTTCTCCGCCTGCTGCCGCAGGCCGTAGAACTTGGCCGCCGCCTCCCCCTCGCGCGCCTCCTCCGACGCGTACACCTCAATGTCCTCCTGCACCGACTGCGCCGGGTAGAAGGCCACCACGCCCACGGCCTTGAGCGAGCGCTGCGCGATGATCTCCGCCAGCATGGCCTGCGCGTCGTCGAACAGCTTCCGCGCCTGCTCGCCCACCTTGGCGTCCTCGAACACGCGCGGGTAGTTACGGGTGGGGTAGGACCCGCGCAGCTGCCACACCTGGAAGAACGGGTTCCAGTCGATGTAGGGCACCAGCTCGGCGAGGTCGTACTCGACCCGGCGCGCGCCCAGGAACGTGGGCGCGACGGGCGTCACGCGCGACCAGTTCACCACCGGCTTCTTCTTGCGCGCCACCTCCAGACTCAAATACCTATGCCGTGCGTGTGTGTGCGGTGAGTGTGTGCGGTCGAGCGTGTGCGGCCGAGCGTGTGCGATGAGTGTGTGCGGTGGGGGGGCGTACTTGCGCTCGCGAAGGGAGGCGTAGTGCTCCTCGCGGACTTCGGTGTACTCGTCGGCGATCTCGGCGGCGTACTCCTGCTTGGCGTTGGGGTCGAGCAGGGACGACACGACGTAGACCGAGCGCGAGGCGTCGGCCACGTGAATCACCGGGTGGTCGTAGTTCGGCGAAATCTTCACCGCCGTGTGCACGCGCGACGTCGTAGCACCTGCAGCGCGCGTGCGGTGAGTGTGTGCGGTCGCGCGTGCGTGTGCGGTGAGTGGTGTGTGCGGTACCGCCGATGAGGAGCGGGATCTTGAGGCCGTGCTTCTTGAGCTCCTTGGCGACAAAGACCATCTCATCGAGCGACGGGGTGATGAGGCCCGAGAGGCCGATGACGTCGACGTTGTGCTCGATCGCCGTCTTGATGATCTTGTCGCACGGCGTCATCACGCCCAGATCGATGACCTTGTAGTTGTTGCAGCCCAGCACCACGCCCACGATGTTCTTGCCGATGTCGTGCACGTCGCCCTTGACCGTGGCCATCAGGACCTTGGGCGCGTGGGTCTCCTCGGCCTCGAACCCGCCGGCCAGCCGGGCCGCCTCCTTCTCCGCCTCCATGAACGGCGTCAGGTAGGCCACCGCCTTCTTCATCACCCGCGCCGACTTGATCACCTGCGGCAGGAACATCTTGCCCGCACCGAACAGGTCTGCCCTCCAACATATCAATCATATATTAGTATATATTAATATATATTAGATATAGTAGTGTAGAAGATAAATATAGCAATGTATTGATAGAGTTTGGATGGTGGTGGGAAGTGAGGGGAGTACCGCCGACGATGTTCATGCCGTCCATGAGCGGGCCTTCGATGATGTTGAGGGCCGACGGGAACCGCTGCTTGTTGAGCCGGGCCTCCTCCGTGTCCTCGTCCACGTACTGGTCAATACCCTGGAATCCCGACGTGTCAGACCCACACGACACGACACACGCGAGTGGGCGGTCGGGCGGGCGCGCGAGTACCTTGATGAGGGCGTGCTTGAGCCTCTCCTCGACGGAGGTGGTGCGCCACTCGTCGACGGTCTTGGTGGACTCCTTCTTGTCCTTGCCCTGCGAGCTGGCGTAGGCCAGCAGCCGCTCGGTGGAATCGGGCCGGCGGTTGAAGATGCAGTCCTCGACCAGGTCCAGCGCCTCCTTGGGGATCGAGTCGTAGATGGGCAGGTTGCCGGCGTTGACAATGCCCATGTCCATGCCCACCTTGATCGCGTGGTACAGGAACACGCTGTGCATCGTCTCTCTGTCGTTCGCACACAATAATAATAAGATTATGAAATGAAATGTGAGTCATAAATAACCGATTCTATAACAAGTGATCAATTATTATCTATAATTATCTATAATGATCGATAATTGAGATTGCGTACCGGAGCGAGTCGAAACCACGGAAGGAGAAGGACAAGTTGGAGACGCCGCCGCTCACCTTGGCGTGAGGAAGGCGCGCCTTGATCTCCTTGATGGCCTCGATGAAGTTCACCGCGTAGTTGTTGTGCTCCTCTGCGCAAAGTGAAGCGTGCGCGACGGAGACAACAACAACGTTGAGTGCGATTGTAGCTCACGGTGAGGAGTCAAGCCCGTACCAATGCCGGTGGCGACGGTGAGGATGTTGGGATCGAAGATGATGTCCTGCGGGAGGAAACCCACCTTCTCGGTCAGGAGGCGGTACGAGCGCTCGCAGATCTCGAACTTGCGCTCGGTCGACGTCGCCTGGCCCTCCTCGTCGAACTGCATCGTTTGTTCATGAGGGAGAAGAACGAAAGCGAAGGTCGTGTCATGCCAAGAAAAGAGCGAAGAGCGAAGAGCGAAGGGGAAGAGTGAAGAGGAGATTTGGTGGGGGGGGGCGTACGGCCATGACGACGACAGCCGCGCCGAACTTCTGGATGAGGCGAGCCTTGTCGAGGAAGTCGGTCTCGCCCTCCTTCAAACTGATACTGTTGACGATGCACTTGCCCTGCACCAGGCGCAGGCCCGTGTGGATGACCGAGAACTTGGACGAATCCAACATCACCGGCACGCGCGAGATATCTGCCCGCCCCGCCCCCAGCAACACAAGTCAGCCGGTTGAGTCGTGCGTGCGTGCGTGGTGATGATGAGCGGGCGTACCGGGCTCGGAGGCGATGAGACGAAGGAACTTGGACATGGAGGCCTCGCTGTCCAACATGGCCTCGTCGAAGTTGATGTCGAGGATCTGCGCACCGTTCTGGATCTGCAGCTTGGCGACCTCCAGCGCTTTCTACGCGCGATAAAAGATATATAGAAATAAGAATTGTGGCACACGGCGACACGACACGCACGACACAAGGAAATGGCCGTACATCGAGCTTGTTGGCCTTGATGAGGTTGGCGAACATGCGAGAGCCGGTGACGTTACACCGCTCGCCAACGTTGACGAAGTTGAGGTCGGGCGTGAAGGTGAGCAGCTCGAGGCCCGACAGGCGGAGGTAGGGCGGCAGCTGGGGGATCTTGCGCGGGCTCACGTCCTTGAGGGCCGCGGCGGCGGCGCGAATCGTGTCGGGCGTGGTACCACAACACCCTCCCGCCACGTTGATCAGGCCCTCATCGGCGAACTCCCTGCATCGGAAAAAAAAACATAAAAAAAACATTTATCAGCGAAAAAATGTGGAATATAAATTGTAAATAAAACAAAAATAAAAATAAAGCCTAATCTAATGTGTGGCAGTGTGCCTGAGGAAGGCGGCGGTCATCTCGGGGGTCTCGTCGTAGCCGCCCATGCCGTTGGGCAGACCGGCGTTGGGGTAACACGACACGAAACACTCGGCCAGGTTCGAGATCTGCTGCAGGAAGGGACGGATTTCAACGGCACCTGCGCGCAGAGGGAGAAAAAAGAAAAAGGCGGTGTGAGCAGAAGATCTTCTGGCGGATGAACTGAAGAGAGAGAGAGAGAACAAGTACCGAGGGCACAGTTGAGACCGACGGCGAGGGGCTTGGCGTGGGAAACGCTAATATAGAAGGCCTCGACGGTCTGACCGGACAGCGTGCGTCCGTTCTTGTCGATGACCGTACCCGAGATCTGCATTCAAAATTATTAAAATAAATGATTAATAACTAATTTGTGAATTTTTCGATAAAAATTTAAATCAACTTGAAAAAAAGGCTGGGCCGAGGAGACGTACGAAGAGGGGAATGCGGGGGTACTTGGGGTCCTCGAAGAGCTCGATGAGCGCGTAGAGGGCGGCCTTGGCGTTCAGGGTATCGAAGATGGTTTCGACCAGCAGAATGTCGGCTCCACCGTCGTACAGACCCTTGGCCTGCTCTGTGTAGGCTTCGACCAGCTCCTCGAAGGCTGCATGCACCCAATTAAAATGAGTAAAAAAAACATAAATAAACTCAAGACCGCACGACACGACACGCACGACACGACCACACGCAAAGGACGAGGCCGCGACGTACTGACGTTACGGAAGGCCGGGTCCTCGACCTTGGGCGAGACGGAGGCCGTGCGGTTGGTGGGACCCAGGGCACCGGCGACGAAGCGCGGGATGGAGGGGTCCTTGCGCATGGCCTCGGCCGTGCACTCCTTGGCGAGCTGGGCGGCGGCCTTGTTCATCTCGTAGGCCAGGGTCTCGAGACCGTAGTCGGCCTGCGAGATCGACGTCGAGTTGAACGTGTTCGTCTCGATGATGTGCGATCCGGCATCAAGGTACCTCTGTTGTGTCATGTTGCGTGGATTGGTGGCACACCAAGGCGGTCGGGTTAGATGCGAACGCCACCGGCAACAAAGAAATAATAAAGGCACGACCCTCAACAAATATAATAATAAATACATAGAATAATTATTTCATTTTATTTATTATGTAATATTGTTATTTATTGTTCGGTGAGGCGCGTACCATGTGAATCTCCTTGATGACGTGCGGTCGCGTAATGCACAGCAAATCGTTGTCGCCCCTGAGCGGGTGGGTGTGGTCCTTGAATCGCTCGCCTGCACCGATGAAATCGCGGCACCAATTTTTAAGAACCCGCAATTGCAAGCAGCAATGTTACATTTTGGAATGAGATTGCCAAGAATCTGGCGGCTGTACCTCGGAATTCCTCTTCGGTGAGCTTGTACTCCTGGATCAAGCTGCCCATGGCGCCATCCATCAGAAGAATCTGCTTCTCCATCAGCTCCCTGAGCTGCTTCGTCTTGGCTGCCGAGTTGCCGAAACCACATTTGTGAGCAATTAGAAAGTGCAAGTGAATTGGCAACCAGGTGAAGCATTTGCCGATGCTCACGAAATGGAAACGGAAATTGAGATGAAGCCCGTTTTTCGGTCTGGTCTAACTTAACCGAAAAAAACACAGTAAACAGAGGCAGCCGTACCATCTTCCTGGTTGGCCGACATCTTGGACGTTCGAATTTTGCTGTAATGAAGCCGAGCGAGATGGATTGTGTGCGGCCAGCGGCGTGCGTTGATCAATCTTATTCGCCGGAGAAAAAAAAATAAACCAATTTTCCCCATTAGCACGCCTTCGGCCCGTTGGGCTCGGCGGAAGAAGACGACAAGAAGAGTTGTGGAGGAGAGGCGAGTAATCTATTCTTCAAGAAGCTTTGCAAGCGGGCATGTTTCAATTACACGGAAGGCGACGGCATGTGTGTGAAGTTTGAGCTCCAGCACTTGGCGCTCCATCATCCACACACGCTTAGCCAGCCCGGAAGAGAACCTGCTTGCCCTTCTTCGACTTCTTGCCGCCGGCCGGGGTCGGCGCCGGCGCGGCCGGTTGCCCGCCCCACACGCCCAGCAGCGGGCGAACGGCGCCAGCGCCGCCGTGGCTGTAGTTACCTCCATAGTGTTCGGCGCGGGGCGGTGGCGGGAGCCAGCTGAAGGGGTCGTCGCTGAAGCTCGGCGGCGCGGGTCCGCGGGTTGATGACGATGATGAAGACGAAGAAGAGGAGGAACTGGTGACGCTGCGCGCCCAGCTGTTGGAGGGTTGTTTCTTGGCGCCACCCTTCTTGGAAGATCCGCCCGCGAGGGACGGCCACAGCTCCTGGCCGCCACGGCCGCCGCTCGACCCACCACGCGCGCCGCCCCATTCGTCGCGCAGGCCGACGTAGCGTCGCGGCTGAGCCGCTGCGGGAGCAGACAACGGGGCAGCCTCACCGCCGGGGAGCGTGGGCCAGCTTTGGACCTCCTCGAGGTTGGGCGTACGCGGCGCTGTGGGCAGCTCGCCGTAGTCGTCGTGGGTCGGGGTATCCTCGTCCGATGAGCCGGAGCCACCGCCGCGGCGTCCGCCGTGTCGTCCTCCGCCTCGTCGAGGCGATGGTCCTCCGACGTCGGCGCGCTGGGCGCCGCGCGAAGGCGAGTCGGAGAATACGAGGTCGAGGCTGAGCTTGGCCGCCTCGCGCTTCTTCTCCTTGCTGAGATTTCGGTGCGCCAGATGGACCGCCACGTCGTGCGCGTGAAGGTCGAGCGCCGAACGGAAGACGACGAACTTCTTCTCCAGACACTCCTTCTCGGGGCAGAGGAAGTGCTCCTTCCCGAAGTGTCGCTCGAGGTCATCGTAGTCCTTGAAGTACTGGAAGCTGTTGTGGACACAGGAAAATAGTGAGACACGTCACGAAAGCGAAAAGCCATGAAGGGCAAGAGAAGAGACGTACAGAATGCCCTGCTGCTGGCAGATGTGGCAGCTCTCGTGCTTCTCGGTGAGATGCTTGTAGAGGTGATCCTTGTTGTAGAAGCTGCGGTTGCAGAACTCGCAGCGCTGGTGAGCCTCGTCCGAGTTCTTGTCGCCCTGCAGGTGGCGCTGCAGCTCGCTCTTGGTGAAGAGGGGCTGCTCGTGCGCAAAGGCGGCACGGTGCTCGAGGCACACGGCGCAGAAGAAGAGCCGGTGCTCCTCCTGCAGGTGGCGCTTGAGCTGGCCGATGGAGCGATAGCCGGCGCTGTGGCACACTGTGCACGAGTACTCCCAGAGCTTGAGCGCGGCCTTACGATCGTCCTCGGTCTCGAAGTAGATTCCCGAGAGCTTGGGCGTGGTGGCCAGCGAGGCCAAGTCGAAGTCGGCGAAGGTCTTGGTGGAGTCGTGCGTGAGGACCACCTGGGGCAGCTTGGTCTTGCACCAGCACTGGTCGTCCTTGTACAGCTCACGTCGTCGCAGGCAGCAGATGTTGCAGATGTTGTTGTGGCTGCACTGGCCAATCGAATGGATCTCGATGGGTTCGCAGCAAGTCAGGCACACCTCGCGATCGTCATCTTCTTCCACGGCGGGGAGCGTGCTCGTTGTCGATGCGCCGAGGGAGGTGGTGGTGGTGGTTGATGCCGATTCCGATTCCTGCTCCTTCGTTTCTGCATCTACTCGCTTGTACTGAGGCCGGTGCTGCTGGCGAGGCTGAAAGCGGCGCGAGGGAGGAGGCTCGCGAGTAGTGGTCGAATCCTTGTTCCCAGGTCCTCGCGGGTTCCTCGTGTAGTTGCGCTTCGTCTTGGTAGCGGCAGCACCTTCTGAGCTGGTTTGTGTAGCAGATGATGCAGAGGAGCGAGGGTGGGATGGCTGATTACGGGGTCCTCGATGCATTCGGGCAGTTGCGCCAGCGGGAGGATGGGGAGTGGTAGCCGAGGTGGCAGTAGGAAGGGGAGCAGGAGCAGTGGCCATGGTGGTGAAGTGAGGAGTGGATTGGGAAAGCGTGGTCGCGTGAGGAGCAATTTTCGAAGCAGGTGGTGAATGATGAGATTGTGAAATCGAGAAAGTGAGTCGTTAATCCGCCGGTCTGGTGCGTCAAGTGAGGCGTGTTCTCCTTGGTTCTTCTACGTGAGTTGATTTCAGATGATCGCAACCTCGCCTCCCGTTGTATTTTTCCCTTGTTCCGTTGATTTTCCAAGCCGCATTTCCGGAATACGGCTTTCGTGAAATTTTTCCGCATGCCACCAATGTCATTTTTATCATTTTTTAATATCGGCCATGCTGGTGGTGTGATCACCCTATCACAAAACGGGCCACGATGGAGCCACCCGTGCCCCTATGGCGGAGCTCCTGTGTTATTAAAGGCTTCTGGTTGGACGGCACAAAACAACAAGCCACAAAACCGCAACCCCTCGTCTTTTCGGCACTCCACCCACAAGCGACACCAGCCATGCGTCTTCTCGTTGTGGCGCTCCTCTTCGCCTCTCTGCTGGGCCTAAGCTCTGCTACCACCTACTACCTGTACCCCACCAATACCACCTGGCCGAGCACCATCCAGAACCTCAAGGCGGGGGATACCGCGATCCTCTCCGCGTACGCTCCCACGTAGCCCTCTTCGTTTTATAGTTCAAGATCCTAGCTCTGGAGGTATCCAGCTAGATGAACCAACGAAGGCCGAAAGATTAATGTTGTAGGTCGGCCTCGGGGTGATTTGTGCCACAGGGGCCAGTTCACGCTCAACCAGAAGTTCGGGGTGACCCTGAGCGGCACCTCCGGTGCGCGCATCGTGGTCAAGGGTGCTGGCGCATCCGAGACCACGATCACGCAGCAGGCGGACCAGAACGTGATGGACGTCGCCGGCACCTACTTCTCCTTCTACAACATGACCTTCACCGGCGGATCGAGGGGCGTGCGCTTGTTCGGTACAGCCTCGGCAGTTAATATTGCACTTGCCAGCCAATTGCGAACGTTGATTATTCCGCCTGGTTAACTGGTAATTTTGTGGCCAACCGACCGCGCAGAGTCCAGCTCCGACGTCTTGTTCGAGAACGTCAACATCCACCACACCAAGGACACGGCGTTCAGCGCCAATGACGCGGGCAAGACTTACACCAGGCTCACCCTGCGCGGCATGGAGGTGCATCACTCGGCCGAGGCGGGTCCGGAAGTGGCCACCGGCGAATGCTTCTATCTCGGGTGCCAGGACAACAAGTGCCAGGTCACCAGCAGCCTGGTGGAGCTCAACTACTGCCACGACACCACGAACGCCAAGCCAGGCTGGGGCAGTGGCATTCAGCTCAAGACCGGCTCCTATGGTATTTCTTCTTCATCTTCATCGTCATCTTGTTCTTTCGTGTAGTTGACATGTTCTTGTGGTTCTTCACATGTAGATAACATCATCAGGGACAACGTTATCGTCAACACCCTGGCCCCCGGCATCCTGCTCTACGATGACTACCAGGTAATGTCTCTGCTCTCTCTGGCGGCCCCCTTCTGGCGGGATGGAAACTGATCACCACCGCCTCCACCGTACAACAGAAAGGCACCAACCTGGTGGAGGGCAACGTGGTCATGACCACGGACGACAACGGCATCCAGGTGAGCTCGGGTGTCCTCGTGCAGAACAACATCGTCATCGGCGCCAAAGCTGCGGGCATCGCTGTGTCCAACAACCAGCTCCAAACCACTGGCGTTTACCATGACGTCAAGATCATCCACAACACCGTCTACTCCTCTGGGTCGGCCGACCTCTATCTGCCGGTACTGCTCCTCCTCCTTTTTGTAGGCAACGCATGTCTGGGCATCGTCACTCATCTCGGGTCGACCATCTTGCCCACACATGTGCTCGCACAGATCCTGAGCAAGTCCGAGTTCGTTATCGCCAACAACCTCTTCTTGACCAGCGCCAAGGCGTTCGACGTTAAGACCCAGACCGGCGCCGTGTGGCGCAAGAACGCCTACGTCGGCGGCACCGTCCCTACTGGTACGCCACACGTTCCACGCACGTGACGCATTGACTCCCCGAAAGAAAGCCCGGGCTGAACCTGAATGTACTGTTGTACAGGCGTCGACACGGCTGGTGTGTTCCAGGTGACTAGCGGCGACGTGATCAATGCCGGTGGCAACGACTTCTACCCGACCGAGTCCAGCCTCCTCATCAACGCCGGCAGCTCCAGCTACTCCCCGCGCTTGACCTACGATTTCAACGGCAAATCCAGGAGTGCGACCACGCCCACCGTCGGCGCCTATGTACGTTCGCGATCACTTTCCCTGCATAGCCACGCCTTTGATGTTTTGGTTGGCTGATGGGCCGGCCAACGCAGGAGCACTCCACGGCGACGAACCCTGGAGGCGCAGTGAAGGCCGGCTTCAAGTCGGGCGCCTCGTCGGACAGCCAGCCGCCCAGCGGTGGCGGTTCGAACACCCCCTCCGGCGCCAACACGCTCACCTCGTGGCTCGCCCCTGTCCTCGCCCTCTAATCCAGCCCATACCCAAGGAGGCAACCCAAGAGGCACATAAAGCAGCAGCCTTTTTTGTACCATTTCCACCAGCACCACTGTCGCGCCACCAAAAAGGAAATGACAAGGAAATGATTAAGGAAAAGAGCGATAATGTTTTTCTCTGAACAAGGAGAGGAAGGCAAAGAATATTCAACTCGGATTGTGTTTTTGCGGGCGCAAGGATCATTTGGATCATTCAAATTCAATTCTGAAACAAGAAAGATGGGGCGGATCATTGATCGCATGCAAGGGGGGCTGCACACCATTCAAGGTTTTGCGGACAGGCGCGACACCAAGAAGAAAGTGAATGCCCTCTACGTTCTGACCATCTTCATCGCTGTACGATCACGCATCTCCCAACTCAATAGGCGTATTGTTGATACTTAAGTATTCGGTGATGTGACAAAAGGGCCTGTCGCTGGTGAGTGCGATTTGGATGCTCGTCGAGCTTAGCATCTTGTCGTTCGTCTTCGACCTGATCGTTGCGGGTCTCGGCCTCTTGGGCTTCCACGCCACGAGGCACCGCCAGCGTTCGCTCCTGCTTGTCGTACGCTCCTCTCGACCCGTGTGGGTGTGCGTTCGAACGACGAACTCACGTGTATCGTGTGCGCAGTACGTTCTGGGCATGTCGGTCGTCGTCGGCTTGGGCCTCTTGGGCCTCGTCTTGTTCATCCTCTTCAGCGTCTTCTCCTTCTCGGTCGAGGTCGCCTACCTGGTCTTGTCGCTGGTCCTCATAGGCATTCAGGGCTCCTCCGTCATCCTGGCCTACAGCCTCAGCAAGGACCTCGACCCCAAGCGTGTGGGTATGTTGGCACCCTATCCGCACACGCGTGCATCGCTTCGCTCACGCCTTTGTCCGAACAACACAACACAACACAACACAACAGCCACGATGGGAGCGCCGCACGACGGGAGCGCGATGGAGGCGGGCGAGCAGGAGTTCGCCTTTGACGCCGCTGGCAACATGTACCACCCGGACAGTATGATGGTCAACGCCGGGGCCTCGGCCGTGCCGCCGCCTGTGTACCACCAGCAGCCGCCCACCACCACGCCCCTCGGCGGCAACATGCCCGTCTACGACCCGGCCACGGGCACCTATGGCGGCTACGCCGGCTACAACCCCTACGCGCCCCAAATGGCCGCCTACCCGCCGCAGTACGCCTACCCGCCGCAGGCCATGCCCTACGCCTCCCAGCCGCTGCCTGCTGTTTCCCCCGCCCCCTCCGCCACCACGGTACGCACATCTCTTTCTTAGCGGTGTTGTGGCCACTACCTGCATGCACACCGCACACGGGTGTTGTGGTGATGGGAGGCTCACAACGAAGTGCGTGCGTTTTGTTGTGCAGCCGGCCGGAGAGGTTTTCAACTTTGCGACGTTCCCCGAGCCGCAGGCTGCCGCCCAACCGCAGGCTGCGACCTACACCATCGACGACGACGAATTCGATCCGTTCCAGGAGCAGTCCGCCGGCGGAAGCGCCCAGTAAATAGACCCCAGGCCACACCGCGCCTGGTCGCGCTGGTTGGTGACGTGTCGCCCGGCCTGTGGGCCACCAACACAAAAGCACCCACGCCACCACCACAACACAATTTTTGTACAGTTGCACAAGTGAGCAATGCACTTTTCTGGTATTTTACAACACCTGCAGGCAAGTAACTGACAAAAGTGTTTGTTGAAAAGAATCCACGCCGTGGGCACTGTCCTTGACAAGGAGAGGGATGGATCAAGAGGCTAGGGCTGGGGCAGCTGCTGATGACCCTGTTGTCGTTGTGACGAGAAAGAGGGAGGGTAAGCAAAGAGCTGAACAGGGCTGTGCATGCTACGTACGATGCTTGCGGCGCGCCTCACTACGCTCGGCCGAGGTGACGTAGTGAGGCTCGGTATATAACAACTCCACGCTCTGTGACGCCAATAGACCATCAGCGCACACGCAGCACTGCATACATGCACCACTCGCACGCGCACGCGACACGCGACGCACACTGCACACCGCACACGCACCTGCTTCATCCAGCGGGTAGGACCTAGTGCGGCGATTGAAGGCGGCAATTGGACGGCAGCGCCGTGCCTGGCTGTCTTGACGCTGAAGAACACCCGCTTGACGCCGCACGTACGCAGCCACCCGAGGCACAGGTGGCAAGGCCGCGAGTCGCTCAGACCCTCTCCATCGCCCACCGCCAGCTGCACCACGTACAGATCGCAGCCCTTGATGCGCTTCCGTCTGGTTGTGATTGATGCGTTCAGTTTCGAACAACACACACTACTTCTTGGGCGTCGTACCGATGCTTATTGGCGGCGGTCTTTCGGTTTGGACGTGGTGAGGTGTCCAGGGCAGTCTTTAAAACGGTACAGGGCGTTCATTTCGGCGTGGGTGGAGCTAGAAGCCATCAACAGAACCAAGTCAATATTCCAATCGAAATTGAATAAAAATCGTTGACGATTTGTATGGGGTTGTTTATTGAAGGGCGGGGGTACCAGTGGTTGGCGCCGTGAAGGCGAGTGCGGCGAGAGTTGTGCCCCTTGGCGACTACGTGTCCGCCCTTGACCAGCACGGCCCCGTGCTTGTGGTACATGTCGCTACGCTGCGCCTCCTCTGCAGCCAAGCCTAAAAACTTATCCGTGCGATTCATCTTCTCTCGGTTCGTGGTTTGACAAGGTTCTCTCCAGCTGATGTAGATGGTGAATGCAACCCAATTTAGCTGCCTGGATTTTAATCTTTTCACCGAATATTGATTCGTGCGGAGGTGGCACAAAAAAAGTTGCACACAAGCAAACTAGGCACCACAAACAACACGACGATGGGCAGGCTTGGCGAGGGCTTGAACGGCGGATTGAAGGTCGTGCAGGCCTATGCGGACTCGCGTGACGGCAATACCAAGCGCAACACCCTACTCGTCCTCACCACCGTCGTCCTCGTACTCCCTCGCTCGCTTTCGTTCTTTAAATTGCCCCCCCCCCGGCAATGGCGGTTGCAACTCCGCACAGCTTGTGGTGGACTTGGATGTTCCTTGACGAACGCAACACGATACACGTGCGTTGTGGGTGCCAGCTGTGGTGGTTGGCCTCGGCACTGTACGGACTGTTCGAGCTCCAGTTTTCGTTCTTCATCTTCGCGTCATTTGCGGTCCTCATCAGCGCCATAGGAGTCCACGCCACGTGGAAGCGTCGGAGGCCCCTCCTCTGTGTCGTATGTCTCTCCTCTCTCTCTTCCTTCCATGTTCCTAGTGCTGGCTGATCTGACGACGTATCACGCACCACCGCACTCGCACAAATGGACAGTACATGGTGGGCGTGGTCGTAGTGATGGGCTTCGTCGTGGTGGGCCTAGTCATCTATACCATCACCGGCGTCTTCACCCTATCGCTCAATGGAACGTTCCTCGTGGCCCTGCTCATCGACCTCGCTATCCTCCTCATTGAGGTGCGCATTCCTCAATCGACAGCAGTCGCGATACGCAGGACAAATCATGCACACACCGCACGCGCCCACTCATGCGTGCTCGCCTAACTTCGTGGCTCTCCAGGGCCTCTCGGTTGTGCTGGCGTTCAGCCTTACCAAGGACCTCGACCCGAAGCGCGTCGGTACGGCGGCCTCCTTCCGTGCCTCCTTCCCGCACGTGTGCATTGACACTGGGCCGCTGCAGTGGTCGTCGGCAGCAGCGCGGCGCCGAGTGATCAGCAGCAGGAGTTCACCTTCTCGGAGGGTGCCGGCGCGGTCGAGATGCAAGCCGTGGTCGCCCCGTCGAGCGCCGGCATTCACGCATCGGCCTACCAACCGCACCAGGCCATGGCGGCGCCAGCTGTCGTGCCCGGAGTGTACAATCCGGTGACCGGCACCTTCGGCCCGCCGCAGCTCCAGCCGCCCGTGGCTGGCTACCCCGTGGCAGCGCCGTACTCCAATAGCCCCTACGGCCACATCGCCACGGGCTATCCTCCGCAGGTACTGACTTCTTCGTGGCTGCGTGCGGCCGATGGTTGCCGATCCTGATAGCGTGTGTGTCGTGTGTTCATGTGCCGCAGGGAATGGGCCTCAGCCCCGCTGGCATGGCCTATGCCCAGCAGATCGGAGACAGGTACGACCTGCCAGAGTCGCGGCCGGTCTATGAGAACGATATCATCGGTGGGGCGGTCGCCACCACCAACCTCATGGCCGACCAGGACGCGACCAACCCCTTCGCCGACAAGTTCTAATTTTTATGGTTTATTGGCTGTTTTCGTTTGTTTTTCTTTTTGTTCGACTGTTCTTCCCTGAAACATGGAAAAGAGGAAAAGGCCAAAGAAAGTTTTGCACCCACGCGAAACGGCAGAAGAAGTGTCAGCACTGGGGAGGGGACAACACGCCGGCGTTGGATCCAATGGGAAGCAACGTCTGGCATGGAGAAGAGGAGATTGGTTGAAGAACTTCCTCGGCGGCAGGGAACTCGCTTCCGTTTTCCTGATATCGGTACACTACCCTCACATATAAACGCCACGTCCTCTGGCCATTCTCACCAATTCACACGCAACACCACCAGAGCCAGCACGAAGCTCAGTTCTCAACACTTTGAGTACGATCCACCATCCATCCCAACAAAGGTTGATCTCTATCTTGCGCTGAGCGTCGGCTGACGGTGAGTATCTCGTTGCAGACCGAAAATAGGAGGCGGACCGCAGCCAAGCATTGAACAGGAAGATAACACGAAGATGAAGTCGCTGCACGCCAAGATGACCCGACTTGCGATTGTCCAGGAGGCGAAGGACTTCCACATTGTGGAAGAGCAGGAGCAGGCCACCACCGAGGCCGCTGGGACTGTGCTCGACAACTTCAAGGCCAGCGTGTCCTACCTCTACCAGAACACCGACCTCTTCGGTTCCGCAAAGGACATCACCGTCCCACCCATCAGGTACCTGCACTACGTTCTTCACCGCAACATAGATGATGTGGAGCGCATGTTAATTTCGCCTTTCCATGATATCATGAAGCCAAATGCAGTCGGTTGTGCAGCGGAGGGCCGGATCCCTGCCCAAGGTCTACCAGCAGGAGTACGCCCAGCCGCTGCTGAACAACTTCGACCAGTTCCTGAGCGAGATCGACTCGGACCCGACGTTCACGGAGACCATCTGCGCGGCGGTCTACCAGCACTCGTCGGACTTCGTCGCCGCGCGGGGCTACCTCAACCGGTTCCAGGCCGTGTGCGCCACCCTCTACGATGACTTCCTCAACAACGAGGTCCGCAAGAAGCTCAACCTGCCTCTCATCGAGAAGTTCCCGCCCCTCGCCATGTTCCAGAAGGTACGCACGCGTCTCCGTCGTGTGCGGTGTGTGCGACAGAGTCTGACTCGCGAGGTGGTCCTGAAAAAACAGAGCGGTGACGGCGGACCGTTCACGATCACATCCGACTCGGTGCAACAGTTGTTCGGAGGCACGATCGGTGTGGTGTCGCTCCCCGGCACCTACAGGCAGCACCCGCTGCTGTGGTCCTCCCTCGCCCACGAGGTCGGCGGCCATGACGTCCTCCACGCCGATCCCGGTCTGCTGACCGAGCTCGGTCAGGCCGTGAAGAGCTCCATCCGCAACTCCGACCCCTCGCTCGGCACCCTGTGGCAGTACTGGATCGACGAGACGGCCTCGGACGTGTACGGTCTGTTGCACTACGGACCCGAGTTCGAGCTCAACCTGGCCATCTTCTTCGCGGCCATCAACCTCCAGATCAACGGACCGTCGGCCGACTGGCTCCGTTTCACTTCCTACTCTGGCTCCGACGGCCAGCTGGACCCGCACCCGACCGACATCCTGCGCCTGTCGGTGGGCAAGGGCGCGCTCAACGCGCTCACCAACCTGTCTGCATCGAGCAAGGCAGGCTACAGCGAGATCATCGACGAGATCATCAACTTCGTCGTGTCCCAGAACGGCGGCCACACCACCATCACCCTGCAGGGCTTCGGCAAGCAGACCTACGACCTCAAGCTCATGCAGTCGATCGCCGAGCAGGTGGGCGCCGTGATCGTCACCACCAAGCTGCGCGCCCTCAATGGCCGAAGCATCCAGGACATCACCACCTGGTCCCAGGACGACGAGAAGACCGCCCAGACCCTCGTCCCCATCCTCCTCAACCCCAACCCTGACCTGTCCAACCTGCCGCCGGAGGCCACTGCCCAGCACGTGCTGTCGGCCGCGTCGCTCGCGGTGCTGACCAACCCGTCGGGCGCCGCCTACGCGACGATGACCAAGAATGTGAACCGGCTGCTCGATGCGGCCTTCAACGCCGACCCGCTGTGGAACCCCAAGAAGAAGGTGGCCGTCCGCCACCTCTACATCGGCGAGTCGGGTCCCGGAATCGGGGCGCCGTCTGCCCGGGCGGCTGTTGCGTCGTCCAAGACGAAGAAGGAGCCCATCCGCCCCTTCTGGCTTTAAAAGCGCCAAGCAACCATTAGTTGGTGGCGTTTTACTTGTGTAGTAGAGAAGTGAACATGACAACCTCGAGCTGTGCACTGGGAGGCGTCAATCAGAAAATGCAAAAAGAAGAATATTTTTTGTAAGTCGGTGTAAATCTGGCCAATTTTATTTTTTTTTTCTCCGCCTGCACCAGAAAAGCAAAAGCACCAAGATGCACAGGGATGAAAATGGCTCTAGCCTGCGTTCCAAGCTCAACATGACCGTGACTGCGAAGCTGTTCTGCCTCATGACCCTTACCGCGCTTCTCTTCGTACCCTCCCCCCCTACTGCACTTCATTTTTCAATATTTTTGAGGTTTTTTAACGTATTATTTCAATGCTGGCACTGCCACAGATGGTGTGGGTGGTGGAATGCATCATTTCGCTGGTGACTGTCGAGTTCGTGTTGGCCATTTACTGCGCCTGCGTGACTGGCGTGATGCTCCTGGGTTTCTACGCCGCCTGGAAGCACCTGCGACCCCTCCTCTTCTGCGTACGCAACCACGCGTGCCGTGCGTGTCGCGTCATTCCTGACACAACGCGGGTGTGCGTGGCGTGACAGTACATTGTAGGCGTGGTTGTCGTGATTGGCTTTGGCATCGTGGGCCTGACCTGGTGGCTGATCGCCAGCGTCGTGAAGTGGGAGTTCGACACGCCGTGGCTCGTCGCCTTCGTGTTCAACATCTTCATCCTCCTCATCGAGGTACCACTACTTGGCCCTGGACCCGAAACACTCGTCGACCATGCTTGACCCTGTTCTCGCCAGGCCATCACGCTATTGCTCGCCTACTTGCTGACCAAGGACCTCGACTCGAAGCACGTTGGTGAGCCGACTCTCTTCCATTGGCTGGTGGCCGTCTTGTTGATACTCACACCACCCGGCTCTTCTTCTTCTTCTTCTTCTTCTTCTTCTTCGTGTTGCCACCAGTTACGCTCGGCTCCCCCGGCGACGGCACGTCGGCCGACGAGCAGGCCTTCTCCTTCTCGCAGGGTGGCAGCGTCGAGGTCGAGCTGCAGCCAACACAGCACCACGCGTCGGTCTACGAGCCCGAGTGGCCGGCCACGGCCTACCCCCCGTCCCCGTCCACCGCCAAGCAACAGGGGGCCTACCCCCCACCGCACCAGTCCCCGCCGATGTACTCCAACACTCGAGGCCTGGCCGCACCGGCAGTGCGCACCCACTCCCTCCCCAGACCAATTCCAGTTCACGTAGGGGCGGTGTGGCTAACGTGGTCGTGTTGACGCGTTGTGTGCCGCAGCCCAGGGACACCTTCGGCGCCCCATCCACCCACTCCACCAACGGATCTGCCGACGACTACAACCCCTTCCAGGAGGAGCGATTCTAAGGCCGTCACCCCCCCCCCCAATGCACCTTGTACTCTCATTTTCAGTTGCATTGCGATCTCAAATTCAGTTCTTCTTTGGGGGGGGGTTACCTGGCAGCGGGGAGTTAGTGCTGGTGGAGGACTGCGCTTGACGCTGGTCTGGGAACTTCGCCTTTTTCCAGCTTGGGACGGGAAGAGGAGATGTTCCGCACCAGGGTTGCTGTGGCTGTGGCTGTGGCCGTGGCCGCTGCATGACGGAGTGGGCGGCCCAGCCTCAACACACCTCACCACGCAGAGAAACGAAAAGCACGCGCACAGGCATGGAGGCGGAGGAGACGCAAGAGAAGAGAGCAATGACCGGAGGAGGAGGAGGAGGAGGTGAAGGCCGAGGGAAAAGAGGATCTTCGATTTCTACAGTGGAGGAGACGGCGGCGTCGCCAGCGACGTCGAAGAAGATGAAGAGGAAGAAGGAGATGAAGGCTCTCAGGACGGAGAATGAACGTCTGAAGAGCCGCGTGGCCCACCTGGAGGAGCGGGTGGGCCAGCTCAAGCAGCAGCTACGCTTCTACGAGTCCATCACCGCCGCCCACTCGCCCGACAACAACGCCACACGCCCTCCTTCATCTTCCTCTACTCCCTCTACTTCCTTCGCAGACGACACCTCGTGGAACAGCAGCAGCAGCAGCAAGGCCTCCACCCCCAAGGAGGTGACGCTGTTGAAAAGGAAGAGTAGCGGTGGCGTTGCACGAAGGAACACCCTTGGCTCTTCCTCCCCCACCCCCACCACCACATCTTCAGCAGAAGGAGGAGACCAACAAGAGAAGAAAAGTAGCAGCGGCGGCGGCAAGGCCAAGCCGGTGGTCCCGCTCCTGCGTAACATGAGCGCCGACAGCGGCGACGCCCATCCGCTGGTCTCCCGGTCGAGCACCGTGGTGAGCCCCTCGGGCAGCGCGCGACGCATGAGCATGACCGACGGCCGCTCGCTCACCGGGTCGTCGTGGCTCAGCGGCTCCGGCTCGGGCGACTCCCTCGAGGCCATCATGTCCGCCAGCGGCGAGCTCACCATGCGCCGCAAGACCGTCGGCTGGTCCGACTCCACCAAGCCCATCACCTCCCCCAGTAGTGGTGGTAGTGACAATCTCACTGGTCAGCCCACTGACTGCGATCTGGACTCTAGCGACGACAACAGCAGCAGTCTCAGCGGCAGCGGCAGCGTCATCCTCGATCACAACAACAACAACAACAACAACCACAACCACAACAAGGCTGGGAGCAACCCGGGCTCGCCTTTGCAGGAGCGACACAACAACAACAGCAAGGAGGTGGTGGGCTCGCCGTCGGCGAGGGACCAGGCCCAGAGACTGAGGCAGGAGCGGCGGGAGAAGGTGGAGGCCGAGTTCCGGGCGGTGCAGGCGGCGTGGGCAGGCGAGGCCGAGGGGGTGCAGTCGGAGGACGAGGTGGTGGAGCCCCACCCGTTCGACGAGCCCGACCTGCCGACCAACATCATCTTCAAGGACACGAGCCAGGCCAAGGCCCACCGACGCCCGACCCTGACCGACAACTCCCAGCCCGCCGAAGCGACGCTGGCTTCCGACGCGTTTCCGACCACTGCGGCGGCAAGCATGTCGTCGATCGCGGCGGTGGCTGAGGTGACCCCGATGCCGTCGTCCGCGGCGCAGGCGCAGTCGCAGTCGCCTGTGCTCTCGCCGAGGCGTGAGGGCGTTGTGACGGTGACCGAAGAGACGGCGGTCGCGCAGAGCACAGCGCCAAAGGCCGACGCGCTGCGAATCCGGGCAGGCACGCTCCACAAGCTCATCGAACGGCTACTCGGCGACTACGTTGATCTCGGTACCTACAGCAACCTCCTCTTCTCTCTCGTTGGGCTGCTGCCCGTAGTCTTCTCCCTCACACCGGTTGTAAATGATGGAACGTCGCAGATCCACCATTCCTGGGCGCGTTCCTACTCACGTACCGATCATTCACGACGCCCGATGAGCTGCTGGATCTGCTCATCCAACGGTGGAACATCTCGCCATCGCCGCCCACCCACAAGGAGGCCACCAAGCTCCAGTTCCGGTGCAGCTCGACCCCTTTCTTATCGTTGTTGAGGTGGCTGGGGCTGTTGGCTGACATGAACGTTTTCTCCACAGCATTTGGTTGGTGTTGAAGACGTGGGTGTGCGACTACTTCGCCCAGGACTTTGAGGAGAACCCGCAGCTCACCAACCGACTCCACAAGTTCGTCTTCCTCCGCGTCTCCAAGGCACGACGAAGCCACCACACACCTTCCCCACATTCACGACGAGTGGCGCGCACATGTGGTCTGACCGGGCGGGGTGCGTGCGTGCAGTCTCTGCCCAGCCCGGCGACCAAGCTCATCGCGCAGCTGCAGCGGCTGGTGGCGGGCGACGAGGTGAAGATGGAGGTGATCGTGGACGACATGCCCAAGCCGATACTGCCCCGCTCCCGCTCCTTCCGCCGACTCTCGTTCTCGCTCAGCCAGCGAGCCCGGATCGACCTCGCGCCCCTGTCCAGGTTCATGGACTTCCACCCGCTCGAGCTCGCGCGACAGCTCACCCTCGTGGAGAGCTCCTTCTTCCGGTACCCTACAGCAACTTTTTCTATCATCATTGGGAGACGAGACGACGTCACCCGACACTAACGCACATCGTCCCATCCACCTTCAGCGAGATACAGCCGAAGGAGTGTCTCAAGCTGTGCTGGAGCGTTGACAAGGCCAATGCGCCCAACATCTTGGCTCTGATCAACCACTTCAATGCTGTAACTATGCCCACCCGACATTCGCCGATGAGCACCATCGGGTGAAGTGCTGATGGTTGTCCATGTGCTCGCTGCAATGCAGTTGAGCGGCTACATCAAGGTGGAGATTCTCAAGACGGTGGACTGCAAGCAGAGGGCCAAGGTGTTGGAGTATTTCCTGCAGGTGCGTGGTGGGGCGAGGCACTGCTAGCAACGGGGGTCACTCGGATTGTCACCTCACAACCGCAATACGATGGTCCTTATCCTACACAAGGTGGGCAAGTGCTGCCAGGAGCTGTCCAACTTCAACGCGCTGATGGAGATCACGTCATCGCTCAATGCGGCGGCTGTACATCGACTCAAGAACACATGGAAACTGGTGAACAGCAAGTACGCCGGCTGGAAGGAGGAGTGGGGCAAACTCACCCTCAACAACTACGTCCGGTATGTAAGGCCTCTTCTTTCTCTACCGCGGTGGTGTGGGCACACTGGTCTCACCCACCAACTGCACGCAGGCTGAGGGAGGCACAGATGCAAGCCGAGCCACCATATCTACCCTATGTGGGCATCATCCTGTCAGATCTCACCTTCATCGAGTACGCCGTCTTTTCTGACCGAGCAGATAATGAATGAATGAATGAATGTTGACCGTGATCCGATCTCAGGGAGGGCAACAAGGACTTTGTGATGGTGGGTTCAGAGCACTCGCTGATCAATTTTGAAAAGAGAAGGAAGGTCGCCACCGTTCTGACACGGCTCCAACAGGTACGAAGCAGCAGGGTCATCCCTTCGTCATCTTCTCTTTTGGCCCAATTCCTGGTGGAGGATGGTACCTACCTGGTGGGCTGACGAGTAGCGCGCGTTGTTGGTGTAGTGCCAGCGGACGCCGTTCGGGTTCCGTGTGGTGCCGCAGATCTACGGGGCGCTGCAGCAGGAGATCGTGTTCGACCCGGAGGAGATGGACGACAACCACCTCTACCAACTCTCCCTCCAACGCGAACCACGCAATGACAACAAGCCAGCGGCCAAGGAGTGAATATGTAACATAGGTAGTACTTTATGAATGACAACAACAACTACACCAGCTACTACTACACGTATAAATAATGAATGTAATCTTATCTCGGCACTAGAGATGAGAGCTTGGAGGGAATGAAATCACCAGAAGGGGTTCATCTTGGGCATGAGGCTCGACTTGAACTGGTGGCGAATCTGCGTCATCCTCTCGCTCTCGGCATCCAACACCACTATGCAAAGAGGAGAGAAAGGTGAGTGTCTGCATGTCCGGTCAGAACACGAATGGAGCCGGCGGGCGTACAGAGGTCTTCATAGGCAAGTTCGGCGGGCTTCTCGTCTCGCTGCTTGGACGGGCAGTTACGACCGGTGTGGTCCAACTTTCCGCATACGAAGCATGCCGCACGCTGCTCCGCTGGGCCTGCAACGAGCAACCACATCCGTGAGCTAAGAGAGAGAGAAAGAGAAAGAGAGAGGTGCACACTGACAGAGGGTAGGTGGGTGCCGTACACTGCTTGGCGAAATGGCCACGCTGCTTGCAAATGTAGCAGTACTCGCTCTCGGGCGCTCGCCTCGCTTGCTGCTGCTGTTAACAGTATTTACATATGTTATTTACATTAATAAAATAAAATGATAAAAAATACAAAATAAATAATAAATGTAATGGAAGGCTTACTCTTGTGTAGGGCTGTGGCTTCTCCCTCCTGTTTCTGTGCGGGCTGCCCGGGGCCTGGTGCGGGGCCGCCTGGCGCGCTCGCTGATGCTGCTGTTGTGGGGGGCGGTCTTCGTTCTGGTCCACGCCTGCTTTGTGCTCCTCTTTGCTTCCCTGCTTTCCGCTCCTCTTCGTTGCTGTGTCCTCTTGCCGTGCCGTGCCGGTGCGCGATGTTTCTGTGCGAGAGATTTCAGGCGCTACGCGAGATTCTCCATCCTTGCCTCCCTGCTGCTTTCGTCCAGTGTCTGCCTCGGCTGGGACAGCAATCTTCTTCCTTCTCTTCTTTCGCTTCGGCTCTTCTTCTTCCGCTTCTGCTTCAGCATTCTTTTCTTCCGCCTGCTCTGCCTTCTTGCTCTTTTGCTTGCGTTTCTCTGCTTCTCCCTCCTCCACTTGTTCTGGTTCTGCCTTTTTGCTCTTTTTCTTGCGTTTCTTTACCTCTCCATCCTCCTCTGTACTTCTTTTCCTCTTCGTCTTCTTCTCTTTCACCTCTGGATTATCCACATCTTCGGCCTTCTTTGCCTTCCTCTTCCTCTTGCCCTTCGCCTCTCTTTCGGCCGGCCCTCCGTCGTCATCCACAGTTTGCGCGCTGGACTCCGTCGGTGCGGTCATCTCGAATTCATCTTCATTTCCACCCTGCGGCCCATCTTCTGTGGGATCCTTGCTCTGGGACTTCCTGGCTCGCTTGCGGCCACGCTCTTCCTTCTTCCCTCGTTGCTGTGATTGATCATCGGCCATGATCTGCTGGCGTGATGGAGCGTGCCGCGATTTTGTGGGATTTGGCCAGGAATGGAGCACAGAAACTTGACCCCCTACAGCATATTCGAAATTCCACACCAAAATTCCGAAGAATGCAAAAAATTTACTCAAAAGAGCTCAGCCAGGAGAGCCTGTTCAACGGGTACTATGTACATGCGAATTGGGAGCCGACATGGGTTCACATGGAGAAGTCGGCCTCTTCTTGGCCCTTGTGGCACACGTAGACGTAGGCCACCACCGACAGGTAGACGACCGCGCCGCCAACCATCGACATAAACATCGGGCCCAGGTCGATCTGTTGGCCAGGAAGGACGGTCGCACGGTTGAGCCAGGCATGCTGATCCAGCCAGCAATCATGATTGCGCGACTCTCAGAGAGGGGAAAGGTAGGATGCGTACCACATCGGTGTGCATGAGAATGATGGGCAGACCAAAGCCAGCAGCCAGCGCCGAGCCGGTGAGGAAGTCGGCCACATCCTTCAGTCCTCTGAGGAGCAAGCGAGAGGGCAGGGACGATTAGCTGCTCGTAAGGGCTACCCCCGCTGAGCGCACGACACACAGGGCTCGTACCGGGATCTCTCGTCCACGAAGCCAGCAAAGTCATCAGAATAGCACCACCCGAACAAGATATGCGGAAGAGGAGCGAACAGGAAGCACCCCACTGAAGAGTGATATGAAGAGTGGTTAGCCAAGGCGTGGGAAGCACGCAAGGGGCAAGGCCTCCTCGCCTTGAGCAGGCTGAGCTCTTCGTCGCGCGGTGGTGCTACTACGTGCAGGGTTGAAAGGTGGCGTACCGACGAAGAGGGGCCACCAGTTGGCCCACAGGGCGCACGCCAAGATGCCCAGTGTCACTCCGACGGCCAGCATCGCGGCCAACGAGACCAACCTGGCAACGCGTGGCGTGAGTTGGGGGACCGGTCACGGCTGCGCCCCGGCACGCTCGCCCCCCCCCCCAACCAAAACATTCACGCAGAGATCGAAACGTACACTGCACATCGAAGAAAAAAAAGAAGGGGTGAGGCCAACCATTCAGCAGATGAACGCAAGATACAAGCAGTGTTGCCTGGGCCGTACTGCACATAATCGATTTGCGTCCCATGCTTGATCTTTCCTTGTCCTTGTGTGGTTATCAAAACAGTAGCGATAGGGATCCCCTCTGTGTGGTAGATGCGCGAGCTTGTTTGATTGAATGATCGTCCCGTGTCCCGTCTCTACGCAGAAAATGCGACGGAAAAACCTTGTCTTCGTTGCCTGGGTGCTGGTGCAAGCTCTCTGTGCTATTGATGATTGTCAAGAGGAGAACAGAGAAGCTTAGAGCTTGGCCTGCTGCTTGATGAGCTCACCAAGCTTGGTGGCGAGGCCCATGTCGCCCTTGATCTTGAGCTTGCCCTGCATGAAGGCCTGCTGGGCGTTGAGCTTGCCGCTGAAGAGCTGCTGGAAACTGTCGTCGCCCAGCGTGAGGGTGACGCCGACGGGCTTGGTGGGCGCGCCCCGTGTGATGGTGCCCTTGGGTCCGGTCTTGAGGTCGACCACCCACGACTCCTTGGCACCGTTGGGTCCGTCGGTGATGTGGAAGTGGTAGATGCCGTTCACCTTCTTGACCACCGCCTCGCCGGCCACGTCGAGCAGCTTGCTGAGGTTGTTCAGCACCGCTTCGGCCTTGAACGCGGGCGCCGACGAAGCGGCGGCAGCAGCGGCCGAAGCACTCGCGGACGACGACGAGGCCGCCGAGGAGACGGTCACCGCTGCGTTGGTGATGCAGTACTCACCGCGCTCCTCAACCTTGCACTGGAAGATGACCTTGTCGCCCTCCTTCCACATCTCCGTCACCAGCGTCTCGCCTGCATCATAGAAAGTTTAGTTTGTTTCATTGGCGTTGGCTGGTGGCTGGTGAGGGCGCGTACCGGGGAAGACGTGCTTGGAGAAGCGGACCTTGACGTCCTTGAAGTTGGCCGGGTCGTTGTCGCAGAAGTGCTTGAGGACGGCCCGACTGGCGTAGCCGAACGAGCACAGACCGTGCAGAATGGGCCGATCGAAGCCGCCCATGGCCGCCATCGACGGGTCGGCGTGCAGCGGGTTCATGTCGCCCGACGCCAGCCTGTACACGAGGGCCTCGTTATCCCTCGTCTTCTCCTTGTGGACCGCGTCCGGAGCCCTGTTGGGCGGCTGGTTCTCGTTGCCGGAGGGACCCCTCTCGCCTCCGAAACCGCCAATTCCTGCATACAGCTGTGAGCGATACGCGAGTGGCGTGTGTGTTGTTGTATGTTGTGGGTGGGTGGCCGTGCATGTCACACGACATGTGCGACGTACCGCGGATGAAGAGGTAGCTCTCGTTATGAACGACGACCTCGCCCTTCTCGTCCTTGGTGTCGGCCTCCACGACGAGGAGGGCGCCCTTGCCCTTGTCGTACAGGTGCTTGACGCGGCCGTGGTTGGTGAGCGTGGCGTTGACCGGGATGGGCTTGCGGATCTCGAGGTACTGCTCGCCGTGGAGGAGCATCATCGGGTTGAACTTGAGGCCAGGAATGCTCAGCACGTTCGAGAAGTTGGGGAACGTCACGCCGAACGTGGGCAGCACCGAGAAGCCATCACTGTTCTCATAGGCGAACTTGAGCTCGGCCGGGTCGGTGGGATTCTTGGCGGCGCCGATGGACAGGGCGTAGAGCATCACCTCCTTCTCTGTGTACTGCACCTTGGTAACGGGGAACTCGAAGCCGACCACCTGGTAATGGCCACGACGGCCCAGTATTATGGTGAGTGCCACAGTGACCGACACACGCACACGACGAACGCCTCATGAGCGGGTGCCAGCCTACCTGCGAGGGATCGACGTTCTCGTTGCCTCCGGCGGCCTTGGCGGCGGGAGCAGAAGGCGCCTGCTTGGAGTCCTGTGACGAGTAGATACCATCGCCGTTAGAGCGCCGACGCGTAAGGACAACAGAGAAAAGAGAATTCTGAGCAAAGCTGAGAATTTATTTGCAACCGATAAACGGAAAGAAGATGAAGTCGTGGGGAGGGCGGAGTGGAAGGTGGTGGTGGTATGATCTAGTAGCGTGCCTTGAGCTGGTTGATGTGGGCGATGATGGAGGTGAGGCCGTCCTGAGCCGACGCGGGGTGAGTCGAGTTGGTCCAGTCCTCGACCTTGGCCCAGTTGTCGCGGATGGCCTCGGGGGTGAGCCCCTTCGAGACGTCGTAGAAGTTGCCCTGCGTGCGCTCCCAGCGCACAGCCGACACCCAACCGGCGCCCACCTCGAAAATGCCACCGGTCACCTACACCATTTGCGAGGTGAGTGGGCGTTGAGCTTGATGACACCACCTGCCGTCAATGCAATAGGTTGATGATGGTACCGGGGTGGACTCGTGGCAGAGGAAGGCGACGAGCGGCGAGACGAACTCGGGCTTGAGGGCCTCGATGAGCTCAGGAGGCATGACGGTGGCGGTCATGCGGGTACCGGCCACGGGGGCAATGGTGTTCACGTGAATGTTGCGCGACTTGCCCTCGGCAGCCAGCGTCTTGGCGAAGCCCACCAGCGCGAGCTTCATGGCCGAGTAGTTGGCCTGGCCGAAGTTGCCGTACAGACCAGCGGCAGACGAGGTCATGATGACACGTCCTGATAGAGTTTTGTTTTTGGGTGTAGATGGAATGCAACGCTAATGAGGAGACCGAGGCTGGGCGAGAGCTGCCGTCAATGATGGCGTACCGAAACCCTGGTCCCTCATGTAGGGCCACGCGGCCTTGGTGACCGAGTAGGCACCGTGGAGGTGCACCTTGTAGATGAGGTCCCAATCGGCCTGCTTCATCTTGACAAAGCTCACATCGCGCAAGATGCCACTACACGTACCACCATGATTAATATTGATTGGAGGGATGGTATGTAAAGGGGTGAGGTACGCGTTGTTAATCACGATGTCAACACGACCGAAGTTGTCGATAGCGGTCTTGATGATGGCCTCACCGTTCTCCACAGAGTCGTAGTTGGCAGCAGCCTTGCCGCCAGCCTTCTTGATCTCCTCCACAACCAGATCGGCGGCCTTCGAGCCAGCACCCTGCCAAAAAAAAATCGCGCGATTAAAGACCGTTGGATTTCCAATCATTGATGTAGAGATCAGAAGAAGGAAGGCAAGAACACATACCTCGCCAGTGTGCGAGGTGCCGAGATCGTTGACGACAACAGAGGCACCACGGCTGGCGAAGAGCAGAGCGTAGGTCTTGCCCAAGCCGCCACCGGCACCGGTGACGACGACCACCTTACCATCGAAGCGCAGCGAATCGCCCATTGTGTGAGATGTGAAGCTGAGGAGTGTGTTGTGAGTGTTGTCTTGAGGTGAAGAAGTACAAAGCGGCTTTCTTGTGCTGGCGTGGGTTCGCTTCCTTTCCCTGTGCTCTGGCGAAATTTCCGTGGTTCACCGCAAACAAGGGAAAATCGAAAAATAACGTGCAAAGATTTGGCCAATGAACATGGGCAATGATTGTCTGACAAGAAGACCAGCCAGGGACTACCAGAATGGATGTAGTTTGGGATGAGTAATGTATTTACACATGCCGTCCGGTAGACGGAAGCCTTTAGGCGCTAATGCCAAAGAGCTCATTGATGGGGCGGACATGGGAGAACTTCACCAGCTGGTCGTAATTCTGCAAATCTGTTGTAGGGCGGGAGGTTAGCGCTCCCGCAGGAAGAAAGGGGAACAGGGCGAGCCTACCAAACTGGGCGCCAAAGCCAGTGGCGGCAATCTCGCTGATGGAGAGGTCGGGCTGGACGGTGCCCAAGACCTCCACGAATGCGTGCGAGGAGTAGACGGACGCAGTCTCGGGATTACGCTTGACGAGCACACTGCCGCCATCAGACGCCTCGAGCGTTACGTCGAGCTGCTGCTGGCCGGCGACGCGGCCCACAATGCGAACGTGCATGTTCACATAGGAGTTGAGAAGGCCGCTGTTGATGCGGGGAGTGGATACAGGTCCGTCGAATTCCATCTTATGAATGTTGTGTTGTGTCTGGCTGGCCTGGTGGTTTTGGTTTTGGCGCCAAATATCTGTTGTTTTGGCGCTATCATTTTGGGCAATTCTTGGAATTATTAGGTCAGGTGCCCGACAAAATCTGGGGACCGGCAATTTTGTGTCGACCAGTTGGAGAAAAGCTTTTAGAAACGGAAACTAAGCAGACTCCAGCCTGCGAATAGAGAAGAAGGGCAGGACCGTTGCACTCAAGGTACGAAGCACCAGCCAATAATCCCCTCTCGCTCGCTTGATTTATTAATTCGATTTAAATCGCAAGCTTGGATGTGAAACGTTCAAGCGCATCGATAGAAAGGAATTCTTGTTTATTCATCTTTCTTGACGTTATTGCCCAATCGGTGTCGACAGTCGCCGTTTTCGAAAGAACTAAATGCAAGAGATGGAGGAGGGCGAGATGAACCCCGACCAGATGGTGCAAGGGATGCAGGGGCATATGCCCTCGGCTGTAATGCAGTCCCAGATGCAGCAACAGCACGTCCAGCAGCTGCATCGATTCTGGTACCGATCACCGATTTTCGCACCACACGTTCCCTTTCCACGATTTTTTCCCATTATAACCTTCTTTCTGTTCCAATTTATGCCCCAAAGGAGTGATCAAATGCAAGAGATTGAGGATATGACACAGTTCAAACAGAGCAAGATGACCCTGCCGCTTGCGCGCATCAAAAAGATCATGAAGTTTGATGAAGATGTCAAGGTTTGGCCCCTGCAGCCTCCTTCTATCTTGCGTGGTTGGGCTTGTGTTGTTATGTGTACGCTTACCCTTGCCCTTTGTGGCCACGCTCACAGATGATCAGTGCCGAGGCCCCTGTGCTGTTTGCTAAGGCGTGCGAGATGTTCATCCACGAGCTCACGCTGCGGGCCTGGATTCACACCGACGAGAACAAGCGCCGAACGCTCCAGGTTGCTCACCCTTCCCTCCACTCTGTGATGCTCACGCCTTCACCCTCGCGCCGACCGTGTTTTGTGACTTCTCTCTTTTCTCCCGTTTGATGAACGACAGCGTAACGACATTGCCACGGCCATCGCCAGGAATGACACGTTCGACTTCCTCATCGACATTGTGCCCAGGTTCGCTTCGTCTTCTCCTGCATTTTTCCGTCTGCTGTTGTTATCGTCCTCGGTAGCCCTTACCCCCCCCCAACCTAACAGGGATGACATCAAGGGCAAGAGGCCGGCGGAAGAGTCTGTACGACTTCCTCCTTTATTTCTAGTTTGGCGCCTTTGGATAATGACCGTTGTGATGTTCGTCCGCTTGTGCTCCACAGGAAGAGGCCGGCCGCCCGGTAGTGACGCCAGAGCTGCAGCAGTACTACCTGCAGATGCAGCAGCACGCGGCACTTCAGCAGCAGGCTGCCGCCGCCGACCCCGCGCAGGCGCAGCGCCTGGCCCTTGACCCGACGCAGATGTACATCTACCAACAGCAGCAGCTGAGGTACATCCAGCAGGCCCAGATGCTTCAGCACATGCAAATGCAGCAGCAAGGCCAGATGGGCGACCAGATCGATCACGACCAGATGAACGAAATGGTACCATGCTCGTCTGCCTCCTCTTCTGTATCTGTAGCTGTGCGCGTGCAGTGTCTGATACGTTTGATGAACGTGTTGTGTTTTTCTAGGGCTCGCGGCAGTTGGAAGTGGAGGGAGTGGAGGGCCAGGGCTTGGGCGAGGGACACATCGGGCACGGTGAAGCCGAGCACGGCCACCACGGCCAGGGCGGCCACGAGGGATACAGCAACGGTCACCACGGCCACCCGCACGAACACGACCGCTACCACGAGCACGTCTCCCTGCCTCCTCTCAACCTGCAGCAACACCACCACGCCGTATAATTTATGCCACCGCAACACCGCACGCGCACCCTCTACGCGCGCCCAACCAATAAAACTGTAAAAACACTTTATTGTTTATTTTTATTTCTTGTTTGTGGGTCATGATGACATTGTGGAGGAAGAACTGTCGTCGCCGTCCTCGGTGGCGGTGGTAGTGGCGGCGAGGAGGGTGTGTCGCAGCTTGGCGGTGGTTTGAAGGTGTTCGTTGAGGGTCTCGATGGCCTGCAGGTAGGCCTCCTTGTCCTGCATCTTGGCGGCCAGGTCAGGCGCGCCCATCTCTTCCGCGAGGACGCTTTGCCGAATGCCCACGTACGCGTGCTCCTGCACATGTGCCGCGTTCCGTGTTGTAGCGCCAGTTACAGAGCAAGTTGGAACAAGGTGCACAAGGAGAGAAAGAGTTCGCACCACGATCTGGTATATCTCATCACACAGACCCTCGAACTCGTCCATGCGTGCACCCAGCAGGTTGAGCTGCGACACCTGCGGCCCGCCCTCCCCTGGGCTGCAGTAGGCATCAGTGTCATGCACAAACACCAAGCACTCCCGCACGAGAAACCGCCGGACCGCCTTTGGCGATCCGAAGCGCAAGAGAAGGAGAACGACTCGTACCCTATCCGCTCGAGGATGGCCAAGGCAGCTGATATCACGCCCTGTAATCATTTTTATATTTCATTTTCTGTTTTTAATGAGATTTACTCACTAATCTCACGGGGCGAGCGGGGTGCGATCCGTACCTCGAATGACTTCTTGATTTGTGCTATGTAAGCATCAAAATCGACCGCCCCCGAGATCGACTGTCGCGGCACCGCCGTTGGCTGCTGCATCCAGAATGTGTCTATTTTATTTTTTGTTTTGTTGCTATTTGTTTTTAGTTTTTTTGTAAGCGTAAGGTGGCGGTAGGGTCACTGCACAATAAGAACACCCTAGAAAAAACAAGGGAAATCAGTTCAGGCGAGATGGAAGCAAGGCGCATCGATTGTGATGAAGAGGGCAAACGGGATGAGCTGCACGGCGAATATTTGCTGCTTCAAGATGAGGAAGAGGCGTCACGTCTCGCAGATGAACTGGCGCCGGACGATTGCGAAATCATGATGCAGAGTCGATCAGCCCTGCTGCAGGGACTCTACCTCGCGCTTCCTCCCTCTTCTCCAGATGCAACCACGACCTTCGATAATCTGCCTGAAGAGGTGATAGCCACCATCTTCGCCTTCCTCGACCGCGGATCGCTGCTTCGTGCTGCCGCCACGTGCCATCGCTGGAATCGAATCGCGTCGGACGACGCCCTGTGGCGCCCCCTCTACTTCCTGCCGAAGCACCAGCACAACAACACTGCCGACGTCGATGTCGAGGCGGGCGATGCGCAGCACGAGCAGCTCATGCCTCACACATCACCATCATCGCTGCAGCCGTTCTTCTTGCACGCGCCCACCCACTCGTGGCGTGCCGCCGAGGCATGGCAGCGCGCCCGCGACGACCAGTGGCGCGCGCTCGTGGCCGATCGCGACCGCGAAGCCGAGGCGCTGCACGCACGACTGCAGCGCGCGGAGGAGGATGTCTACGCGCTCACCGTGTGCTGCGAGGGTCTCGAGGCCGAGCAGGCTCTGCGATTCGAGGCCGAGCTCGCACTGCGTGGCGCCCGCGCCGAGCTGGAGGACACGTCGTACGAGCTGATGGGCCGCACGCACCGACTCGAGGAGAAGACCGAGGAGGCCGCGCGGCTCGCCCGAGCCCTGGTCGTGGCGGAAAAGGGCCGCGAGGAGGAGAAGCGGCGAGCCGACGCGCTCGAGCGCGAGGCGCGTGCGCTGCGGGAGCGCTGTGAGACGGCGGAGCGATCGCTGGACCTGGCCGCGCAGCGGTGGGTCAAGGAGAAGAAGACGCGCGAGGAGCTGCTCGACCTGCTCGGCCGCGAGCAGCGTTCGCGTAGCGATCTCACGCGGGAGACCATCGCTGCCCTGTTCAAGCAGCTACTTGCCCCTTCGTCCTCTTCTTCCTTGCCTCCGTCTTCATCTACATCGCGTTCTGCACCTTCATCATCCTCGGCGGCGTCGTCGTCTTCATCCTCATCAGCTACTCTTTCCACGTCTCTGCCGCCGCCATCAGCATTACTGAGCCGCCACGGGCCGGGCAAGAGCGCCGCGGCCGCGGGGAGGGCCATCAACGGCGCCACGGCGCCCCAACACGGCAACCCGGCCACGCTCGCGTCTTCAACATCTCCGCCCAAGGCGTCGCTCTTCCCCAAGGGCCAAACCAAGTGCAACTTCTAATCACACACACAAGACTGCTATTTATTTGGTTGTAAATAAATGTAATTGTTTTATTATATTTATTGTTTATTTTGCACAGATGGGAGACGAGCGTGCGGAGGCCAGCAGCGAAGGCGGACCCCGAACGTGGGCGCGGGCTCTGCTGACGCACAAGCAGGCGGCAGATTTTGTGCTCGGCGGACTGGCCACCGTGACCGCTGTCCTGTTCACCAATCCCATCGAGGTACACCCTCATCCGCTCACATCTCTAAATCGTGCTCCGGATTAGGCTGCCCGAGAGCCAGGGCGTACTGGAGACGAAATCGAGCACAATTTGTAACTCAATCTCTTAACTTCATGGATTAACCTTGAATCTATCCCGTACTTTGGTGTGCAGGTGGTGAAGACGCGACTGCAGCTGCAAGGAGAACTGCAGCAGCGGGTCGCCAAGAACAAGCGGACCTATCGTGGTGTGTGGCACGCGTTCAAGACCATCATCTCCACCGAGGGACCACTAGCCATCCAAAAGGGTACGGGCACGCGGTGCCGGCACCGGGCAATGCGATCGATCGTTGGCCTTGCGAAGAGACTCGCGGGCTAACGCACATGTGCGACGCGCTCCACCAGGTCTGTTTCCGGCTGCCGCCTACCAGTTTTGTATGAATGGAATGCGGTACGTGCCTGTGTGTCGATCACCCGATTTGTGTCGTGTGTGCCACTCACTCAACGTGTTCGCGGCTGTGCGTCGTGTTCTGTACACTTGTGTTGTGTGACAGACTTGGATCGTACAGCGTGTTCAAGCAGCTGCTACTGGAGAATCACGGAAGCGCGAGCAAGGATTCGCTCTTCTTTTTGAAGAACATGCTCGCAGGTACCGGGTTCGCTGCAATCACACAACACTCGCACGCGGCTGATGCGTGTTGTGCGTCAGGTGCCACGGCGGGCGTGTTGGGTGCGGTGGCGGGCTCTCCATTCTTCCTCGTGAAGACTCGAATGCAAGCACAGACCGAGTATGTTCCATCTCCCCCATTCTCTGGTCTTGCTCTGCGCGTGCTAACACCCTCCTTTCCCGCGCCTGCTACGCATTCGTCAAAAAATCGCAGCGTGGCGGCCCTGGCGGTGGGCCACCAGTACAAATACAAGAACTCCTTCCAGTACGTTGTACTGATTGCGTGGTGGTGCAGTGCGGTCGATACGTCGCGCTGACCTGGGGCTACAAGCACAGGGCGTTCAAGAGCATCGTGCAGGCAGAGGGGCCGCGTGGTCTGATGCGAGGAGCAGACGCGGCGGCGCTGCGGGTGGGAGTGGGTTCGAGCGTGCAGCTGCCACTCTACGATAACGCCAAATCGCTCATTCTCGCCACCGGGGTACCCTCCAGCCCAACGCGTGCACACGCGGAGACTGGCCAAGCGATGTGCTAATCCTGGAATTCATTCTCTGTCGCGCAGTGGTTGGGCAACAATATCTATGCTCACGTGGCGGCCAGTTTGGTGTCAGGTGTGGGCCTGGTGGTTGCCATGAACCCGTTTGATGTCGTTGCCACGCGACTGTACAACCAAAAGGTCGAGGGTGGCAAGGGAGCACTGTACAGAGGTACCTCTGATCTCCATGGCAATTACGTGTCTTTTTTGGGCTGTGGCTGTGACTCTATGAGGGACAATGGTACACCACCAGGGCCCTTCGATTGCTTGTGGAAGACGGTGAAGGCTGAGGGTGTCTATGGCCTGTACAAGGGTGTGTTTGCACACTACCTTCGCACAGGACCTCACACTGTACATGCCCCATCCACTGCAATCCTATATCAATTTATTCATGGTGCACCAGTGTTGGCCTAACTTGGTGCTTTTGCTGCAGATTTTGACATTTGTGTTCTGGGAACAGTACAAGAAGCTGGCCAGCAACTTGTGAATGTTACTGTTTTATAAAGTTTACACTGGTATTTGTTGCTTCACTCTGTTCAGAATCATCCTTTTGGAGGAGTGGAGAATCACACACCTCAATGGAATAGCACCAAGGTAATGCTGCCTTTGGCCAATGTGGTCCATCCTTACACAACGGGCTTGGATGCCACCACCTGCGTGTTGGCTGCCTTTGCAACTGTGCGAAAGGTTGTTGCCGACAGTCGAGAAAGGGGCAGCCTATTTGGAGAACCACAAGTGCGGAGGAAGGGCGGCGGGGAGAAAAGGGGCGAGAGGCCATGAGGAAAAGTATCTTCTCGGCCTTTTGGCTAAGATCAAGTGTAGTACCCGTCAAGGGTGCTCCACGAGATCCCTGTCGCTAGCCGACCGGTTTTACCACCCCACCCCGCCCGGACAACCACGGACCCTGCTCCGCAGCAGGACCCCACGCACGATGGCCGCTAAATCCGTCGCCTGCCCTCACGATGGATGCGCCAACAAGTACGCGTCGGAAGCCTCCCTCCGAAGACACATTAAGAACAAACACGCTACAGATGAGGAAGGAGATGAGACCTCACACTCCTGTCCCCACTGCCACCGACCTTTCTCCACCGCCCGCGGGCTCAGCGTCCACATTGGCAAATCGCACCGTCAGGCCCCCCCTGAGCCGACGCGCCCCCCCCCGGCCCCGGCCCCTGCCGATCCCGGCCTCGATCCCGACCCCGGCCCCACCGTGACGCCCCCCAGCCGTGATGACGAAGACCGCGAGGAACCCGACGACGACCCCGTGGAGATCGCGGACCTAAGCTGCCCTCACTGCGCCCAGGCCCTCCCGTCGGCCCACGGCCTCGCCAACCACCTTCGCGCCTGCAAGGACCACAGGGTCCCCGCCCCTGGAGCACCCCGCTCGGGTCCGCCCAGCTCCAGGTACTGGACTGCTGTCGAGCACCACCGCTATGTGGAGGCCATGGCGCGCTTCGCGGATCACCCCGACCTACTTGCGCGCGCGGCTGCCCACATCGGGACCCGCACGTACAAACAGGTTGACTCCCACCGCACCAAGGTGATCGCGGCGGAGCGCGAGGGCCGCCCTGTCCGCACGCTCGACCCCACGATGGACTGGCGCATGCGGCCCTACTGCGCCAGCACCACGGCCCGGTGGCTGGCTGAGCAGGGGCGTAGCCCAGTAGCGCCCCGCTCGCCCTGCCCCGAGCCCCACGCCCCGCCGCCTGCAGCCGCGCTGCTGTACATCCCGGCCACGCCCCCCGCGCCAACGCCCCGTGCCCCAGTGGCGCCTCCCAAGCTTGCGCCTCCCGCCGAGAGCACCGTGCCCGCCACGCCCGATGGGAATCCGGAGGCGCCAGCACCCCCGTTTAGCGCCCCCGGACCTCCCACCCCCAAGGCATTGCCGCCCCCGCCCCCGTCCCGCCGCAACCTGCGCCCTCACCTCGTGCCCAAGGATGCTTGGCAGGGGGTCGCCGATGCCGTCGCCCCTGCCGCCTCGCGCCTCCTGCGCACGCCCCTTGCGCACCTCTCCACCGAGCAGTGGGCCACGTTCGAAGCCGCCCTCGCCGGCCTCGAGGCTACGCTCCACCATGCCGCCCGCAGTGCAGAGGCGGTGCCCACACGCTGCGCTAGCCGAGCAAGGGAAGACGCCGAGCGCCAACTCCGTGAAGCCCGAAAGACGCGTGAGATCTTTGGCAAGGCCGCTGCCCTCTACGCAGCCGGCAAGGACCCCACTGCCACCATCGAGCGCATCCCCCCAGAAGTCCGCCTACACCTGCCAACCCCTGGCTCGGCTGAATGGCCCGCCAGGGCGGCCGCCGCCCGCAGGGTGATCCGCCGTGCAGTCGCGCGAGCGGACCGGTTGCGCAAGCGCATGGGCATCCTCGATAGCGACCGCGACCTCCAACGCCTCTTCAACGCTAACCAGAAGAAGGCAGTTCGGCAGATCCTCGCCCCGTCCACCAAGGCGCCGCGGTGCCAGCTAGACCCAGCCGCCGTCGAGGAGGCCTACATCCAGACCCTCGCCAAGCCGCCGCCGATCGACCCCAGCCCCCCGTGGAAGAACTCCGTCCAGTGGCCCCGCCCGCCCACTGCCGCCGATGACGGAGGCAGCCCCTTCAGCGTCGCCGAGGTCCGGGCCCAGCTCCGCCGACTGCCCAACGGGTCCGCCCCAGGGATCGATGGCATACCGTACGAGGCCTACAAGCGTACGAAACTGGACGCCACGCTCGCCCATGTCTTCGAGGTCGTGCGGCTGAATGCGCGCCTGCCAGCTCGATGGGATGTGGCGCGCACGGTCCTGCTCTACAAGAAAGGCGACCCTAACGACACCGGCAACTGGCGACCGATAAGCCTCCAGGTCACCATCTATAAGATCTTCACGGCCGCCCTGTCGAAGCGGCTCATCTCCTGGGCTGGCAAGCACAACACTTTCTCCGCATCGCAGAAGGGATTCCTACCGGCCGAAGGCTGCCACGAGCACGCGTTTGTCTTGCGAAGCGTGCTTGACGACGCCCGTCGGCACAAGCAGAACGTGTACCTTGCCTGGTACGATCTGCGCAACGCCTTCGGATCGGTGTCGCACGACCTCATCGCCTGGTGCGCTGCCATGTTGGGCCTGCCCCGCTACCTCCGGGATGCCATCGGCGCAATCTATCGGCACTCAGCGCTCTTCGTCCAAGTTGGGGATCAGGAGACCACCGGCGTCATTCCTATGCGCTGCGGCGTCAAGCAGGGCTGCCCTCTCAGCCCCCTCCTCTTCAACCTGTGCGTCGAGCCGGCCCTTCGCTGCCTACGCCGCACCACCGGGTACAAGTTCTACGGCACGTCGATCACCGTCGAGGGCCAGGCCTACGCCGACGACCTGCTCACTGCCGCGCCCTCCGCCTACCATGCGGCCCGGCAGGTGGCCACGATCGAGGAATGGGCCAACTGGGCGGGAGTCTCCTTCGTCGTCCAAGCCCTCTCCCTGGATGCGCCGGCCGGCAAGTGTGCCGCCCTCGCGATCAACTTCGAAGGTGGTCTAATGCACTCTATCGACCCTGCCCTCAAGGTCCAAGGCGCAGCCATCCCGGCCATGTCAAGAAACAACGTGTACCGCTACCTCGGAGTACATGTCGGTCTCACAGATGCGCTCGGCCAAGCGAACGAGCTCCTCGAGAAGGCCTCACGCGATGCACGCACGATCTGTGCCTCTGGCCTCGAACCCTGGCAGAAGGTGGTCGCAATCAAGACCTTCATCCTCTCCCGGCTCCCCTTCTTCTTCCACAACGGGAAGATCCAGAGGGGCCGATGCCAGCAATTCGACCGCGAGCTTCGAGAAAACCTGCGGGCCGCCCTCCGACTCCCCGTCTGCACCACGAACGCCTTCTTCCATTCCCGCGTGGCCTCAGGCGGCCTTGGCATCCTGCCCATCGCGGAAGAACAACAAGTCTACCTGGCAGCCCACGTGTTCAAGCTCCTGACTTCGCCAGATCTGTCGATCCGCGCCATCGCCCGACACCAACTTGCCGAGGTCACCCACGCGCGACACACCACGCCAGTCCAGGACGGCGAAGCGTCACCCTTCTTCGGATGGCTCATGCGGGGGCAGGAGGTCGCATCAACTACCCCCTCGGGTGACGTCAGTTCAATCTGGTTCGCAGCTGCAGGCGCCTACTCGAGGATGGGATGGTCAGTCCGCGATGCACTCCACCCGACGCTGACAGTTGGTCCGGGCGTCCAATTCGAGGGCCGATTCCAACGTGCCAACGTCATCCCAGCTCTCCGGGCTAGCGCCTTTTCCCGCCATGCTGTGGAATGGAGTGCCCTCCGCACCCAGGGTCGAGCAGCAGCCTACCAACATGCCGTCCACCCTGCAACGCACCACTGGGTCCACAACAGCGCTGGCCTGACGACCAAGGAGTACCGATTCGCGATCAAGTGTCGATTGGGTCTCCTGCCGACGCGAGCAGCTCCACACCACCGCAATGGGCCAACAGCGTGCAGGGCGTGCTCCTACGCCCGCGAGACGGCCAACCATGTTCTCGGACACTGCCCGGCGACCAAGGCCGAAGTCATCGCGCGCCACAACAGGATATGCCGAGCTCTGGCCCAGGCGGCTGAAGCCTCATGGACGTCTGTCCTTGAAGACGTCCCGATCCCGGGGGTGGACTCCCCCCTACGACCCGACATCTACTGCTCTCGGCCGGGCCAGTGTGCCATCATCGAGGTCGCGGTCTCCTACGAGGACGCCTTCAACGCTTCGATGGAGGGCCGGGCGAAGCAGAAGACCGACAAGTACGCTGGCCTGGCTGCTACCGTCGAGGAGCAGCTGCGGCTCCAAACCCGGCACGCGGCTTTCGTGGTGGGCTTCTCTGGCGTCGTGCTCCCAGCCTCGGTAACCGCTACGGCCACCTCCCTTGATCTCCCCCCCAAAACTTGGAATGTGCTTCTTAAACGTTGTGTTGCTGCCTCAATCAAAGGCAGTTACACAGCGTGGAGAAGATTCCGGCGCTCTACTCCATAACAACCATGTATGGTGAACCACACCTCTCTCGATCTTGTATTCTGTGATTGGACATCAGAGTTCCTGCGAAGGGATACACTCTGCCAATCTCGTGGGTTGTAATAAATCCACACCTTCAACATCTGTTCTTATCAGCTTAATCTCTGGTAGTGAAGCGTTCCTGCTTCACATCAAGATTAAACTTATTTCTCGTGGGGGACCAGCTGGCACTCATGCCCGCAGCTTGCTGTGGGCAGCCTCTGGTCGCCGATCGGCTTCGCACTGCACGCACCGCGAAGTTCTTCAAACGGTCGACCCCTTCCCTCTCCACAATCATAAAAAACAACACTCCTTCGAACACCTTCAATACGCCTCGCGTGCCTTGGCTTCTGCTCCCAAATTTGTGTGAGTGAGCGTCAATAACGCTGGTCTATTGCGGCTCATTACTCCTCCACCGCAGACAGCAGGGCACGCTGAATGGCCCTGGCCGCGCCCACCACGCGCTCCTCTTCAAACCTCCGGCCCACCACCTGCACCACCACCGGCAGTCCTCCAAATCCCTCCACCCCGCCTCGGGCCTGCCACAGTGCTTGGTTGGCCACGTCAGACTCCCCGTGTGGAGCTCGGCCCTCGGCGGCGATGTAGTCGAGCGGCGCCGCGGCGTCGCGCCCATGCGGCTCCACGGTGGCGATGGGCACCGTGAGGGCCGGGAAGTCGAGCAGGTTCCAGGGGATAGTGTAGCCCACGTGGTGCAGACTCTCGTGTGGCGCGCCGACCAAGGCCAGCACTGGCGACAAGATCACGTCGATGGGCCGACCGCAGGCGGTGCGCTGGGCTGACGCGTTCCACCGTGCCAGGTAGCGCCCGGCCCACTCGTAGCGCCTTCGGTTGAGCTGCATCAGCTGGTAGACGCTCAGCTCGTCCTCGGGCCGGCCGACATACACCCCGTCAATGCGGGGCTCGCCTGACGCTCTGACGTTCTCTTCAAAGTCCTTGCCGCCATCCATGGTCCAGAACTTGCACTGCAATTATTGCCACGTCAGCCACTACCCCATTGGAGGGCAAGTGGTGACGTACGCCGAGCTCAAACGCTTCGCGGTGGCTGGAGGCGTCCCAGTCGATGACCTCGTGCCCGGCGGCGCGCAGCTTGGCCACGGTCTCACGTAAAGCGCGTGTGATGGGCGGGTGCGGCGTGGCCTCGCCGTCGGTCCAGATCACCCCGAACACCAGCTGCTCGGCCTTGGCCGTGGCGCCCACCTTGGCGTCGTCCCAGGGCAGCGGCACCACCTTGGGGTCGTGGAGCCAGGGCTGGGCCAGCGAATTAGCCCGCATGAACAGCTCGATCGACTCCAGCGACCGGCCCATCGGCCCACAGACCGAATGCACCGATTCTTGGCCATCCTATGTGTGTCGTGTGTGCCGTGTGTCGTGTCACGTTGTGTCGTGTCGTGTCGTGTCGTGAGTTCCATGGCTGTAGCACCAATGCAACCACCTGGAAAGCGCACCATGGTGTTCTCAGCGCGGAAGTAAGGGACTCGCCCGTGTGTGGGACGAAGGCCGTAGAGCCCGCACAGGGCGCTTGGAATGCGGATTGACCCGCCGATGTCGGTGCCCACGCCCAGCGGGCTGCCGTGAAAGGCCAGCAGGGCGCCCTCGCCGCCGCTGCTGCCGCCCGGGCTCAGCCGCCGGTCGGCCGGGTGCGTGGTGCGGCCGATCAGGTGGTTGACTGTCTCGGGCTTCATGATCGACTGCGGCAGCGACGTCTTGACGTACAGGACCGCGCCCTGGGCCAGGAGGCCCTCAACGAGGGTCGAGTTGTGGTCGGCCGGCTGCGAGTCGCGCCCGACGTAGCCGAGCGTGGTGTCGTGCCCGACCACGTTAAACTGGTCCTTGAGGCTGATGGGCAGGCCGTGCAGCACACCCACGGGCCGGCCCGTGCGCTCGAGCTCGTCGTCGAGCACGCGGGCGCGCTTGAGGGCTTCGTCGAAGAACAGGTCCAGGCAGCAGTTGAGCAGCTGGTGGGCGATGGCGGCCCGCTTGCAGAAGGCCATCACCAGCTCGACGGCGGAACACTCGCGCTCTGCGAGCATGCGGCACAGGCGGGCGGCGTCGTCGATGTCGGTGAGGGCGAGCTCGCGGGGCGACAGGAAGCCGGCCTCTGCTGGGGCGTGGCGCACGTCGGTGCAGGTGTCCAGGCGACCGAGGAGGTCCGATGAGAGGACCCACTCGGGTGGGATAGCTGCCGCGAGCCGCTCGCGTCGCGCTCGGGCCACCTCCTCCCACGAGCCGCCCTGACGCGCTGTTGCTGACTCGTTCTCTTCCATGCAGCAGCTTCTTGGCTGCCCCCCCCCCCAAAGGGAAATGCTTTTCTTTGGCGTCAAAAATAAAAACCGGTTTGCCGAAAAGATGAAGGTCAGGAGGTGATGGTGTTCATGTCTCCCGCCAAGGGAGGAGTGGTATTACGAGTGGAACGTGGAGGAGATGTGGAGATAGAGGGAAGAGAGCGAGCATAACAAGAGAGGGAGAAGAGAGTGGTCGCTCATCCTTCGCTTTGTACAGGAGCAGAGGCAAACCGAGCAAGCCCCACTCCGCGAGCCGCACGGAGGGGCACCCGGGGCGGCATTAGCCGAAGGCCATGCTCTCCTCCAGCGCACGCAGCTCGGCCTCTTCGTCCGTCTCGGCCCGCAGCGCCTGTGGTTGACGGCTCGCCTGTGCCGGAAGCTGATTCGTAGGAGCGCTCGGCACTGCAAGTCACGCAGAGACCACAACAAGAGATGATGAGCCAATGCTCTTGCAACAAGGTCCCACCTACACCTGCTGCAGATGAAGACAAAAAACACGGAAGAACGTACGCTTGATGGGAGAGGCACTGACGGTGGTGGGTGTGTTGAGGGTGAGGAGCTGCTCGTCGAGGTTCTCGGCCTCGAGCTCTGCGAGTTCAGCCTCCAGCTCGTCTTCGTCGATGGGGTCGCCAAGCGGCTGCGCAATGGCATCGCTGATCTCTGTCGCGATATCCATCTGCTCTCGGATCTGGTCCATTGTGTTGTCTACAGTGTCGATCGACCTGAGTAGTGCCAAAGCGATCAGAAACACCTATATCGATGGAGGGCGGCACAGGAGAATAGACGTACATCGAACCGTGGATGCCCTGCAGGGCGGCAGCACCCTCACGCATCGCATTGATGGTCTCGAGGTTTACGGTGGCACCCTCAATGGCCATGAGCTGCGATTCGATGGTCATACGTGCCCCTGAGAGCTTTTGCACCTGGGCTTCGTAAGCCTTCTTCCTCTTGAGTGCCATCATGGCCACTGTGGAGCATGAGCGTAAGCGAGGATCTCAAAATCGTGGTTGGAGGCGAGCGGGCAGATGGTACCTCGTTTGTTCTTGGAGGCATTTTGCTTAGCAATTTGGAGCTCCTTCTCGATCTTCTTCTCCAGGAACTCTTCGCGCTTTGTAAGCATCTCAATGGTTTCGCGCAGCCTGTGGATGCTCTGCTGCGGTGAGGGTGTCGTCTTCTTCTTTCCGAACAATCGCATCTTGACTCAAGCCTCTTGTTTCTAGCTAGTTTGTCTTGATGCAAGCAGTAGCCGCCCGAAGGTGTGTCGTTGATGCGATGCTGAAATGCGTTTCCCGCCCCCCACCGTTGCGCGGGCACCAAGACTTTCTTCCGCTATTTCTCAATTTCTCTCAATTTTTCAAAGAGTGCTGCATTTCCCTGCCTCGGCTGAAATCTGCCGAGAGAGTGGAAATGGAGAACCAACGCACAAGCGCCTTCTCTACCTTGGCGTGGTGGGGCTGCAGTACAGTCGTTTTGGCGGCTGTGGCCACTGCCGACAGCATCGCTGATTCGGAAGATTATGTCGTGGACGATACAGTCGCCGAAGAATCGTCGTGGCTCGAAATCGGCGCAATGGGCATCCTGTTGGGCGTCATCGGTTGGCTGCTCAAGGAACTCCTCTTCCCAGGCGCTGTGGCCCAGCCTCCCGTGGCCTCCATCGCGTCTCGCAAGCGCACGCCCGTCGAGCCGCGCGATTTCAGCCCCGACGAGCTGCGCAAGATGAACGGCACCAACGGCAACCCCGTCTATGTGGCCGTGCTAGGCGTGGTCTATGATGTGTCGAGCCGTGCATCCTTCTACGGCCCCGGCGGACCCTACCACATCTTTGCTGGCCGTGACGCAGCGCGTGCGCTGGCCCTGGGCAGCCTCGAGGAGAAGGACGTGGAGGCGCCCTACCCCAAGCTCGATGATCTGCAGCCCTCCGAAAGGGAAGCCCTCAACGACTGGATTGGGTCCTACCAGGCCAAGTACGAGGTGGTCGGCCGCATCATTCCCTCGGCCAACTCCATCGCGTCGTCGCCCTCTGACTAAGCCTCGCTCCTCGCTTCCTTGCATGTACATGTTTCAGTGCTCGACCAGAGCTTTTTTTGTGGAGTGAATGGGTACTCAGATTACCGACCTTGTTGCCCCATTTGCCTGGGCCAAAGTGCTGTTGGTGAGGCATTGACAGGACCACCAACAACACGATTACTCTTCCAGTGGGGGAACTAAGCTGCGTGCGGCTCTCGCAACAGCGCTTTCATTTGTGCTTGTCGTACAACACAAGCCCCACCACACGACTGACATTGCTGTTGACGTAAGGATGACCCTGATGGGGGTGACAAGGTTTGTTTTTTTGTGATTGTGGAGAGGGAAGGGGTCGACCGTTTGAAGAACTTCGCGGTGCGTGCAGTGCGAAGCCGATCGGCGACCAGAGGCTGCCCACAGCAAGCTGCGGGCATGAGTGCCAGCTGGTCCCCCACGAGAAATAAGTTTAATCTTGATGTGAAGCAGGAACGCTTCACTACCAGAGATTAAGCTGATAAGAACAGATACTACACTTGATCTTAGCCAAAAGGCCGAGAAGATACTTTTCCTCATGGCCTCTCGCCCCTTTTCTCCCCGCCACCCTTCCTCCGCACTTGTGGTTCTCCAAATAGGCTGCCCCTTTCTCGACTGTCGGCAAAAAAGTGGTTTGGAGTGCCCATTGGACTCCACCTGCATTGGCAGAATCACTTGGGGATTGCCCCTGCCATGGCCCACAGAATGTGAAGAGGCTGCTGGCGCGCAATCAAGGCCATTCTGGAAAGCTGTGTGTCCTGTTTATTGCTTTTTCAGGAAACACGGTGGGGGTTCAAGGGGGGTGAAACTTCACCCTTTTCCCTCAACCAACAATAACATCCCCTTTCTGGAACTTCCTCAGATCAGCACTCACACTGCTTGGGCGTTTGTGAGAGTGCAGTGTTGAGGGAATCCTTGCTTGGATTGCTTAGCTTTATTGTGCCACCTTGGTTGGGTTGTGTCTTATGAACGGTTGGTACGTGTGAGGAGGGTGAGCGACTGAACGCCCTCAGAGATGCGCTCCCAATCGATGGCCAGCGCATTGCTGGGCTGCTTGGGCGGTGCTGGAAGGAAGCCGCAGTGGATGAAGTAGGTGAAGTATCGCCACAGCAGTTCGTCGCTGATCGCCGCAGGCGGTGCGTCCTTGACGTCGGCCAGGAAGGCGTCGGCGTTGGGCCGCTCGTAGATCGGACCATGCTGTGACGCCGCCCAGTCCTCTCCGAAGTGGGCCAGCAGCGCGCTCAAAGCGTTTTCCTCCCCGCTGTTGGTGGCCTCGACCAGTCGTCGCCGCCACTCGGCATATGGCACGACTTGCACCTGGAAATGCAGCCATCTAGTTAGCCGTGTGTCGTATGTGTGTCGTGTCGCGCAGTTGTGTTTCGTACAGGGTAGCCGAAGGCGGCAATGGCCTCGAAGAGACGGCGGAAGGGCAGAGGACCCGCCGGGTTGATGATGTTGAAGGTGCGACCGAGGGACGCCGGCTTGAACATGAGGGCCACTACGGCATGCGCGACGTAGTCCACGGGCGTCATGTCCGCCGCGATGTCGCCGTCGAGCTCGGGGGCGGCGCCCAGCTGGATGCAGCCCTTTATCAGTCGGCACAGGAAGTCGTCAGTGTTCCACAGCCCGTGAGTGGTGTCACCCACGATGTACGCCGGGCGGTAGATCGACGTTACGATGCCGCGCTCCGACCTGTTTTGTTGTAGAGAAGTCAATATGATTCACCGCACGACACGCACGACACGCGCACATGACACACGGCGTACCTGGCGATTTGGGCCATCTTGTCAGCGACCCACTTGCTCTGGGGGTAGCCTCCGCCGATGCCGCGCCAGTGGTCGAGTTCGAGTTCGCCGACGCGGGGCAGCTTGTGCACCTCCGTGGCCTCGTACACGCTGGTCGTGCTCATCACGTGCACCGGCGTTGGCTCCGCCCGCCCGCTGCTGCACGCCAGACGCAGCACCTGCGATCGAACAATGTAACAATAATGGTCATTTTCTATAAACATCAACATGTTTACTTACTATCATATCGCGCATTCTTGGGAAATACCTCTTGCGTGCCAAGGACGTTGGCGGGGGCGAGCGCCTTGTAGGGGTGGAGCCAGTGGAGGAAGGCGCCGTTGTGGAGGATGGCGTCCACGGAGCGCGCCAGCTCGAGGAACTGCGCCTCGTCCAGGCCCAGCCGAGGGCGCGCGAGGTCGCCAGGCACGAGCACCAGGCGCTCCAGCCACTCGTCGCGCCACACGGCGTGCGCCTTGAGCGACGCCTCCAGGCGGGCGAGCGCATGCTTGGGCGAATCCGCACGCACCAAGCACAGCACGCGACCGTTCGTGCGCTGCATCACCTCACGCACCAGGAACGCGCCTGAACGGGCGTTAGTGTCGTGTGTGTGTGTGTGTGTGTGTGTGTCGTAGCGTGTGCTGTAAGGATTGCGGAGAAAGTACCGACAAAGCCGGTGGCGCCGGTGATGAACACGTTGGTGGGGGAGGCGGGGAGGGCGGCCGCGGCCGATTCGGCAGCGGGCGCCACGAAGCGCACGGCCGCATCGAGGGCCTGCGCGTGGGCCATGAGGTTCTCCGTCGACTCGGCCTCCACACGGCTGCTGCCCAGCTGCTTGATGCGGTCCACATGCCTGCACTCACTTCGGTTAGCGGCCGTGTGTCGTGTGTGTCGTGTGTGTCGGAGTCTGGAGGCATACTTGGCGAGGGCGGTAATGGTGGGCGACTGGAAGAGGAGGTTGATGGGGAGGTGGACGTGGAGCTTCTGGGAGATGTGGAAGATGGCCTGGGTGGCGAGCAGCGAGTGACCGCCCAGCTCGAAGAAGTCGTCGTCGAGCTGAATCTTGAGCGGACTCGCGCCCAGCAGCTTGGCGAAGATCTCCAGCAGCCCACGCTCCGTGTCCGACAGCACCCGCACGATGTCGCTCTCGGAATCGGCGCCCTGCTTCTCCGCTTCGGCCTCAGGCTCCTGGAAGGGGTCGGGCAGGCCCTGGCGGTTGATCTTGCCGTTGGGCGTCAGCGGCAGCGCGCGCAGCACGATCACCCGACGCGGCACCATGTACTGGGGCAGTCGCGTCCGCAGGAAATCGCGGCAGTCCTTCTCGAGCTGGTGCGCGTGGGTGGTGGCCGGCGTGTCGTCGGTTGCGGCGGCGGCGGCCCGCGACGCGGGTACGATGTAGGACACCAGGTGCTTGTCGCCGGCGCGGTCGGTGCGGAGGACGGTGACGTTCTCCTTCACCAGGGGGTGCTGGGCCAGCGCGGCGTTGACCTCGCCCAGCTCAATGCGGAATCCGCGGATCTTCACCTGATCGTCGGCTCTCCCGCTGCACTCCACCTCGCCCTTGGTGTTGTAGCGGCCGAGATCGCCGGTGCGGTAGGCGCGGTCCCACTCGAGGCCCTTGCCCAGCGGGTTGGGCAGGAACTTGGCGCGGGTTTCGGCGTCGAGCCCGACGTAGCCGCGCGCCAGGTGGGGCGACCGCACGTAGATCTCGGCCACCTCGCCCACGCCCGCCAGCTGGCCAGCCTCGTTAATGATCAGCAGCTGCACGTCCTTCATGCCCTCTCCGCACGGCATCACCTCCTTCATCGGTCGCACCTCCTGCCCATTTCGCCGCACGCGCCGCACACGCACACGCGACACACCACACGCGTGAGTGGAAGATGCAAGGGAGGCAGAGAGAAGGGCGATGGTACCTCGTCGGAGGGCACGACCCAATAGCCGACGGAGCGCTGGGTCTCTGTGGAGCCGTACATGTTGATGATCTGCGCTCGGGGCGCCATTCTGCGCAGACGCGCGACGTCGCGCTTGATGAGCAGATCGCCCACGAAGAACACGGCACGGAGCGAGTCGATCTTGAACGAGTCGTCCTCCACCGTGATCAGCAGCTGGCCCATGGCCGGCGTCAGGCACGCCACCTATGTGCCCAACCACACCGCAAACAGTCAGTCGCGAAATGCAACGCCAAAAAAAAAAAAAACGAATATTAACCATACTACTAAATGGTGCAAAGAAAAAGGGAGTTGAGATGATGCTGGGAGCGCACGTTGATCTGCTGTTCGGCGAACCACTTGGCGAGCGCGCCGGGCGTGCCGATGTCGTCCTCCAGCGGGATGTAGATCTGCGCGCCGAAGAAGATGGGCGTGAAGATGTCCCGCTGCAGCGGGTCGTGCGCTATGCCCGAGCACAGCGAAAAGCGATCGCCCTCCCCGATGCCAAACCGCGTCGCCATCCTGTGTCACACGCGCTCGGCATCAGTGGACTGTACTTCTTGCGCGGACTCGAGACAAGACCAGTTGGGGGGAGACGAACCAGGGGTAGAAGTGGGTGAGGGGCAGATGGCGGCCCATCACGCCCTTGGGCAGGCCGGTGGAGCCCGACGTGAAGGTCACGATGGCCACGTCGTTGGGACCCACATCGACCTCCGGCGGTGCGACGCTGAAGCCGCCGTACAGGTTCTCGAACTCGCTCGGCTCGTTCGGCACCTGCGCCTGACAGGCGAGCCCGAGGGTGCCGAGGAACTCCTGGACTTCGGCGGGCGGGCTGCCGGCCTCGGAGATCTGGAGCCAGGCGCGCGCCTTGGCCACCGTCACGCAGTCGATGATGCGCGACGCCGGGTACTTGGGGTCCACCATGGAGTACGCCGCGCCTGTTCAGGAGAAAATCAGAATATAAAAAAATGCGAACAAAACAAAATAACAAATACTAAAAATAAATGACCATCGGGTTGGTACGAACCGGCCTTGAGGGCGGCGAGGATGGCGACGACGACGGCGGGCGAGCGGTGGCCGTAGATCACCACCGGCTGCTCCCTGCCCACATTCTGCTGCAGCAAGTAGTGCGCCACGCGGTTGCTGCGCTCCTCTGTTCCGATCGACCCAATCAAGTAAGTACTCGACGTTTGAAATAATAATGGTCACACGAAGGGGCAGAATGGAAGAGGCACCGAGCTGCTTGTAGGTGACCACCTGGTTGTTGTAGGAGATGGCCGGGAGGTCGGGGCCCGACTGGGCGTGCTTGGTGAGGAAGTGGTGGATGGGACCCTCCCACGTGGTATCCAGATCGGCATCCGGCACTGGCAGCACGCTCCGCCCGAACTCGGTCACCAGCGAATAGTCGCCCAAACCGGCCTTGGCCAGCGCAGTCTCATCCAGCTCCACCACCTGCATTCGGCCGCATACAGAAGGCCATTACACCACGTGCGTCTGCCACAAGCCAACGGGGAAGTGGCATTACCTGCGAAAGGAGGGAGCGGATCTGGCGAATGAGCTCGCGAGCGCGCTCGGGGTGGTAGAGGCCCTGGTTGAACAGCACTGTAGCCTCCACTGTACGGCCGCACACGGCACGACACGACGCACAGTCAGGAATCGAGAGGCAGGCCAACCGCTGGAGTGCCGGGCGCACCTTGCGAGCTGGGGGTGGCCTGGAGGTGGAAGCTGAGGTCGTAGGGGGAGAGCGGCGCGAGAAGGTGGAGGCCCTCCGCCTGCTGTTGGTGGGCGATGGTGGGCATGGCGCCCGGCAGGACGAAGCTGATGGGCGACACGTCCTCGCCCGCTTCGGCGGTGAACGACTCCGCCGCGGCGTCCTGGTGGTGGACGGCCTGGCTCAGGGTCTCGATCAGATTGGCGAAGAGCGACGGGAAGCTCAGCTTGGAGTGCACGTGGCACCGCAGCGGCAGCGGACGCGCCAGCGGACCCACGGTGTGCGGGAGGGGTCGGAATGCGAAGCACGCAGCGGCGACGTCCTCCTCGCCGGCCCACCGGCTGAGCACCACCCACGCGGCGGTGATGATGGCGATCGAGCCGCCGAGGATGGGATCGGCACGAATTGAATGCGACGCCGTGGGGCCGGCCAGCTGGGCCGCCAGCGCGGCCACGCGCGACCACAGGGCGGGCTCGAGGGTGAGCTGCTCGGCGCCGCAGCGCCAATCGGGCACAGCCGGGCGAGGACGGTCGTTGGGCAGCTGGATTGTGGGCGGGCGCAGGGTCAGGCGTTCGCGCCAGTAGGTGACCTGCTCGCGCCAGTAGCCGGCCTCCTGGGTGGCCACGTCCTCGTCATCGGCGAGCTCGTGCAGCCGGCGTTGCCACAGGGCGTAGTTGGTATAGGGCGTCGTCTCGGGCTTGGGCTCCGAAGCCTGCAAGCGAGTGGGTGTCTCAGTGTCGGCAAACATCCATTCCAAAGTGCAATAAATTAATTGAGGCCTGGCTGTGGTGGCGCACCTGAAGCAGCTCGCGGGCGATGAGATGGAGCGAGTGGGCATCGGCGACCAGCCGGTCGGCGGCGATGACCACCACCGGTCGCTCGCCGCTGTCGCTGCCGAGGCGCAGCACCACGCGAAACAGCGGGCCTTCAGTCTTCTCGAGATCGAAGGTCACAGCCTGCTGTTGCGTGACGAGTTCGTGGGCGTCGCCGGTCGGCACGACCTGCAGCAGCGAAGCCACGTCGATCTGCTTGGCGTGCTTGACGAAGGCCACCAGCTTCTTGTGGCCGTCCTCCGCGACATGGCGGAAGCACGTGCGCAGCGCGGCATGACGCGCCACCAGACCCATGAGCGCAGCCTGGAACTGAGCTGGCGTGACGTCAGCCGGCGCGTGCAGGGCGAGCACCACGGGCGGTCGCGCCGGGCGCTTGGCTTCGCGCTCCTGCGCGAAAGAGAGCACGACGGGGAGGATGCCCTCTACGCTCTCGCCAACGCTGCTGTCGACACTGGCCGGCCTGAGCCAAGCCGAATGGAGGTCGAAGGCGGCGCGGGTGCGGGACCACACCGGATCGGCCTCCAGAGCGTCCAACCGCAGGAGCAGCGGACGGAGCTGCGCGCTAAAATCGGCCGACGACAGCGAGGGCACCAGCGCAGGCAGCGTAGGGATCGCTATGACGTCCAATGGCGGCAGATCTGATTCAAAACGAGAAAAGGGAATGTCAGCTGGTGGCCAGAGGTCGGTGATGGTAGAGGCGGGTGACGCGCACCCTTGGTGGCGTCGCCGTCGAGCACGCGCAGAGCGGGGCGCTCGAAGGTGGTGGTGCGGTCGTAGATGGGGAGGGGGTTGTTGGGGTTGCTGACGTCACACGCCACGTCGACAACGACGGCCAGCCTGCGGTCGCCACGGCGGATGGCCTCGTGGGTGACGAACGGGCCAACCATCTCCGTGCCCAACTGGAGAGAGACGGTGTGCGTGCGGGGGGGGGGCGGATTGTGTTGAGCGCCAATGACCCGGTACCCCCGTTGGGGGGGAGTACACACGTGAACGTTCACGTTGTGGGTCGAGAGGAAACGTACGCTGATGGCGTTGATGAGGATGTCGAAGTCGAGGAGCGCAGGGAAGGGTCCCTCGCCCACGGTCTGTTCGCGACCCCAGAGGGCGACCTCGATGCCCAGCTCGCCGGCCATCTCCACGGCCTTCGAGCCCACGCGACCGCGCTGTATCATCACAGGAGGAGAGGCGCGCGTGAGACGTCAGAGCCAATTAACAATTAGTTGGGCGGCAAGGCGTACGGGTCCGATAATGACGGCACGAGGGGCCTTCTTGGCGAAGGTGGTGGCCAGCTGGAGGAGGGCCTTGATGTGCGCGATGAGGGACACGCCCTCCACCCGATGCAAAAGATCCTCCGGCACCGCCATACCCACACGCACCAGCACCTGCGGGGGGGGGGACAATTAAACCACAATTAACTTAACACGCACGCACACGCACACGCACACGCACACACACACACACACACACACACAACGCGGGACGTGGTCGTGCCTGCTTGCACCACGCGAGGACGGCCGCAGCGGTGGCGATGATGCCGGCCGAGGGACCGAAGGACGTGAGGCGAGCGCCGGTCACGGGATCGTTGACGAACTCGAGGTCGAGCAGGAGTCCGCCTCCGCGCACGAACGGCGCGAGGCGATGGGCGGCGCCCTGCTGGCCCTTGTAGGCGTGGCCGAAGTACATGTGCACGCGCTCCAGCCCGGCGCAGTCCACGCTCAGGCCCTGAGGCGCGCGGATGCCCAGCACCAGCGCGTCCTTGGGCGCTTCCCGCCAGGCACCGGCCTCGACCAGCGTGCACCTGCCGACCAAGTACGTGAAAAGATGCATCGCACGTGCGGTGGTTGATGACCATGACCACGACCACGACCGCGACCACCTCCGGGCTTGACCGCGACAAACAGCACCACACCAGACGAACAGAGAGAGGCCGTCGCGTACCCAACGGCACCGTATTCGGCATCGGGGAACACGCGCTGCTCGGACCTCTCCACTGTGACCTGGCGTGAGGCACGCGCATGAATCGCAGTGAGATGTTAAAATAAATAAATAAAAGAAAAACTCGCTTCATCAATGTTTTGATTGTTGTGAAAGCGACCAAGCCAGAAAGCGCTGCAGCCAGAAGGGGGCAGGGCGCACCAAGTAGCCTGCCTCGATGAGAAGCCGGGCATCGCCAGGCACGAGTGGTGTGCGTCGATCAGTTTCGAGATTTGCTGAATCGCCGCGCGACGGCCGAGTGGCGGACGCTTCGGCTCGCAACCATATGTGCCGGCCCACCATCTTCCTATCTAACGCCGAGATCGAGTGAAGAGTGAAATAGTGAGCTCCCTTCCCCTCCGCCGGAGCCCAGGCTGGCAGACGCCAGAAGTGTGCGCATTCCATTCATATTTCCCCGGGCAACAACTCCGGGCCTGGCGGTTGGGACCACGTGCGTTGTTTGCTGTGACTTCAACTGGCGGCGTTGAGGGCGAGGACCATGTGGCGAAGGGTGGGACACACTTGAGCCACCAGGGGGAGCGCATCGAGGGTGGTTGTGGGGCGGCAGGCCGCGTCGATCCAGGCGGAGCGCAGACACTTCACGAAGTCCGATGGCCGCGCCGTCAGAATGCCCTCCCAGTCCGGCTGCAGGCCCTGCGGCAGTCCCGATTCCATCTGTCGTGTGCATCATCACCGGTGAACATCGGTGAAGTCAGCCAGTGCACAAAGCACAAGCAGCAGCAATGGGGACCGCACCTCGAAGCCCAGCGCAAGGAACATGGCGTGCACAGTCACCAGACCTACGCACCGATGGTAGTGTGAGAACATCCTCCAGCATGAAGCCAAAAGACTGAAGGCGAAGTGGTGTAAACGTACCGACGGCAGCGGTGCCACGGGAGAGCGGCATGAAGTTGTACCAGTAGAAGGCCATGTGGAGCACAAGCTCGGTGAGCTTGGATAGGTCGCGGTGGGGCTTGCTAGCCTCCTCCTGCAACAGCCTGTAGTTGTGCGCCATCTCCGCATTGTACTCCTGCCAGAGGGGGCGATACATCGACACGTGGTCAGCTGCAGCATGCCCATGCGACTCACCTCTGTACCTATACGTACCTGCCAGCGGTTAGGCGTGCCGGGCGTTCGAATGGAGAACTCGTAGCCCTCCGGCGGCGATCTCTGTTGTTGTGTCGGGGGAGTGCATGTACTTAATAGGAGCCAGGGGGAGCGGGATCGATCGGGAAGGGGAACCAACCTGAATGGTAAGGCGGGTGCCTTCCATGATCCGATTGGGACGCGCGAGGGAGTGGCAGGGCGTCACCACCCAGAAGTCGTGTTGGACGGCCTCGTGCAGCGTCTTGCAGTCGAGGTTGTCGCCTGATCAGTTGCAGCCAACAATGTAAGTTTGGCTCGTGCGCAGTGCAGCTGCAACTGAGGCGGCGTACGCGTGAGCTTGTGTCGGAGTTCCTGTGATACGAGCGGGCTCTGCTGGAGCTGCTCTCGCATGATCCTTATCGCGCGTGGCGCCATGGGCGAGTAGCGCACCACGTACGTCTGCCCCGTCACCATCGGTGTGTGCGAACCGAACCTGGCCAGGCCACCCATCGTCAGACCAGCGGGCCAACGACAGACACAAGTCTTGTCAGGAAGGGATGGCGGGTACCCTTCAGCGAACTGTTCGGGGCTGAGCAGATCGACCCACCACACGGGGTCGTTCGGCTGGTTGGCGGTGTGGTGAGGGATTAGGTGAAGTTAGCCACCATCAGCCGGACCTCATTTCATTGCAATTGCGGACTTTACCTCCGAGAATTGGCGCCAGCGGATGGGGATGTCGTAGAGGTCGCGCCACGCGAATGTATGAGGCTGGTCTGTGAGCGAGGAGGCCTTACCCGACAGCTGCGTCTCCTCGCCAGCCCACACTCGTCTATACGACAAATCAAGTTATATAACATCAACTTCAGTAGCGGCAGCGAGATTGCCGCGATGGCTTACCGCAGGGTCTGGGCAAGTTCGATTATAGCGAAGCCGCATGCGCGCTGTTGCCGCTGGTTGGCCAAGTAGCCCGGGCAGTTGAGTTGAATCTTCTTCCCGATGTCCACAGCCGCCCTGATCAACAGCTCTGCAGCAACGTCTCGTTCATGAGTACCAACACAGGTGGCCCTAAAGAATGGAGAGGCGTACTGGCGTGCTCTGAACGAAGTTCATCGTTGAGTGCCACGTCCGCAATTGCCTGCAGGATTGCCACAGCCACGAAACGATGAGCCAGCGATCTGCACCTGCATACAGCTGCACAGAAAAGAGCCATTGTGTGCAATGGCGTACGTTGTTGATGGGCGGTTGAGACGTGTAGGACGTAAGCGTGGCCGGATCAAGTCGCTTGCACCAGGCCTCCTTGAAGTATGCGTTCAACACCCTACAGATCCGCATACGGCCATACGCGCACTCAACTTGCGGCACCCACGCAAGGCAAGGAATCGGGTCGAGTGGGTACCTGTCGATGTTGAAGTGGGCAACGGGCGTGTCGAGGTGGTGGTGCGTCCACAGGGCAATCTGTCGATTGTACCACGCGACGTGGTCGGGCTTCTCCCGCACGAGCACATCGTAGTCGGCGACGGCCTCTCGGAAGCGGCCCTTTTTGGACCCAACAGTCCGAACAAGATCTGGTCAGTCAGCGACAGCCGGATCGAGTGCTGTGAGATTGACGGATGGCACGTACGAGTCCATGCAGCACAATGCCGCGCATTAGACGCGAGTCTTTGTGTTTATCGTCGACTCGCAGAGCTGCAGTGAAGTCGCTCAGCGCCCCTCTGTGAGTGAGTGGGACATGACTCTCATTAGAGGCGAAGAGAGCAACAAGCTTGGCCTGGGGGGGGGAGTACCGGTGATCACCGGCGCCGAACCGAGCCAGTCCGCGCAAATGGAAGGCGTGCATGTAGTTGGGGTCCACCTTGAGTCCCTTCGCAAAGTACTTCTCGGCTTTCACTGAAGAGGGGAGGAGTGGATCAACGCCAGCGTCCCAAACACGACACAAAAACGCGCGCAAAAGAAGGCCAGGAAATGGGTACGTGAGTTGCCGTAGTCCTTGTAGGCCTGTCCGATGTTGGCGAGGGCCTCGCGGAAGGCTGGGTCGAGTTCGAGTGCGCGCTTGTGCGCTTGGATGGCCTCCATAGGTCGGCCGAGGGCGTTGAGACAGAGACCCAGATGGTTCCACGACAGCTTGCTCATCGCATCCGCCGCGGTCGCCCTTCGGAAGTCCTCCGCCGCCCGGCCGTAGTTGCGCTGTTGGAGGAGGAAAGGTCGGTGACATCACCTGTGCGTCCGGAGTGGGGGGGGTCGTGAGCGAGGTACCAGCTTGAAGTAGATGAGGCCGCGCTGGTGGTAGATGTCGGCGTCCTTCGGGGCGAGCTCGGCGGCGCGGGTGAGATCGAGGACGGCCTCGGCGTCCTGCCCCATCGCCGCGCGGGATTGGCCTCTTCGCTTCCATGCCTCCATGCATGTGTCGTCGATCTTGATCGCCGCACTGAACTCCTCCACCGCCTGTCGCGTGCCAAGCAATCAACAACCAACCAACACTCCTCGACCGGTCACACAAGCTGGACAGCTCACGGGGGCGAGTTTGCGTACTGTGGACAGATGGCCGGAGAGGGCGTAGGCTGTACCGCGGCCGAGGTAGGCGGCCACGAGCTTGGGGTAGAGGTTGACGAGCACGTTGAAGAGCTTGATGGCCTGCGGGAAGTTGCCGGTGTTGACGTGGAGGTAGCCCATCGCGATCTTTTCATCCAGCGTCGTGTTGCCCGAGCCGTGCTGCACCAGCCCGCGCGCCGCCACCATGGCCGACGCCTCGGCCAGGTCGTTGGGATTCGCTGCGGCGACTGCAGCGGCAGTCGGCGGGCTCTTAGCTTCCTTCTGCCGTCCCGGTGTTCACCTTCATGTTAGCCCGACCCAATCGTCGACAAAGCAATGGTGGCTGGGCGTATCTGGACACACCTTGGGCTGTTGAGCCGGCGCCGGCGATTTGGTCTTGCCCGCTGGCTCGGCAGCGCGCGGGACAGCACTCGCTTGCGGAGATGGTGTGGTGATGGTGGCCTTGGCCTCGCCGTTCGTGATCACCGCTGCATTAACCATTAGGAGCTCATTTTGACACCAAAAATGTGAGCAGAGTTGCACGAGATCTGCGTACCAGGCTTGGGTTCGGAAGAGGCAGCAGGAGCAGTGGCAATGGCCGGTGCGGCGACCGGCGGATTGAGTTGGCCCTGAAGCTGCAGGAGCAGCTCAACGTCCGCAGCGCCGTCGGCCTTGTCCAAGCCCGCTCTCCATGCAGCCTCCGCATCAGCGCTCTTGTTCATTCCCACCAGCGCCTTCCCTGCACACGATTTATATTTATTATTTAGTATTTAAATAATAAAATAAAGGCAAAAAATATACCCTTGAGAAGGTAGGGGCGGGGATCGGCGGGCTGGAGGCGCAATGCGGCCTCGCAATCCGCCAAGCATTTGCGGTAGAGGCCCAGGCGAAGGTAGGCCGCCCCTCGATTGCTGCATTAATAAATCAGGCTCTTGGTGATTCGTTCTCTCATCACGACAAGGAGAAGTACCAGAGGAGGGTGGCAGTGGGCGAACCAGCTTCGATGGCTGCCGTGTAGAGGGCCACAGCAGGCGAGTGTTTGCCCTGAAGAAACAGCGCATTGGCCTCCTTCACCTTGGCCTCCATCCTTCTCCGGCAACAAATAAAATAAAAATGAACTCAAAACCAGGTACCGAAGATGTATTGCTGGTTGAGGTCAGTCATCACTGTGGGCATGTAGGCACGTGGATGTTGACACGGAGAAGGAAATAAATATCTATTGGTGTTGTTGTGTTTGGTGTGATCCGGTACGTCTGACTCTGTACATCTCCCAGGCCGAGGATGAGCGGGCCTGAGGCACTCAGTAGTGGTGGCTGGGCGGCGGCTGCTGCTGCTGCGGGCGGCCGTGCTCCTCCTCCGCCTCCTCCGTGTAGTAGGGGTAGGGCTCGGCGGGCTCCTGGGCGGCGGCGATGCTCTTTTCGATCTTCTCGCGCTCTGATCGCAAGGTTCGCTTGTCCTTGACGCGCGGATCGAAGGCCGTGACCACCTCGAGAATGACGTCCTTGATGAGGACCACGTCGAAAAGGTTCGCCGCGAACGAGTTGAGACTCTTGATGGGCGCCCTGATGAAGATCTCCTTCGTGTGGTCCCCTGCGAGCGCAACACCACCACCACTGTCAGCCGCCACGTCGTCGACATGTTCGGAATGTGAAGCGCGTACGATAGGACTCATGGCCGAAGATGAAGATGTGCGCGATGGCGATTCCAAGCATCTCCATACAGATGAGCCAATCCTGGAGGGCGACCGCGAGCTCCTCAACGGAGAAGGTGTCGTTGCCCTTAAGCCACCCGAAGTGGACACAGATCGAGATGATCACACTCTGCCTGAGACCGGGCCAACACATATCGCTGGTCAGCCACCATGCCCTGTTCTCTCGCGCATGCGCACATCGCTAATGGGGCGCACCAGAAGGCGAAACCGATGATGGCCTTGATGCAGAGGAACTTGGGGATAGGCTTGAATGGGTGGAGCTCCTTGGCGACGGCATGGTAGAAGAGTACGAGGGCGTACATGGCGAGGGTGATGCACACGTTCTGGGTGACCACCACCCAGAAGTAGCCCGCCTTCGGCGAGAACGAGCCCTCGTGGTACACCTCAAACCATTCCATCACGATCTGCGCACCAGTGACCCGCCGAGATGTAAGTACTCTGGAAGACGCACACGTATCGACGGATCCGCAAGAGTCGACGAGAACTCATACCACTGAGAGGGCGAGCAGGGGCTTCATGATGACGAACTGCATGATGCAGCGCTTGGTCCACTTAAGGAATTTCCTGCACGTGGACAGAGTCGGATCAGCGCTGATGCGGGCCGAAAGGCCGAGGGGCGCACGTGGTGGGAGGTAGAGTACCTGCCGGGACCGAAGAAGCCGCACTTGCAGGTGAAGCACGGTCCACAGCCGTCGCCGAGCTTCATGGGCGGCTTGGACTTGAGAACGTGGATCACACGCTCCTCGTCAGCCCACACCAGGTGCGAGCCGATGAACTTCATGTCGGGCGAGGCCGGAGCGCCCTTGAGCGGCATCTTCTCCTGCTGTCGCACAAACTCGTCCTCCTCCTCTTCATCGTAGTAGCTATCGGCTTGCTGCACGCCCAGATCGTATCATTGCCGTGGGTAAGGATTGTGTGAGCCTACGCACGAAACTAATTGGGCGAGAGAGCGAAGGAGCGGGAGCGCACCCTGTCTTCTTCGTCCTGGTGCTCGTCTTCGTATTCGTTGATGAACGCCACGATGAGCACGAAGAACTGTGCATGAGATAAACGTTAGAAACGCGCGGTGTTGCGTGTCGTGCGTGTCGCGTGTGTGCGTACCTGGTACAAGAGAAAGGCCTCGTAGCTAGAGTGGTGGAGACAAGCACAGCAGGGCGGAGGTGTGAGCAATCCAACGGAAAGGGAAGAGAGAGGAAGCGCCAGCGAGGCACGCACCAATCGCGGAAAAGGTCGATGATGCTGGCGTGGTCGAGGTACATCAGAGAGAACCAACTGCACAGCGAATAGATCTGGACACGAGGCGGGAGATTGAGTAAGTCCGGTGGCCATGAGTTGAACATCTACTATTCTTATTCTTATTCTTATTATTAAATATTTCATATGTATACAAAAACAAGTGTGCAACGGTGACGGGGAAGAAGTGGGGGTGGGAGAAGAGAGAAAACGTACGGGGACCATGAGGATGATGCGGACGATGCAACGCTGCAGCTTGGGCCGGGTGTAGTTGCGGAGGTGCTTATAGATGAGGTGAAGTGACAACACGACCGACACCACCACGCTCACAGCGGCGGCCAGGTAGGCTATACGCCGCGTGTCCCATTTGGTCAAATCGAGCTCGTCAATAGACGTCGCGATTTCAATCTTCATCTTCGTCCAATTTCTTGTCTCTTGCTGTCCTCAATGTACGATCGATCTCGAAATCGCCCCTCCTATTTTTCGATTCCTTGTGAATCGAATCTCTCAATGGTAGCTCCCACGCCGGTGGGCTTTTTTTGAAGTTAGCCGAAGGCCTGCAGGCGTCAGAGGAAAACAAGAGCTGCTCGCCGAGAAGCCAACAACTGCCGGTTGGGGCAACAAGGAATAGAGAAGCGGGCAGTTGTAGGCAAACAAGTTCCCGCCAACGGAAAAAACGAGAACTGCAGAAAGTCGGAGAATTTATAGAAACTGCCCGCGCTGCTCTGCGAAATTCCTGAAATTTTTAGAAGCCGTGGTGGCCGGATAATGCCGGAAAAAAGATAACTGACCCACAGCACAAAAGAGAGTTCAGCCAACAAGCATGCGAGCACAAAGCGGAGCGGCATCGGTCCTGGTTGGGCCGACCTTGTTGAAGGCCTCTCGCCAGCCCTTGTCTCCTCCGCTTGCCGGCCTCCTGGTACCTCTCCTCTCCGGCACCCTCCGGAGTACCTGCCGTTCCCAACCTCCGCGTGCTCTTGCCCCCCCCCCGCTATGCAGAGGCACGGAAAGAGATCAGCAGCCACCCTCACTAAAGCTCAGCGGTACTCCCTCAAGTATTACACTTGTTTATTCAAACAAATATAATATTATGTCGGAACACTCCGATGGTCACGGACTCACGGCGGAGCACTACTGTGTGCAGAGGGACACGGGCGCTGGGCGTGCACTGGCGGAATGGCGATAACGGTGCGGAGACCAGCTTTTCGCACGTTTGGCTCCGGGACAACTGCATGTGCCCGGAGTGTCTGCACCCCAAAACCCTCCAGCGACAAATCGACACACTCAAGGCACGCTACCTACCAACTGCCGCCCTTTCATCGTGTCGCGGTGGCCTAACATGTTCGGCTTGCAACGGATCGCGCAGCTGAGCGAGGACCTTGCGCCAGTCGACGTGCACATCGACGGGCAAGGGCACGAGCTGCGGGTGACATGGAGTGAAGAGGACGGAAAGCAGCACAAGAGTACTTACTCTGCCGAGTGGCTGGTAGCCAAGGCCACCAACGTAGAAGCACAACGGTACGCGCCCCAAATCGGCGAACGGTGCATTGGCCAGGCATTCATCGGCCTTCAATATCGTCGCCATCCCCAAAAGTGTCAAACCATCACCGTGGGATCGGGAGAGCATCATGGGATTGGGCAGTCCGGAGGTGAGTTACGAGGAGGTGATGAGCGGCACCGAAGGCATGGCCAAGTGGGTGAGGATGCTCCACACGCACGGCTACTCCATCGTCACCGGCACACCCGCTACCGCGGAGGCCACTCAGCAGGTCATGGCCCAGTTCGGGTACATGCCCTTCACCAACAACGCGAAAACTACGATCGATCTCTGACCGTGTCGTGACAACAGGCCAGCCAAAAACGGGCTCTTTGGGTTGCTGTGGGACTTTACGGTGCACGCCGAGGCAAGCCAGGACTCGCTGGAGCACAGCGACACCGCCTACACGCCGGTCGCGCTCCAACCGCACTCCGACGGCTGTTATTGCGTCGAGCCGCCAGGGTGCCGCGTCCCCCACTTGCCACCATCACTCCACGGCCGACGCTAAATTGCTCACATTGTTCTCGAGCCAGGCTGCAAGCATTTCACATCCTCGAGCACACGGGCCAGGGCGGCGCGACCGTGCTCGTGGACGGGTTTAACGTGGCCGCCCGCTTGCGCGCGCACAACCCGGATGCCTTCGACTATCTGGCCAACACCCCTATCACTTTCCACTACTGGTACGTGAATCTTTCCTCCGTTCTCGTTTTTGGGCGTTGATGGGAATGCTGTCTGGGGCGGCCTGCCCACAGGGATGTGGACAATTTTCTCGAGGCCCGACAGCGGATTATCACGCTCGACCCCAACGGGGAGGTCACGCGGTTCGTCTACAACAACGACGACCGCTCCCCGGTCTATCTCCCGCCCGAACAGGCCGATCGCCACTACGCCGCCATCCGGGCGCTGCTGCGAGAAGTACAATCTCCCGCCAATCAACACACCTTCCGCCTCTCACCCGGTACACCAACCGATCGCTGAATCAAGACGCGCCTTGAAACCTCATAGCGGTGATGGTGACTGACGGCCACTTGGTGCTGCAGGGCGCATGTTGGTGACTAACAACTGGCGAGTCATGCATGGCCGAACGGCGTTCACCGGCTCTCGTCGGCTGAGCGGTGCGTTTTTTTGTGCTGGCCATCTTCGACTCTTGGCAACTCACATCTTCGCGGCTGTGATGTGTAGGGTCCTACCTGTCGATGGACCACTTCGGCAGCAGGACACGAACGCTCCTGCACTCGCAGGGACTGCACTAAGAGCCCCGTTGCCCGAGTTTGTCGACAGCAATGGCCTAATTAAATCACATTATTGCCAGAATAAAATGAAGCCCGAGAACAAGTGGATGGACGCGGAGGCGGCCGAGGGGGAGGAAGGCCCGCCCCAACGACGAGTGTTCAAGAAGGAAGCGGCAGAGGCCGTAGCTCTACACATGCAGCTCCAACGTGTGGTATCTCGCTCATTATCCCCCCCCCACCCTTTTCTAGGTGGTTCTTCTTTTGTCACCGTCTCCCCCTCCCGGCATCAAAGCTTCCTTTGTGCCCCACACACGAGCAAACGCGGTGGTAACAAACAATGGCGCGCAAGCGGTATGTTGAGACACTGACGTGGGCGCCGCACACGGTCAGATGGGACACATGGAAAAGCTGTTCACGGACCAGAGGCAGCTGGTGATGGCTCGCTACCCTTCGCTGGCTGCCGACCATCTCGCACAATCGGCCAATGCCGAGCGAACAGGCTACCTCTACAAGCAAGGTTCGGCGATTGCCCATTCACTCGCTCTCGTCGTGGGTGATACGCCCACATCTCCTGACCGTCTCGTGGTGCGGCGTGGGCAGGTGGACTCGATCGCCGACGGTGGCAAAAGCGTTGGTTTGTTCTGGTCGACGATTTCCTCTTCTACTACTCTTCTTCTTCCGTACGTGATGCCCTCTGTCTCTGTGTGCGGCGGCAAGGAGACGCGGCAAACCTCAAAGAGAGTGCGGGCGCGAGTTCTCACGAACGCCGTGGCGGCTTTGTGTGGACGGTGCAGAGCGCGACGCCAAAGGGCATCGTCCGATTAGACCGATTACGGGCGAAGCCCGCACGGCCGCACGACGATCCGGAGAGGGAGCACGCCTTCAGCCTGCCGGCCCAGAAGAAGCTCTACGTGCTCGCCGCCTCCTATCTCGAGGAGCGCGACGAGTGGCTTGAGGCCATCAACCGCGCCAGCTTCTTCGTCACGGGCCTCTCGTCGTGATAGCCCGGTAAAATCAGTCGTATCAAAAAGAATAAAATGAATAATACTCGTCCGCCATTTCTGCCAGAGCAGCAGGAGGAGGAAAAGATCGAAGAGAGATTGAATCTCGAGAAGAGATCGTCGTCATGGGCGTGAAGGGCAGCAGCGTGGAGTTGTTCGAGCTCTCAACGGAGGGCGTGGTGTTGGGCATCGGCCTCTTCGTGCTCACCCTGGCGATGATGATAGGCATCTGGTTCATAATGAAGGTGATTTCGCCCGAGCCCTTCACCTTCTACACCTTCCCGGGCCGGCTCTACACCTTCCGCATCGTCTCGGAGACCTCCACCCGACTAGTGGTCACCAACACCTTCAGTGCTCTCCTCATGTGGCCCCTCGGTTCGCCCACCCAATTAACATTGATTAATATTGAAATTTTTTTTTGATAACTGACTATTTATTATATATTTTATTCAAATTATTCAACAGCTATTATTTATTTTAAAAATATACAAAAATAAAACTCTTTTGCTGATGGGGGCAGTCCGGGTATGCAGGTATATTGCTGTTCGGTGGGCTGATGGGCATCCTGATCGCGGCGCTGATGACGACGCACTTGTGGCTGTTCTCTCTGTCGGTGGTCAACTTCTGGGTGTGGTGGACCTACCTGTTCTGCGTCGGCCAACGCTTCACGTTCGATGGCGGCGCCGGTACGCTCACGGTGGTGGCCTCGTGGATGGGCGTGCCCGTGGTGGGCAGCCGGCAAGTGATCCCGCTGCTCGCGGTGACCAAGTGCCGCCTGGAGCAACGCCAGCGAATCGAGAAGGGCTGGCCGACGCCCTACTACGCCGTTGAGCTTCAACTCCAGGCACCGCTAGAGGGCACGCTCTTCATCACCAAGAAGAAGGTGAGCCTCGAGAAGATACAGCCCTTCGTCGACAGCATCAACCAGTTCCTCTCCTCCTGCCGAAGTTACCAAACATGAGCCGGACTTCCACTCTACAACAGCAACTTTGCACCTCACTCCCTGGTTCCGCTCCTATTAGCCATCCACATCGCCTCAGGTCGTAGCGTGACAAGGCACACCGCTCAGCGACCTACCCGCCAGACTTGGCGCGATTGTACAGGATGCACTGCGCGCTGTGTGCGTGTGACACCATGTCGCCCATGCGAGCGGCCGAGCTGTACACCAAAACACGCAAGCCCTATTTATTGACATGAACAGCACCCCTTTATGCACGCTCGTGGTCCTCGAGTGCGAGTCTCTCTCCTTGAGCCTCCGCGTTTTCGAGCGAATTCTCGCGTGCCATAGCGGCCACACCGCGTTTCGAGATAGCCTGGAATGTCACCGATGGCCCGCAGTCCTGCCGGTCCTTTGTTGCCGCCCTCAACACCACACCGGACCCGAGCCAAGAGACAACAAAACGCCATATTCTCAACTTTGCCTGGAGCGTGACACGAGGGAACACTACCAGTAGTGCCACCACCACCTTGTACACCAACAACCTGAACCACCTTCTGCCGTACTCCCCCCCAGCAGCCACCTTAAATTTTCCGCGACGAAGCGGGAGCTCAAATAGTTGGAAGTCCAGCAACGCCAACTTTCCGTCGTCAATTTCCATTTATTTGGCTATTTTTCCGCACACATTTTTACAATTATTTATTTTTCGTCTGCGTGCTCCACAGCGCGAAAGAGAGAACGGCTAGATCGATCACACAGACGGAGAGCGCACAATACAGAACAAGAACTCGGCGAGTCAGGAGATTCGCCAACAGCATTATCAAATTAGAGTTAGCCCAGAATGAAGGAGCGAACCAACCGAACACGAGAGCTTCAGCGCTGGGATGGCGGACCCTCCGCCACCTCCGTCCACTTCAACTGCCGCACCCACACGACTGGTACCTCGCGCGCCCAGCCTTCTTGCACCCTCTCTTACACAACATTCAATCATTAAGTTCCTTTTCATTCCGACGTGGGCGACAATCATTCTTTTGGTTTATAATTATCTCCTTGTCACTTCTTTTCACCATTCCGTGGTATTGACCATGTTCAACCTCGAACGCGCACGATCGGGACCGTGTTGGAGGGGGCGTAATCCCGCCTCCACATGCGCCATGTCGCTCGATCTGCTGTAGGAAGCACCAACGACTTTTCCGATTATAATTTGACCACTTTTATATATGCGTATCCTACATGCGTACTCCGTTTGAATGGAACCACGACCCATCGAATCGATTTCTCACAATTCCTTGCCCCAGACGAGGACTGCGATGCGCACATGCAAGACGCGGAGGACGCCGCAAGCCCACGATTTCTGCTGCACTCGCCCACCACCAGCGACGAGGAGCGAGCGACCGCTGCCGCCCAGGCTCAGTCCCAGGCCGGCGACGGAGTTGCCTCCTCCGCTATGACCGGCAGTGACCGGGAAGTGACGCGCTCTACTGCGCTTCATCTTCATCTCCATCCTCATCATCAACTTCATGATCACCATCTACATAATCTGCAGCTTCACCATCACCACCACGGCGGCCACCTCAATCTCGCCACTCAATCTCCTGACGGCGGAGTGAGCGACGAATCTGGAGATGAGAGCGACCGTGCGACTGCGGACGCGAGTAGCGGCAGCGACAACGACGACGATGCCGATGCCCGACACCACCGTGGCGACGATGACGACAACGATCGAGACGTCGACGATGATAGTGACAACGATGACGATGATGACGACCTGGACGAGGCCGACGGCCGACTTCACCACCGTCGGCACAACCCCGCTGCCGCTGCAGTGGCCTCGTCTGCGGCGTCAAGCTCCTCTAGGAGGGACTCGCCGTCGTTGCTGCCCCTGCCGCCTCCCACTACCACCACCTCCACCTCCACCTCGACTTCGTCCTCTTCGGGGCAACACTACGTACGCCGCCTCCCGAAAGTTGATAAGGGATCCCACGTCCCGATTGTTTGGTCGACCCCTCTCACGTGGTGTGCCGGTTGCTGGTGGGTACTGCAGGGCGCGTCGATGTGCTATGGGACCACGCCGCTGCGGCTGATGGGTCCCCGCTTCGCCGATGTGCCGCCGTGGCTCCGCGATTCCGCCGAGCGGAAGGACGACCTACCATCGTGCGCCCCCCCCCCCCTCTCACCCACTCGACCGCGGGTCTCGACCGACTTTGCGTGACTTGGGCGCGGGGCCAACCATGATTGTCGTGGTCCGCGCAGGCTCCACGACGAGATAATTTCGTTCTGCAAGTGGGTGTCGCCGTCGGCCGAGGAGAAGCAGATGCGGGAGGACGTGATCGCGCGGATATCCAAGGTCGTGGAGACCTTGTGGCCCAGCGTGCAGCTGCGGGTGTTCGGCTCGTGCGCCACCGACATCTACCTGCCCACCAGCGACATCGACCTCTGCATCATGGGCGCCAACGCCTGCAGCCCATCGCCCATCGACGAACTCGCCTCCGCCCTTCGCCGGCGCTCCATGGGCCGGTACAACACACAATTTGCACGCGTTGCGCTTCATTTCGTAATTGGTGCACTCACGTTGGTATGTGCGGAATGTGCGTCGGCGTTCCGCAGAGTGCAAGCCATTGCTACCGCGCGTGTGCCGATCATCAAGTTGGTCGACGCCGCGACCGGGTGTTTGGTTGACATCAGCTTCGACGTGCCCACGGGTCCCGCCCACATCAACCTCATCAAGGTTTGCCCCTTCTCTCATCCTCACGCAGCACGACCACACACACCGCACTCCCATTCACGGACCACTCGCCAACTCTGCACTATTGCCTCTTACTCTCTTCGTAGTTCGTTAGCCGCGGCCAATGCCCTTAGTAGTGTGAATTTATTTGGATGGTTGATGATTGGTGGTGCCGGCGAACACTCAAGATTAGTGGGACCACACACTCCCCTTCTATGGGGGGGGGGGTGTCGTCCCACTCGCACACACCATAGACCTCCATACCCCTCTCTGGGCCACATAAGTGAAATGGAGAAACGGAACCCAATTTCCCAATTCTCTCTCCGCGTCTCCCTTCGGCGCCGCCACGCTACCGTCATCACCACCGCACGCGGGCACATGGCGCACTCGCGCGAGAGTGGGCCTTGTGTCGTGTGCGGCGGTGGTGTCCGGGTGTGCGCGCGTCTGAGGGCGCGTGAGATATGCTTTGTGGTACCCTCAGAGTAATGGACAAATTCTCGTTCGCTCGTCGTTCCCCCGCGCGCGTCGTCCACACGACTACCTCCGCTCTCGCTCGCGTACTTGTTTTTCTCGATATCTGTCTTTCTTTTGTTCTATTTTTCTTGTTTTACTTAATTTTTCTGTAGAGCGTGGCCACCTTGAGCTCCCCCCGTGAAACTCACTCCACTGTCTTCCGTCCCTATCACACCACTTGCGTGCTCGTGTTCTCTTTGCGAACGTGCAGAGGTACTTAGACGAGGAGCCTTCGGTGAAGCCGCTCGCCCTGCTCATCAAGTACTACCTCAAGCAATTCGGAATGAACGAGCCCTACACCGGCGGTCTCGGATCCTACGCGCTCATCATCATGATCATCTCCTACCTCCAGGTACCGTCTCCCAGCTCTGCTGCTCGTCGCCCGATGTCGTTTTATTTGCATTCTCTTCGCGCATCGCTGACACACACGCTTCTGCTGGGACAAAAAAAAAGTTGCACAAGCCTCGCGCCGTGGAGAAGCAGCAGGACCTCGGCGTGCTGTTCCTGGGCTTTCTCAAGCTCTACGGCCAAGAGTTTAACTACTTCCGGTACACATGCCACGACACAGCGCACGACACGGACAGCGGGCGCTGCGGTTGCTGACCTGACCTCCCACCCGTCCACCACCACCACCCTCTAGTACGGGCCTGTCGATTCGAGACGGGGGCTATTACTTCCCCAAGGCCCAGCGGAACTGGGTCGACTGGCAGCAGCCCTGGCTGCTGTCGGCGGAGGATCCCTGCTTCCCTGAGAACGACATCAGCCGCATGTCGTATGCGATCATGGACGTGCGCGGCTGCTTGGCCAACGCGTACAAGGTGCTGATCTCGAAGGAGCCCAGCTACAGCGCGCCCTCGCTGCTGTGCCGCATCCTCCTCCAGGACGAGAAGATGATGGAGCAGCGCGACTTTGTGCGCCACCACTACCGATGCGGCCTCCCCATCTTGCCCCACCTCGCCACCGCCCCCGTGTCCTCGACCCATGCCGCCGCGCACCGCCACCCGCCGGCTGTCAGCTGGCGCAGCGACAAGTCCTCGAAGTCCCGTCCGCCCGCCACCACGACCTACGCCGCCAAGTCTGCGTCGGCCTCGAGTATCGACAGCGTGGTCGTCGAGCGACGAGCGGCACCCGCGTCGGCTACACAGCAACCGCAGCAGGCCAAGTCGCAGCAGCAGCAGCCGCGTACCGGCGACTGGGTGAGCCTCGTCATGAAGAACGCCGGCAGCAACAACGGCCCAGCGGGTCCGCGGGCCTCGAAGGGCGGCAAGCCCCAGCACGGCAGCAGCAGGGCTCACGGTGACTCGGCCTCCTCGAGGGAGGGCGACGACAAGGAGGACCTTACCTGGCGCCGGAATCCGCCTGGCACCAAGCCCGCACCCTCCTCCTCGTCATCCCGCTCGTCGAATTCGTCGTCATCGTCGCGCACGTCGGCCACAGCGGCACGACGAAGCGGAAGCGGACGGTGGGAGCGGTCTTCATCGTCGTCTTCGTCGTCGTCTTCCAATGGTGACCGAAGAGACCGACGAGTCGCCCAGCCTGCTTCATCTTCATCTTCATCCTCAGCGTCGTCTTCCGCCTCGCGAGGTCGAGGCGCTGTGAGGCAAAAGGGCGCGAGTGCTGGTGCTGACGTCAGCACCAGCAAGAGGGCGAGTGACGAGGTAGCGACGGTGCCCCGCCGACGATCCAGCATGCGCCGGCCGAACCCCGCCTCGCCGTCGTCAGCGTCGGCGGTGCCGCCCGCCGCGACGGCCACACTCGAGCCGCGCAAGCGATCGCGAGCTGCGGACAGTCCGATGGAGGCCATCATAAACAACATCCTCATCGCCAACCAGCACCACAACAACAGCGACCACACCTCTTCCGTGGCCCTCGCGACGCCCAACCTGATCGGTGTCGGCAGCGACAACGGCGACCACGAAGGCGCCGACGCCAACGGCCAGCGCAGCAAGGCCCGCAATCAGAAGCAGAAGAGGTAAAGAGGAGGCCCGGCGCAGCCCAATTTTTCCGCATCGACGACCCATCGACTCGACATCATCACCGACCGAACGGGACGAGGTCGAAAGCGCCCACGAACACCTGTAAAAACGCGACGAGGCCAGCCCCCTTTTGTGTTTAGTATTTATTTTTCGGTTATTTTTGTGTTCGTGCGTGGCTTTTTTGTCTGTCTCTCTACCTCTCTGCCTACCGTGCGAGGGAGCAGCCCCTAACCGCGTGGGATGCTCTCTGCTTGGGCGAGTATTTATTCTTTTCATCTATTACTTCTCACTTTAGCGAGCAGGGAGGATAAAAACTTAAAAACGTATAAAAATTAGAAAACAAATAAATCCTTCCTTTTACCTTGTAGCCTGCCTCTCCACTCCGCAGTTGTGTTTCAACTGACCGTTGCATTGGCCACCAGAATAAAATAAATAAATAAATCAGTGGCGCTCTGCCGGTCTAGGCCTGGTGGTTGCATTCGTAGACCATGGTGGGAGCCACCTTGAAGAATCGGTAGTTCTTGTTGTGCCGCCGCCCTCGTGCTTTCTTGACCTTCTTCTCCTTTCGCTCCACGGCCTCGTTCTCCCCCCTGTGCGCTCTTTCGTTTAGTGGTTGCCCACACACTGCATGGAATGTGGGTAGTGGCGACTCACCGTTCGCTGGTCATCCGGATGAGGTAGGGCTGGTTGTTGATCTTCACGAACACGGCCTCCTGGCCCAGCGCGTTGGCCAGCCAGGTGGCTGTCTCCTTGACCACGCTGCGCACCTTGGCGTCCACCACGCACGCCGCACTGAGCCCATGTAGCACACACACACACACAGCACCCCGATTGCTGGTCAGTCATTGCACGCGGCCGGTTACACCTTGCAGACGTGACGTGTGGCCTGCTTCCATACCTGACGATGGTGACCCGCTCCTGCATCAGGCGATCCCCGGTGGCGATCGAGTTGGTCGTGGCCGTCTCCAGCATCCAGAACCCGACGGCCGGCACCGCTGTCACGCGCCCTGCCCATTCACGGGGGGAAACAGGGCCGTCAGGCGCGAGTACATCAGAGGCAAGGAGCGGGTGATGGTGGTCGAGATGGGCAGGTGTGGCGTTGGTGTACCTGCGACGGGGATGAGGCGCTGGACGACGTTCATGACGTAGCGCTCGTGCTCGTGCTGGGAGAGGAGGAGGTCCTTGTCCATCGTGGAGGGCACCGTAATGCACACCTCGCCCAGCGCCTCGCCCACCGCGTCCTCGTCCTTCGGCGGCGGCGCCTTGCACGCGCCGAAGAGCACGTCCTCCGCGGCCTCTTCGACTTCTACTTTTTCTCCATCCTCTACAACGTCACGTTCGTCGCTGTTGCTGGCGGCATCGTCGAACGAGGCGGGATCGAGCGCGGCGGAGACGAGTGTGACCCGCTTCTCGCGCACGAGCCCCACTACTTCTCCATGAGCGGATGAAGATGAAGATGAAGAGGAGGAATTGGAGAGGGAGCGGGGTCGGACGGCAAAGGCGGCAGGGACGGTGGTGGCGCCCCCGATGCCGTGCTCCAGCACCAGACGCTCGACGGCCTCCACCACTTCGGCCTCGTGCCGCGCCCGCCCCTCAGCCGCCCTCTCTGCCTGGCCGCGCCCTCTGCCCCCTGAGCCTTGTCGCTCGCGACCACCACCGCAACCCAGGTCGCCGCACAGCCCTCCGCCTCCACCACCTGTGCTGCCAGTCGCTACATCGCTGGAGCTGCCACCGACAGTGAGGCGAATCTCAACCTCATCCCTCCGCACACCGGTCTCCATCTTTTGCTGCTGTATGCTGTTGTGGGCGTCTTAGAGTCTGTACGTTGGGTTGCTCTTGAGCACCTGTGGGGCTTGACGCCCCGGAGGCGCTCAACCATAAGCTGTGGTGACAGAACCTTCTCCGTGTCCAGTTTGCGTTCTGCTCTCTTGGCCCAGGTTTTCTGTCTTTTCCCAGTACACTTTCTTGTGGCAGAGAGATTGCAGAGCTGCTAAGCTGTGAGCTGCCTTCAGCTGGTCCCAAAGCAGCAGCCACACTAACCCCCTGAGCATGATTGTTGGCTTGCAACTTATTGCTTACTTACATCTCACTCCATACAATGTACATCTTTTGTGACCTTGTGTGGGCTTCAAAAGCAGGAGACCTCAGAACGACTGCCCTGTGCTCACCAGCGTTTGCATTCCCGCACGCCAGCCAACTGCTGGATACCTGGGGTGTTGGCCAGACAGGATGAAGCGATACATAAGCATGAAAAGACATTTGCTTTTTGAGCGCAATGAAGAGAGGCTGGCGATGTACCACTTGCCGGCGGGGATGGACCGGAAGGCCTGCCCGAGGGAAGCGCCATTCTTGTAGAAGCTGAGCTCCTTCTTGTCCATGTCCAACAGCACTCCGATGACATCGCCTGCGCCAGATGGTTGGTCCCCACAACACGTCAGGCGATGAGAGTTGGACGTCGGTGTACCTCTCTTGTACGGCGGCAGATAGTAGGCCACCGTGGTCGCGCAGGTGCCTGAGATGCTGCCGTACTGTACGCAGTGCCGACAAAGCCGTTGGATACGACACGTACACAGCGCCGCAGCGCAGGAAAGGAAGAAAGGCAGCGACAAAGGCAGACAACATTGCTTACCTGATTGTAGCACATCGAACTGGTGTCGACGGCTAAGTAATTGTCCAGCTGGTTGAGCTGGGCCGTAGCAATGCCTGCCGTTCGTCGTCGGTGGCGACGGTAATGATCAGAAATCACAACATGTTAAATTCGGCAGAAGACGAGGACACACTCGTACCAATGTACGTCTCGTCGCCGCCGACCTTGATGGCCCAGTAGTGTCTTCCTAACCTGTATTGGCCCCCAAAGCCCACGCCGCGCAATGCATCAATGCTTTGGTTCGTGGCCACTCGCGGCAGTTCTGTGGGGCGGACGCACTCGTAGCCGTCCTTGCCAAGGGCCACGGAGAACCAGTGGGACTGCAACTTCTTCGCCACCTTGCCGTTGTTGCTGATCTGTCAGCCGTACGGTCGCGTGCACGTCAGTCAGCACTTGTTGCTCGACGACCGGCGAACCAGCAGCACACGCGCCAACAACAGACAGTCGAAGGGAGGTGTAAACAATTTAGGGTAAACGTTCCGCACCTTGATGTGGAGGCCGTGGCGGTCGGTATCCCACTGCATGGCGTTCACATAGCTGCGCGGCTGCATCCGCAAATTGTTCTTTGGGAGGGGGCACGCCCGAGATGGTGACGGTAAGTGTGCGTGTGCGTGTGCGTGTGCGTGTGCGTGTGCGTGTGCGTGTGCGTGTGCGTGTGCGTGCGGTGGCGGGTTTGGGAGGGGGAGTACCTTGGGAGGAGTGTAGAGGGAAGTGTCGCCGGCCTGCATGAGGGCCTGGTGCCGATAGGCCTATGGGTATTCATCACCGCGCGCGGTGAGCACGATCGCCGAACTGGTAAAATGATGGGGTTTGGGGGACGAGATGGGCCGATACCTCGGTGAGGAGGTCCCGCGAAACGAGCTTGTGCGTCTCCACGACGGTCAGCCAGTGGGGCGAGATGAGCGGAAAGCGGATATGGGGCTCAAGATCCGCCTGCGCACGCCCACCGCACACGCCACGACGCCAATGCTGAGCTTTGGCCCAAAAGACGAGGTACCAGCGCGTGGTGGTGGGTGGGTGGTGGTGGTTCGCACCATGGCTTCTCGCATGTAGGCCCGCCACGCGTCCGTTTGCCGGAACTGGCGCAGCTCGGGGTCGTCGTAGAAGTCTTCGCCGTTGTCGTCGTCCGATTCGTTGCCGCCCTTCGCTCCGCGCTTGCCCGCCGCCTGCTTCCGCCGGGCTCTCCGCCTCTCCTGCCTTCTGGCCGCCTTGCCGCCCGTTCGCGCCGTCCGGCCCTTCCGCCCCGTTGGCGTCGTCCCCCTCTTCCTCGCGGGCTTCTCCTCCTCCGCCGCCGCGTCCTTGTCCTTGTCGTCGGCCTGCGCCTCGGCTTCCTTTGCTTCCTTCGTCTCGCTCTCCTCCTTCTCCGCCTTCTCCTCCTTCTCCGCCTCCGCCTCCTTCTCCGCAGCCGGCTGTTCGGTTGTGGCGAGCTTGTCCTGCTGTTCCTTGGCCAGCCACTCGGCCACCAGCGCGTCGCTTTCGTCGCCCTCCGGCGCTGCTGCCGCCACCGCCTTCACCTCTGCGCGCGACTGTGTGTCGTGTGTGTGGAGTGGGATGAGCGACGGCTGCCCTGGGACACTTTTAAGGTGGCGGTGGTACGTACCTTGAGGGCGCCCAGGCTCATGTGTTGGTACAGCCCGGCAGTGCCGCGCAGGTTGAGGTTCTTGGCGGCCCTGCCCGGACTGGCGACGCTGCTGCTGCTCGAGGTGTCAGTATCGGACCCGTCCTCCTCCTCCTCCTCCTCCTCATAGTGGGCGCCGTGGATGCCCTCGCCCTCGTCGTCGTCCGAGCCGTCCTCGTCGTCGTTGTGGGTGTCCGTGTGCGTCTCGGCCTCCGAGTGCTGGCCTGCACCAATTCAAGCGGCGGCACTCATGAGTGCGTGAGCCCTGCGAGGCACCGACGCGACCAACGACACGACACGAGACACAGAGGGTGGGGGGGTAAGGGGGGTGCGGGAGTACTGCTGGTGTCGGTGCGCTGGCCGGAGAGAAGCTTGAGGGCTCCTGCCGAGAATTGGCCGTAGAGGGCGTCCGAGCCACGCAAGTCCGTGACGCCGCTGCCGCTGCTGCTCCCGCCACTTGCCTGCGCGCTCTCTGCGACCCCGAAGCCACAAGCCAGGTTACAAATATTCTCTTGATTGCTTTTGTTGGAATAACAAAAAGTCAACAGAAATATAATAATTAAAATCATAGCCAGAAATGCAAAGAAAAATATTTATTTAAATATAAAAATAGCAAACACAATAAATAGGGAAAAGGGGGGGGTACGGTAGCGGTGGAAGGCGTGCAGTTCGGCGTGGGCGGCGGCGAAGAGGTAGGCCTGGTACTCGCTCTCTACGCACAGCTTGTCGCTCGCGAGAAGGCGCGCCACGGCCACCCGCGGCAGCGACACCAGGTCCAGTCCATGCGTCCCTCCTCCCTGCGAGTCACTCGCCTTCTTCTCCTTTTCCTTTTCCCTCTCCTTCTTCTTGGGCGGTGGCCGAACGAGGGCCATGAAGTGGGGTGCCACGGCCTCGACCCACTTGTCCAGGTCTGCCCCACCCTGGGTCGGGCACGAGGCCAGAAGCGCCGCAGCCTCCTCCACCGCCGACGGGGCGCGCTCCCCCGCCTTGCCCATGCCCAGCAACGACAGGAACGACTGCATCTCTTCTTGTGTGGCCTCTCTTTGTTCTTCTTCTCCGTCGGCCTGGTGTCTTGCGTTCGTTTCACTAAAACTGCAAACTTTCAGACCACGCGAACGCAAAAAGAAAACAAAGAAAATAAAAAAGAAAACAAAAACAAAAGTTCGAGATTTGATCGAGGATCAATCGGGTCCAGGGTTGAGGCCGTTGTGAAGGAGAGGGGGAGATGGCCGCATGGACCGGTGGTGTGGTGGGCAGGTGGTGGAAGCGTAGGGGTGCGGCCTGGACAACGCTGGCGGTGGTGCTGTTCCTCGAGGGCAGTCTGGTTTTTGGCGCCGTACTGCCGCTCGGCGCCCTCGATTCGGTCTCGGGCGCGGTGGCCGTGCTCGCCCTCCAGCTGCTCGTGCTGCTCATGCTCGCCTCGGGGATCATCGTCACCTCGGCCGACCCCGGCTACGTGCCCCTCCAGCCCGCCTCTGCCGGCGACGTAGCACCTCCCTCTCCGTCAAGGCCCCTTTTCCATTTCTTCTTCTACATCTATCTTCTCTGACCCGAGCAAGGGCGCCATGGTAGGACGAGGAGAGCGAGGAGCAGGCGGCGGTGGAGGGTGGCGGGGCGGTGACGGCGGGGAGGATATCCCTGTCCGAGTTCCTGACGTCGCACGAGCGCGAGTGCTCGTTCTGCTGCGCGCCCAAACCGCAGAGCGCGCACCACTGCTCACTGTGCCAGCGGTACAGCTCACTCCCCGCAGTGCTGCTCACACCACTCACACCACTGCGCACTCCGATCAGGTGCGTGATCAAGATGGACCACCACTGCATCTTCCTCAACAACTGCGTCGGGTAGTCTTATCTTGTTCTTTTGCTGCTGCTTCTGCCCTGCGAGGCTCACACACTCATTCTCGACGTGTGTCGTGTCGTGCCGTTGGTCGTGTCGTGTGTCGTGTGTCGTGTGTGTCACGCGTGTCGTGTGTCGTCTGGTTCTAGGTTCAGGAATATGAAGGCGTTCTCTCTCTTTATCGTCTACGCCCTGCTCTGCGCGTTGAGCGGCTTCGCCTTTTTTGTGGCTCGCGCCGTACAACTCGCTGTACCACTCCCTCGCCACTCTCCTCCTCTCCTGCCACAGTTCATGATTTCATGTCGATGTTTCTGTATATCCAGGAAGCCGACCACACCGAGGAGTACTTGGCCTGGGCGGTTGCGTTGACCGTCGCCAATCTCGGGTGCGCCTCACCAGCCTTGGCCCGATACGCGAACAACAGTTGGCCGTTGCTAGCAAACTAACACAAAGTGTGCATTGGCGCGCGCATCAGCCTCCTCGCATTTGTCATCGTTGCCACGACCTGGCTATGCGTCCGGCATCTGCGGGCCATCCTGCGCAATCAGACCTTTCTCGAGATCCTACTCAACAAGCCTCCAGAGGTATGCCACCATCGAGCTAACAATCATCATCATCATTCTCAAGAATGTGAGTGAGTCGACAATGTTCACACTGGGTTTGCGTCTCGCTGACTTGACCGCGTCGCGGCAGCACAACCCGGGTCCGCTGGCCAACCTCAAGCGAGTGTTTGGCGACGAGCCGTGGCTGTGGCTGCTGCCCTCCCTCGCCACCGGTCCCCCGCCCACAGAAAGCCACGATAGCGCGCGCTTTGTACATACCGCCAGCGGACCGAGCCCCGCCACCGCCACGCTGGGCCACCACCACCACGACGACGAAGAGGCACCCCTCGCCGGCAGCTCCTCCCTCAACTCCTGAGCCGATGACCATCGTCGCATCTGCCTCATCGTTCGGAGATTTCACCGAGGGCGGGGCTCGTGCGTTTGTTGGGCGGGAAATGCGAGGAAAACAAGGAAATTGGACGCGCTGTTTGCACCGAACACAATCACACGACACGACGCTGCTTTAAACCCTAGGGTTGGTTTTCTGCAACAGCTTGGACTCCAGAAGAGTGAACCATCCTGAACGTGAGCTGATCCTTTGTACACACCCTACCTCTTGAAGCCCAGGGTACTCTCCCCTTTTTCCATTAAAATCAAAATCAAAATAAAATCAAAATAAAATAATCATAATAAACTGCCTGAATTCGATCTCTTCTCACATGGCTCCTTCTCTGGCCAACGTGTGACAGGACCATTACCCGACAACTTGACCCCCGTTTATTTACTTTTCTCTTCTTCGCCACCACCTCCTTTTCCGTCCCCCAGTCCTCGCCTCTTGTGCAACCTCCTCCCGGGAACACAACCTCGTTTCTTTGGGGCTCGACCCACAGATATGGAACAACAAACACAACAACCACGCGTGCACATCGTCGAGACCACCACCACCGCGCCCATCGACGACGGCACCATGGCCATGAAGGCGACCACGAGGGAGCACGTCGCACCGGGCCGCAGCGTCAGCGCTCCGCACCACAGCGGTGGCGGTGGCGCCGACGCCGCGCTCGCGCCCTCCGCGGCCCCGCCCTCCTTCTCCTCCCGCTCGCTGCGCAACGAGACCTCGCCCTCCGGCGCGCGGGCCGCCTCGTCCACGGCGCTCCTCTCGGCCACCCACAAGCGCGTGTCGCCGGCGCCCAACCAGCTGGCCGCGTCGCTGCCCACCTACTCGGCGGCGGCGGGCCAGCGGAGCGCCGACCTGGAGTCGTCCGGGGTGGTGCCCGAGGAGCGCGTGGCCAAGCTGCGGGCCAAGTGGGGCATCCCCTCCACCGACGCCCTCGTCCGCGGTACCCCTCACGCCCCATTGATGACGATGACCACTGTAACCGATGGCACACTCTCACACTCTATGCGTGTGTCGTGTCGTGTTGCGTGTTGTGTCGTGCGTGCGCATGTGTGTGGTGGCGACCGACGTAGTGTTCCCGTGCGTGTATAAGAAGCCGCGTCCATCGCATGGCAAGATGTATATTTTCCCCAACCACCTCGTCTTCGTCTCTCACTCCCACCGCACCAATGTACGTTCACCCCGCCTGTAGCCGCTGCGGTGGCGGGTTGATGAAGATGATGATCCTCGCGCTCATCGGGTCCTCCGTAGATATGCATTCCGTTCGCCGAAGTGGAGCACATGGTGCGCAAGCGACACCGCATCCACCTCGTCACCCACGACAAAACGGTACCGCGCTCTTCGTCCGGTCCGGCTCGCACGCGGCAGCCGAGTACTAATAGAGCGCACGCACACTTCCAGCACCGGCTGAGAGGCAGCCTCACTCAGAACAGCACCACCTACGGCATTCTGCTCGCCGTCTGGCAGCGCGCCAAGGGCGACTCGGTACCTCCAGCCTCCCATCCGTCGCCCTATGCGGCTCGCCCTCGCTTACCATGTGATGTCGCGCTTCCTCCTCCTCACCATCATCATCTTCTGCGAACGCGATTGTGTGTGTGGGGGGTGTAGACCATCGACCTGGAGACGATCAGGGCGTGCGACAAGAAGCTGCAGAAGGCCATGCGCAAGGGGGAGCGACGGGGCAGCCTGACGGACACCTCCGACGGGACGCTCTCCGAGATGGGCTCCGACGACGACTACGGCGGCCACCCCGAAGACACCGAGAGCGAGGACGAGCCCATCCTCGAATGTCACACGGCCAGCGCTGGCTCTGTACGCCCCCCCCCCAGCACCACAGCGCTGCGCTGGCAATGTATTCCGACCGCTTACCGTCCCTCCCCCCCACAAACAGTCTGCTGGCGTCGTAGAGCAACAGTCGCAGCCACAGGAGCCCCGATTGGAAATTCCGCTCGAGCCGCAAGCTGTGGCGCCGCCGAGCTTCGCGGCTCTCCTCCAGCCGCCCGCCGACGTAAGCACTGACCAACGCCATCCATTGCGGTGCCTTGAGTTGGGGCGCCTGTGCTGACTGTCGTGCGATTTCTCTCGTGCTCCCCGTGCGTGCCAGGCGCAAAATGTGAACCGGGTCGCGCCACAGACGCTGTCGGCCAGTCTGGAGCGTTGCTGGAGTCTCATCTACGACTCCAACAGCAGCAACGTGCAACGGAGCATGGCCAAGAACCTACTCTACGGTACACCGCCACACTCCCGCCGTGCAGTTCGTGCAAGGTGTGTGCTCACCCAAACCTTCTCTCTACTGGCGGCGCAGATATTTCGCTTGGGCCGTGGGTGCCGGACAGTGAGCCGGGGCTGATGACCCGGGTGGTCAAGTACACCAAGCCCATGCAGAGCGCATTCGTGAAGGTGAGGACCCATCTGTCGCTCTTGCTCGATTCTGGCCTGCACGCGCTCACCCACATCTTTTCGACTTCTCTTTACATCGCTACACATACGCAGGGCGACGCATTGGTCGAGCAGACACAGAAGGTCGTCCTGCTGAGCCAGCCCTCGAAGAAGCTGTGCGTCTGGCAAGAGTCGAGGATGCAAGGCGTGCCCTACGGTACTGCGACCTGCTTGTGGCTCTGGTTGGGTGGCGGTGTTCGTTTGTGTGGTGTCGTGTCTGCGTCGTGCACGACTAATCTCGGGTCGCTCGGGTCGCGACGTGGTCATCCACAGCCGACTCGTTCGTGATTCACGCCGTCTACGAGGCCAGCGAAAACGGGGCCGGCAAGACGAACATCTCGAACACGGCCTGGGTGGTCTGGATCAAGTCTCCGCCACGGCTCCTCCGCGGTACCGCGCTCACCACCACCACCACAAGTCCTTCCTGTTGTCGACATAAACCTTCTCACCCTCTTGCTTGTCGCACACGCACTACGCTCGGCAGGCAAAATCGAGCGAGGCTCGGTCACTGGTGTCGAGGAGTCGTTCAAGTCGCTCATGGCTGACACCGAAGCCGCCCTCGTCGCCGAGGCCCTGGCCCCCGCTCCCGCAGCTTCTCCTGCTGCTGCCGCCTCTTCCACCCCACCGGCTGCTGCTGTCGCCCCCACCCCGGCCGCCACCGCCAGTAGTGTGCCAGTAGTCCCAGCCCCGGCCTCGGTGCCCATGCCCGCAGGGACGCCGGTGATGGCGCCCATGGTAGGGCAGGTGATGGGCATCGCGCCAGGCGTGCAGGTGATGCCGGGTGGCGGTGTCCCGACGATGCAGAGGGCCGGTGGCTTGCAGATCGACGAGAAGTGCGTCTACGCCGTCGTGCTCGTCCTCATCCTCAGCGTCATCGCCAACGTCATCCTCGCCGCCTGCCGATGACAGTGGCCTGGGTAGGTTCGGGAATAAAACCTGGTTTGTGTTTATTCAAAAAAGAAAAAGAAAAAGGAAAAAGGAAAAAGGAAAAAGGAAAAAGGAAAAAGGAAAAAGAAAAAGAAAGGGAAATATGAAGCGGAGACGAAGAAAAGGAAAACTGAAGTAGAACAGAACAACTAAAACGGATGGAGCAAGACGAGGAGGGAAGCAGGGACGATCGTCTGCCCAAGCGGGGACGCTATCATTTGCACGCAAATGGTGATGATGAAGGTCAGGAACTGGAACACGAAGAGGATGGCGCCAATGCCGTGCCGCCAGAGGCTGTGGATGGAGGCCGCAGTGGCAGTCTCTTTGCTGGTGCGCTTACCCGCCCGTGCTACCCTCGACAATATCTATTATAATTTATTTTTACATTTTTAACAATAATAATAGTCAATCTCGCTTATTAATAATAATAATAATAAACACGCACATGTTGAACACAGAACTGGCGTTGGCTGCGGCGAAGGCAAAGGAACACGTACCGGCCATCGGTATCCCTCGTCCTGTCTCTTCACGCTACGCTCTATGTGCCTCTCTTTTACCACGCAATTGCGCTGATGGTGGTGCTCTTGATGGTGATGCGTGGGCGTGGTCAGAGAGCAACCTTCTGTGGTACCAGCGGAGAGCAGCCGGTCTCGCCACCGGTACAGCGCAACTCCCAAATCGCCCCGCTGCTTGCGCTTGGTGGCACCTACGCGCGCACACCCCACACTCCTCTTGTGTGTAAAAGAATGAGCTCAACTTCCGTCGGTGCGTGCGTGCAGACCTGTCCGGGGACGGGGCCTTCAGCTACAACTTCCGCACCAGGCAAGGCGCCCTCTTCCAGATCGATCCCGACTCACTCCCCGCGCCCCTCCCCAAACCGTACCTGCCGTCCCCCCCCGGCCCACTGCCACCTTAAAGAGATCTAACGTGTTTGGGGGTGAGCAGGGGCAGGCGGACGGCGTTGCCGCCACCGAGGGATGACGACGACGACGAAAAGGCCGAGGGCGAAGAGGAGGTGTGCCTCTACGACCCGGAGCAGAGCGAGGAGATGGCGGTGCCGGTAGGGTACCACCGCGCCTCCAAGTTCGTGGCCGGGCGCGAGGTGATCTACCTGCGCGAGGGGACGGGCGAGGAGGAAGACGAAGACGAAGACAAAGGCGAAGAGGAGAAACGCAATCGCGCCACCGCCACCACCACTGCTACCTCGCCCACGGAGAAAGGGAAGGAGAGGGAAAGGGAGCCGCCCGCCGATGAAAGCCCAGCAGCACCACAGGACGCGTCGGCTCGGGAGGAGGAAAGCGAGAAGCAGGACGACAATGCCCCGGTTGACCGAGGTACGCTGCAGCGCCTCCGGTCTACGATTTTGCGGCCTTCCACTGACGACGTTGGGCGCGCGAGCACAGGACACACGGCACAGCCGCCCAAGAAGAGGTGGCGCGACTAGTAACAGGTCTGGGGCCCTGGGCCACGTGCTTGGCGCGGGAGGTTGCGGCGCGGATTGGCGGTTACACTGGAGTCGTAAAAGCTTCGTAAATTTATATGAACAAGATTGATTACATGGGTGTCGGGGGCTTTCGTATATACAAGGGGAAAGTCACACAGCCTGTCTGTGCTAACGTGGCGTGGTGGAGTGATCAGAAGAAAGGAGGGGAGAAGAAAGAGGAGAGAGGCCGAAGAGAGATGGTGCAGGGTCACCACCCAGCCACCCAAGGCTGAGCTTTAGAGGAGGTCGGTGAGGAGAGCCACTTCCTCGGCTTGCAGGATATCTGAGCTGAGGAAGGACGACAGGAACGAGTCGTCGAAGGCCGGCCCCGACCCCTGCATCTGCATCTGGTGCTGCGGCTGGGGTGGGAATGCCGCGTTCATTGTGTGCTGGGGCTGCGGCTGCTGGAGGGGCACACCGGCGTCCACCCACTGCGACCCAGCGTCGTGCCACCCGCCGCTCGTGGTCGAGGTCGAAGTCGCGTAGGGCTCGTTGAGGAGGAGGGAAGACGACGAGAGGGTCGGGAGCGTGGGCATGGACATCGACACGGCATGGGAGGCGAAGAATTCCCCAGCGCCGGCCATCATCATCGGGCTGGTCGTCGAGGTCGAGTTCGCAGCGGGCATCGGGTGGCTTCGTTGCGGCTGGTGGAGATGATGGGCCTGGCCCACCGGGAAGTTGGGATACGATGCCGAGTGGACCAGGTGGTGGCCGTGAGGGTGCTGCGGCTGGTGGTCTCGTCGCGTGGCGAGGTTGGTGGGCATGGTTGGGGCGACCAGGTTAATGGTCATCGGGTGCAGCGCCTGCTGGTTCTGGTGCGCGTGCTGGTGCTGGTGCTGGTGCTGGTGGTGGGTGACAGCCGCGGTGGCGGTGGGGGTGGCTGTGACAGTCTGGCGCGGCTGGTCGGCCTGGGAACCTGGGTTGGCCGTCCGATCGTCGTGGGCGGCCTTGGCAGAGCCCTCGTCCTGCGATCGGCTGCGCTTGCGGCGGTGCTTCTTGTCCTTGAGGGCCTTCCGCTCCTTCCGCTTCTTCTTGTGCTCCTTGCGCTTTTGGTCGGCCTTCTCGGCCAGGGCCTGCAGGTAGTTGTTGATCGAGTCGACCGCCGCGCCGCCCGTCAGGATGGCCTCGCCCCAGGAACCCTTCCGCTCGCGGCCCATCGGCATCACGCTCGGACCATCGCCCTGCTCTTCCATGTGTCGTGCGGGCGTTATGTAGTCCATCTGCATGGTCGTGGTAGTGCTTGTGGTCGTGGTTCTTCGGGTTTGCTGTGGTATCGGCCTATTTAGGTTCCTTGTGGATAGGGTCGTAGGCAGAATCCGGCGATGGTGGGTGAAGGGAGCAGCCGCTGGGAAGAAGGCCAACGAACAAGAAGAGAGAGACGAGAGAGGAGACAGGGATGGGGCAGTTGTGGGATGTGTTTGAGAGAATGGGCACATGACGCTTCCGGCTGTTTTTATACCCCCATCATGGCACTCAATATATCGTCGCCGACGGGGCGAGCTGCAGATCCAGCCCGTTGGAGGTTGACCTCTCGCCTCTGGATCACGGCTCGGTTGCGGCCGCAGCACAGAGCACGCAAGAGGTGCACCCTTCCCACGAAAAGCCGCGCTCAACGGTACTTTTTCCATTTAGGATGTCGCTTTCGTTCTTTTGCTTCTTAACTCATCCGGGAAATTTCGCTTGCCTCACAACGCGTGGTGGCGGTCGGTGGTTCGAATCCCACCCCGACCAACACATAACAGACATGTTCTGCGGATGTTGTCTCATCGTGTGAGCCGCACGTGGTGTGTACGTTGGCCTTGACCAAGAAATCTGCTTGATTCCACATTTAAAACCTTTATCTCACGTGAGTGTGTTTAAAGACGTCAGCCAGGCCCTGACAAAAGTGGTTGATTATATTTTTATTTATCCTTCGAGGGCACGCTGGTTGTCCCCCTTCCTCTCTCCCCCATCTGCAATCATGTGTTTCTCGTGGTCAGTGCATTCGGCGCCTCTCAGCCGTAGTTGCTGGGCGCGGAGACGTCCAATGCGAGCAACGTCTCCAGTGATGTGGGCAGGGCTGAGCGCAGTGAGCATGTGGCTCATTGAGACGTGGAGCTGCACTCCTTGCTCTCGCCACAGTGGCAGTCCGTGCACGTGCACGACGCACCACACTTACAGTCCTCTGTGCCACAGCCAAAACACGCGTCAGGTACCAGCGATCTGCCCTTGGACCTTACCTCCGCCTTTCATCCACACTCCACCACCTTTCTGCTCCACTGCGTGCGCAGCAGGTAAACAGCAATCAAATCAAGAAATTATGGTAAACTAAGAATTAAAAAAACGAACACAAAATGGCAGTGCTAGTTTTGAGAGGGGGGGGGCGCATACTCTTGCCACACCCAGAGTGTGCCTTCTCCGCCTTGGCCTCGAACCTGCTCGGGCAGGTGCAGTTGGGACCGCACTTGCACTCGGACCCGCAGGTGCATCCGTGGTCGGTTCCTGTCGCCAGCGTCAGAAGGAACCAAACGGAGCGCTAACAAGAACTCGCGTAGCGTGGAAAGAAGGGCAAGGTAGTAGTAGCACCTTGTACGTCAGACATAGTCGATCTTGGTGGCTTGGTGGCTTGCTCTCTTGGGCTTGGAAAATGGGCAGTGCCCCGCACAGCAGCGCACCAGTTCGCAGCCACCTTAACAGTTGGCTATGCCTAAAGAAACTGGTCGAGAAAGCAGAAGAAAGCCAGTGAAATCCAACAAGCATGGCCGCGAGCAGCACCTCCGGAGGTGGTGGCGTACTGCAGTTCATCCGCTTCTTCGTACTCCCCCCTTCCCTTGGGCACGGCGGCACGGGGTGGAATTACTAATGCGGGAACCACGGGGTCTCAGGCGAGCGGAGCCATTGGGACATGTCTGTTCTATGTGGTCTACGAGGCCCTCTACGCTTCGACGGCATCGTGGCTGCCCCACCCCGCCGGCTTGTGCTGGTCTCTGGCCTACTTCCTCAGCATCTGTACCACTGCCCTCCCTCGCCTGCTTTAGCGACCCCGAGCGGTGCAAAGCCTGTTTAACACGCAAATGGCGGGGCATGTACAGTGTGGCAGCACGCGCTGCACCGATGGCTGGTGTTTGGGTCCGACGGGAACTACTGGAAGAGCCTGCTGTACACGTACGCGTGCTATAGTCTGAGCATCGTCCTCAGCGGCGTCCTTAACGACGCCCTCGTCGAGTACTTCCGTACGTTGGTCTCTTCAGCTCCGCAGTGATCGGCTACTCATATCCCTCATCTCTTTCTCTTCTCAGACGTGAATCACCAGTGGGCGTGGGGCCTCACGCTGGGCGCCACCGGAGTGCTCAACTACTTCACCCTCCGCAACGCCTTCGCGCCCGAACACCCGAAGGACAAGGCCCAGCCCAAGAAGGTCCAGTAATCCTTGGCGGTCCAGTCGCAGCAGCGGCGTAAAAAAAGAGCGTTGCATTCCATACAGGCGAAGCGTGGAGCAGGTGGTGCACTTAGCCGGCCGTAGTGTGGCGTCGCGTTTTTTGGTCGGCCGCGCCAGGCGGCTCTGATGGCAGGAACGTTATGGCGTCGGATGGCGACGCGTCTCCGCTGCCATCAGGCGAATGCTTGCCTTTCGTTCCCTTGCCCGCGGCGCCGGGCTTGGCCAGATTCCTTGCGTAGCAGAGACCGCAAGCGTTGCACAGTCTGTAGCCACACACGCCAAACAGAGTCAGCGCCCATAGGCAACCACACCACAGTGCGCCAGCCAGGGCTGCGCGCGTACGTTGTAGTCCCCTTGGGTCCTCGTCGCCACTGCAGCAGAGTTTGTCAGTCGACTGAAGCGGTACCACAAGCAGTCAGTGGAAGGGGGGGGGGTAGAAACCTGGCAGGTCTCGGTGGTGCCGCACCCCTCGCAGGGTAGGTTGCGGCGCATGTGGCTGGGGATTCGTTTGCCTCCTTCGGCAGCGAAGGAGGGCCGCTTCTGGGGCGGCAGGTCGCTGTACTCCTGGATCCACACCTCCCACTTCTCGCCCGACTTGCGTCTGCAAAGAAGGAGTGAGACATAAACTGTGAGGGTGGGTTCTCCAAAACTGGTGTTACTACGCGAGGGTTGCGATGGAGAGAACTGGAGTACTTGAGGTCGCCCTTGTCAATCTTGGAGTGCGGTGGGTCGCCGACAGCGAAGGAGGTGACCGACGTCTTGCCGCGTTCGTCTTCCGTGGTCTCGGTCACCCACTGGAGGCTCTGGCTGCTGGTTGAAGAAGACCGCATGCACGGGCTCGTCGAGGTGCCAAGCGGCAGCGGGTGGCTGAAGCGACGATGACGATCGGGAGAGTCGGTCACCACTCGGTTGTGGCCATATGCTGTGGTTGTACAGGAATGCGGTGGCAGAGGCGGGGAGCTGGCCAGAAGGGTGGCCAGAGGCGGCAAGGAGGGGAGGAGGCAACAGTGGCCAGGCGACGAGCTTGAGTCGATCGGGGAGTAGGGCCGACCCGGGCTATGGTAATCCCGATGGTCCGTAGCGCTCCCCCAAGAGGGCTGCATTCAAAGAGAAGGGCCGGTTGACGGGTGAATAGAGAAAAGTCCATGACGAAACGAAAACGAATGGGCGAGGGCGTTACCATAGGCGAATCCTGGTCGTGACCAGGCAGCGGTGGGGCATTGGATAGGCCGTCGCGGTCCTGGGCCAACTGCCGCAGGGTGAGGATCAGAGGAGGCAGGTTGGGTCGCACACACGGAGACCCACCCCGGTGGGAAGAAGAGGCTGGAGAGCCAAGAGATATCGGGGCGAGTAGGTGCGGGTAGGCGAAGCTGGAGGTTGAGGAGGAAGAAGAAGAAGTAGAGGAACATGACGAAGAACAAGAAGACGACGAGGTGGAAGTGGAGATAGACGTGGATGAAGAGGGAGTGTTGAGGAGGTTGGAGATGTGGAGCACGGAGGGACCCGTACTCGGCCGCCCGAGTACCTCTTCGGACGTTGTCTCGTGCACCTGGGTGGTCTTAATGGTGCGCCGGGTGGTCAGGTAACATACCTCCTCCACCACGTCGTCGCCATCACCCTCCGACTGCATTGGGAGAGCCTGACGGACGCCTCACCTCGAGCGAGTTGGCAGTGTGGCCTCCAAAGAGAAACGATGGGCGGCTGTGGGGCAGTGGGCTCAGGCGTGTGGTGTGACCGCGGTGAAGAGGAAGAAGAAGGAGACAAGGTTGAACCTCTGCCCCCAGCTTTCTAAAAGGTGTACCTTACCATAAGAGCTCTCTGAAGTTGTCCTTGTAGGGAAAGATGTCGGCAGGTAAGACTTGAACACCACCTGCTCGCCTGGAGCATGCAGGTCGTGAAGCCAAAAGCTAACCTAAAATAAGTTCGTTAAACCCCTAATTTGGGCGTTGGCAGTAGCGCGGCAACGCGAGAACAGCGACTCGCTTGGCCTCTTCCATAACGTTCAGCTGTTATTAATAATACACGTTAACACACGCCGACAACAGCCAAAGCGAAATGCCTGCTCAAACGCAGCGTTGGAGGGGGGGGGGTTGTGCGGTTCAACGTTCGCACACAAACTTAACTGAAGCTAGCAAGCCGCGACAGAAGCACAGAAAAAGCAGCAACGAAGAGAACGAACCACCGAACCATCGATGGGCAACTCGGCACCTGGGGTGGGGGTCTCCACTCGCGTGTTTGCCTGCAGCGACCTTCATGTGGACCACAAGGTGCCTCCCCAGCGGTTTCCAATCTATAATCTTATTTTGTCTTTTTTTATTTTTATTTTGTCTTTTTTTAATTTTTATTTTGCGTCATTTTTTTGCCCCGTTGGAGCCTTTGCTCATCTCTCGGTGGCTGCCGCGTGACAGAGCAATTGGGCGCACCTGCAGGAGGTGGTGAAGGAGGGCGGCTATACGGGCCGTGACGTGCTCATCGTGGCGGGCGACGTCTCAACGGAGCTCAGCCTCCTGCGCCGCACTCTCGGCTTCCTGGCCGAGGTCTTCCACGGTGGCCATGACGAAGGTGCAAATGAAGATGAAGAGGAAGAAGAAGAGGAAAGATCGACAAAAAAGAGGATGAGCAACGTCTTCTTCTGCCCTGGCAACAACGAACTGCGATTGGCGCGGTCGGACAAGAAGCAGAACGGGACCTGCGATTCGCTGGCCAAGCTGGCCGACGTGCTACGCGTGTGCGAGGAGGTGGGCGTCCACACGCAACCGGCCAAGGTCAACGGCCAGGTGTGGGTCGTGCCCCTGCTGGCCTGGTACACACCCAGCTTCGATCCGGAGTGGGACAGAGAGTCGCACGACTACCGGCGCGGCTGGCTCGACTTCCGAGCGTGCGCGTGGCCAGCGGAACTCGACGGCGCGGTAGGCGGTGTGGCCGCCCACTTCCTCGCACGCAATGAGGAGTGGATGGACTCGTCGCTCCTGCCCTTCGATGCGCCCGTCGTCTCCTTCTCCCACTTCCTGCCCCGCTTCGAGGTGCTCCCTACTGGACGTGTGGCCTAATGCTGGAATGCTCACGCATTCCTTCCACTCGCGGCCGTGTGGTGTGTGCGGTGGTGTGTGCAGCTGCTTCCCAAGCGGATCTTCCTGCTCAACAAGACGCTGCCGTTGGTGGTGGGCGACGAGCGACTGGATGAACAGATCAGGCGGATCGGGTCGCAAGTGCACGTGTTTGGGCACACTCACATCGACAAAGACAAGGTCATCGACAGCGTTCGCTATGTACAGGTGCATATCGTCTCTCCTCTCGTGCGCGTCACACTCACAAATCGGGGCTGCCAGCAACACACACACACACGCCACACACACACACACGATATCAATATCTGACACTTCTATTCAACCAGAATGCTTTTGGTCACCCTGCGGAGAGGAACAAGGTGTGGCATGCGCTGAAGGCGACCTATAGGCCCAAGCTGGTGCTGGAGGTCTTTCCTGATGGGCGCAGCAGATCGGAGGACCAGCGCGGATCCGATCGAGAGGAGGAAGGAGAAGACGAAGACGAAGCGTCGGAGGAACCGCATGAAGACGAGAGCAACAAGCGGAAGCGGAAGAAGAAACAGAAGTAGTGGGCCTTTAGGCGCGATTGTCCGACCAAGGAGTGTACCTAGGTAATTGCTTCTTGTGCTCGTGGGCAGCACTGATGATTGCAGGAAGCGTGGGATCTCTTCACACTCACGCTTTCTACAACCACCAGAGCTGCCCACCACTTCGCATTAACGATCCCAATTATGAGGTGTGTGCGGTGAGTGTGTGTGTGGTGTGTGTGGAATGTAATGAGATGGCTCTCAGTGGGGTTGGACCGCCATTTATTGGGGATCGGACTTACGGCCATGGGCTAAGATGGGCATGATGGGGTCGGGTTTCGGGGTCACGTGCCCGCCAGGCCGCTCACGGCACTCAGACCGAGGACCCGAACAAAGGAAAGAAGCGGCCTTGCCTTCAATTCGCCTGGGATGTGCATTTCCCCGTGGCAAGTTGCACCAGTAACAGGAGAAAGATGGAAACCTTGGGCATTGTGGTCCTGTTGTTACTGATGCGCCAGCCCAGTGGCTCCGCGGAAGGAAGGCTCCCAGTTCTGTGACACACCAACCTGCAGGTTTTTTTCTTTTATATTTTTTGTTTTTTGTTTGTTTTCTTTTTTCTTTGGCCACAGGCTCAGACGTGAAGGAGGGCGAGGTTGAAGTCGTATCCGCACTCGACCTGGGTCACACGCGAGTCGGCCAGCGACTCGACGAGGGTCGGTACGATCTGATCCTCCTTGTCCCCATGGCCTGCAACGTGTACAGGCGCGCCGCTCAGAGAATTGAGTCGAGTTAGACAGATGCGGGAGCGAGATAGGCGGCGCACCTAGGCGGCCATAGACGCCGCTCCCGCACGTCCACAGGCGGCCGTCGTCTGTCAAGAACACCGTATGCACGCGCCCACAGCTGACGTATGCCACCTTGAGGTTCTCCTCCCGGAAGAACGCCACGGGCCGCGGCTCTTGGTGCTCCTCCTTGTCCCCTGGCCGAACGCTGATGGTGAGGAGTCCACCACAGCTACGGTGAATTCTTACTTCACTTACCTAAGCCCAGCTGCCCATTTTTGTTGAGCCCCCACGCCCATGCCTGCCCTTCCTCATCCACGGCCACCAGGTGGCCGTACCCACACCGCACCTGACGGAGAGAAGCCTATGGTGAAGCACGGCACACGGCACACGGCACACGGCACACGGCACACGGCACACGCCACACGGCACACGGCACACGGCACACGGCACACGGCACACGGCGGCTCACGGCACACCACACGGCACACGCAAGAGAGCGTGTGCTCACCTGCCTCATTCGGGGCGCCTTGTCGGGGAAGGCAATGTGGATGGGCGCGCACTCGCCCATGGTCTCGCCTCCCTTGGTCCAGGCCACCTTGATCTGCATCCAGTACTCGTTACGCCCCCAGAAATAGACCTGTCCCTCCTCTGTCCAGGTAGCCGCCGCGCGGTGAGCCGGCCAGAGTGGTGGACATCAGTGGAATGCGCTTTGCACGCGTACCAGAGACCACCGCGCTGCAGTCGGGACCCACGGCGAGAGAGCGGATGGGCACGCCCGAGAGGGCGGTCACCTGGGCGGGCACGGGCTGGTTGTCGTAGTTGCCCAAACCCTGGTCCGAGAGATGAAGAGGTAAGTAGAGGCACACGTGATCGCCCGTTGAATTGAAAGAGTAGAGGAAAGAAAGGGTACCAGCTGGCCGTTCTTGCCCCATCCCCAAACAAAGAGCTTCTTGCTGGCGGTGAGGGCGAGGCCGTGGCCCCACCCCAGGCCGAAGTCTATGATCTCCTCTCCCTCGAGACCCACCACCTTGCTGGGCGCAGAGGCTGCCTTCTTCTACTCTCCCAGTAGGAAGTCGATGCAGCACACAACACACGCTTTAGAAGTGAGTCCACGATCGTGGTGACTTTCGGGTTTGCCCACGAAGGCGCACAGCCGTGGAGGAGGCGGGCAGCGACCTTTGGAAACTGAGGAGCATGTGCGAGGGCATACATGCTGCTGCCCCATGTCCATAGCTCCGTTCGGTCGTGGTGGGCGACGAGCAGCGCGGACGTGACGCCGCTGCCTGCCATCTTCTTGACCTGCACGACGCGCGCACCCATCACTGGCTGACGTGAGCAGGACCCAATGTGACACCAGGTTGCAGCGCAGTGTGGGCACCTGGGGTGGTGGCTCGTGAGCAAGGAAGGGCAGCATGGGGTTGAGGAGTCGCGGGGTGTCCACGTTGTCGTTGTGCTCTCCGAACAGCTGGTGGTGTTCGTTCATGCCCCAGCCGTATACGTTGCCTTTGGCTACGCAGGAAGGACCATCGTCAGCGAGCCACCGACCAAGATGCTGAGCGCTCATAGAGAGCGAGGCGCGCCGCGTACCGGTGCGAGCGAAGGCGTGGAAGTGGCCGCAGCCGAGGTCGACCACTTGCTCGTCGCCCTCCGGCATCTGCACGGGCGCGGGGAAGTAGCCGCTCTTCGTGTGGGACAGCGGCACTCCTGCGATCCCTAGCTGGCCGTGGTGGCCCCACCCCCTTCGCACAACCAACAGCGCCAAGTAGTGCGTAGGTGTAGGGCTCTGCATTGGGGTGGTGGGGGGGAGTACCACGCCACCAGCCGGCTGGCCTGCCGCACTGTCGAAGTGGCAGTGCGTCGGTGACACGGAGCCCTCGGCAGGCGCAACAAGCTCGCGCTAGCCCTCCGGTTCATCTTCCGGTACTAAATAAAAAAATGCAGAGTATTTGAAGGTTTTTGGAACCAAGAAACGGAATTTGGGGAGCGAACGGCCACCGCCACACAGCCGGGTGTGGAGAAACGCCGTAAGTCCGAGTCCAAAGGGAGCACCCGGCCGAGGCGAGCAAGTCGTTCCTTCTTTCTCTCGCTCCTTCTGCGTTACAACAGACGCCGTCAAACTCGCCAACGCTCAAAACCGCCCTTCAGCGGAGCACAAGGTCCTGAACCGGCCCGGAAGATCGAGTGTACTTATTTAAGGTGCGAAGTTGTACCCTCCCACCTCCCTTTTCATCCAGGGGCGTCATCGAAGCCGTAGTGGCGTCTTCTTAACAAACGGAAGACGGCCAAGAAGAACCGTTGCCAGGCCAGGCTCAGGGACCGCTCAACCAAGTAGGTAGTGTACAGCACTGGTGGCTGCAGCAAGCGTCCTTGCCGAGTAGGCGATGGTGCTTCCTGCAATCATCAGTGCTGTCCACACAACACCTCGTGCACGGTGCTCCTTGTCCAGGCCGAGAACCTTTCTTTATTTGCGTCCGCTCGGCGCAACATTGGCTTGCCCTCTATTTGTTGTTTACTTGAGCCGTGTTTTCCACCAACTTGATGCTGAACTTGCCATGTTATTGATTCGTCGTGAAATTTCAGGCACATGCCGTAAATATTTAGCTGCCAAGCTGGAAGAATGTTGCACCTCAAACCTCGCAAATAACGGAGGATTGATTCTGTTTTCTACGAGATGGAAGTGCCCCGCCCAGCCTACGGCTTCGAGTTTGGCGAGCCGCCCAAGGATATCCGCTCCTCGTACGACGTGGTTGTAATTGGCCTGGGCGGTACGAACTCGGACCTAAGAAAACGGGGGGGTATAATATTATTTTTCATTGGTATTTATTTGCTTATTTTTTAATAAAAAGCTAAATATATTGAATTGGCAACGCATACTACGCGGCAGGGCTCGGGGCTGCGGCTCTGTACTGGGTGGCGCGCAAGCAGAAAGCTGGAGAGGTGTCGGTGCTTGGCCTCGAGCAGTACGACCTGTTCCACCACCGCGGCGGCTCTCAGGACCACTCCCGCATCATCCGCCTCGCCCAGAGCGCGCCTTGGTACACCAAGATCGCGCCGCACATGTACTTCGCCCTTCTTCCCCGTGTCGTACATCAGCAAGGCTTGAATTGGAGTTAGACTCATCTCAACCCGTTCACCGCGCGGCAGGTACATGGTACGATCTCGTTGCCACGTAGCGCAGGCCTGGTGATCTGATCCACTTCCCAGTCTCAAGAAACCCCCGTGAGATGTGTTTTTATGTGGTCGGGGGGCAATGTAGGCTTGGAAAACGGTGGAGGACGAAGCCGGCATTGAGCTGGTCCACCGCACTGGTGGCCTTGTGTTCGGCCCCAAGGACAACAAGGTGCGTTACGCTGCGTTCCACCGTATCGACCCCTTGACGCTGGCTCACGCCTGCCTGACCGATGTACCAGGACCTGGACGACTACGCCCGCGCGATGGCGGTGAACGAGGTTCCCTTCGATGACCTGACAGCGGAAGAGGCCATGAAGAGGTGGCCACAGCTCACCCTGACGCCCAACTACCGAGTGCTCTACCAGGCCGATGCAGGCATTGTCAACCCTCGCCTGGTACGTGCGCGCCTCGGTGTCGGATGCGACGAGATCTAAACAAGCATTGCCCGCACACAGTTTGACTACTCACACCGCACTTGAACAGGCAAACTCCACGCACATAACTCTCGCCCGTAAGAGAGGAGCGCACGTGCTCGATCAGACGAAGGTCACGGAGATCATTCCCATCGGTAAGGAGGGCGCCAAGGTGGTGACCAGCAAGGGCGAATTCACGTGCAAGCGGCTGATCATCTGCGCTGGCCCTTGGACCAACCATTGCCTCAAGCCCTTCGGTAAATGCCAAGCGCTTCCCCTTTGGATCGCACGGGGCGTTGGGTCCGAGTAGTGACCGGCTCCACCCAACTGCTAACCGCATACCGAATAGGGCTGGAGGTGCCGATCAAGACCACCAAGGAGCAGATCACCTACTGGGCGACACCCAATTTACGTGAGTTCTCACCGTCTCGGTTCCCAGTGTGGATCAGCGTCGAGGAGAAGGACTGCTACTACGGCTTCCCGGTCTACGGAGAGGTGAGCGACGCGCGTTGCCTGAGTGGGTTGCATTCTGGTCTCACACGATTCTCAGGTGGGCACGAAGGCTGGCGTCCACATCGGTGGTAAGGAGGTGGACCCTGATACCCGCGGCTTCGAGCCCGATGTGGACTTGCTGAACAACATCGAGGCTTACATGGCCAAGACGATGCCCGGCGCCCGTAGCATGCTGCCCTCCACGCTGCCTGGCACGCCCATTCTGACTGATACATTCCTCACATTTAATTGTAATCCAGTCGGACCGAGGCTGTACACCAAGACGTGTCTCTACGCCAACACGCTGGATGACGACCTCATCGTCGACACGCTGCCTAACTTCCCTCAGGTGTCCCTCACCGTTGGCTGTACGTGCAAAGAAGCCTTCCTCGTTTAGCATCTGGCGACTTTTTCTGATCGCGACGACGTGAGTAGGCGGTCACGGGTACAAATGGGCATCGTTCATCGGGCTGGTGCTCAGCCAGTATGCCCTCAACGGCAAGACCTCCTTCCCGGTGGAGGCTCTGGCCGTCACACGCCCTGCAGCCGGTCTTCGCTCTTCCCCAAAGGCGGCTCTCTAAGTTTTCGCGTATTAATAATTCTAGGAAAAGGAGCATGACCGAATTTATTCTTTTTCCCGCCTTCTTTCTTGCGTAGCAAACAAATTTGAGCTCTTGGAAGATGACCACCATCGACAAGCTGCTCATCCAGGGCATTCGCAGCTTCAGCCCACAAAACAGAAACATAATCGAATTTTACAAACCCCTCACCTTGATCGTGGGGCACAATGGAGCCGGCAAAACGGTATGCATTCGTGATTTACATTCACGATGTTACATTCATAAATGGGATCTGGGAGGCACCTGAGTAATTACGTTTCTTTCGCCACCGCAGACGATCATCGAATGCCTCAAGTACGCCACGACGGGCAACATGCCACCAGGCGCGAAGAATGGCCAAGCTTTTATTCACGACCCCAAGGTACAACGTTGGCTTTTTGTGACCCTTGGTCGGCAGCAGTGCAGCTCACCCGACGGTTGTGCGCCAGGTGGCAGGCGAGCGCGAGGTGAAGGCCCAGATCAAACTGCGCTTCAGGAACGTGAACGGAAAGCCCATCGTTTGCACGCGATCGCTGCAGCTCACCCAGCAGGCGAACGACAAGAAAGTGTGCAAGACACTCGAGAGCGCGCTCCAGACCTACAATGCGGCTGGAGAGGTGAGAACTGCCCGAGTGCTTCATCTCTCGACATTTACTGCCTCGTGTGGTGCACCTCACTCACAAGTGGCCGCGTTCACATCACTTCAGAAAGTAAGCCAGAGCTTCCGTTGCGCGGACCTGGATCGTGAGATACCAGAGCTAGTCGGTGTGTCGCGTCCCATTCTGGAAAACGTTATCTTCTGCCACCAGGAGGAGTCCAACTGGCCGCTGTCCGAGACCTCGGTGCTGAAGAAGAAGTTTGACGAGATCTTCGCTGCCACGAGGTGCGACCGTACTTGCTCTGTGTCGCGTACGCACACTGGAAGACTGACTCCGTTCAAAACCTGCATTATACCCTCAGATACACCAAAGCCTTGGAAGCTATCAAAAAGCACCGCAAGGAACAAGCCCAGCAGATAAAAGAGTGCAAGCTTCGGCTGGAGAACTTGCAGAATCAAAAGGACCATGCCCACCAGGTATGCCTCCATTCGTGCCCGGCTGACTGCTCGGCTTCTCAGGATCGATTCGGTGCAGTGTCCGTGGCCTGATCGTGACCGTAATCATCTGTACAGATTCAACGAGAGCTGAAGAGCAAGCTGGAGTTCCAGGCCAAGGCCAACGAGGAAATGGCAGCTCTGCAGCGGGAGATAGACGAGCAGGAGAAGCTGCTTACCGAACTCAAGCGCAAGTTCAACTCGATCAACACACTCATGACCGAAATTAAGCAACTCAAGGCTGTGCGACAGCAGATGGTGAACGAAAACCAGAAAACCTATGCTGAGCTCAAGCAAGAGTTCGAAGGTATGTTATGGTGCCCCTCTCTTTCCCTTGTGGCTGTGAGTAGCTCACACGCTCATGTCGGCGCTTTGCGTCAGAATCGGACGAGGAGCTGCTCTCTCTGGCCGCCTCCTTTAATGAGGAGATGGAGTCTCGACGTCAAGCCGAGAACGCGCTCGAGGGAAAGCTGGAAAAGCTGCACCGGAGCAAGAATCAGCACGACGCGGCCCTCTTCAGCATCAATGAGCAGATGAGCTCCATCAAGTCTGCCATAGAGGCAAGATCACCCTGTCGCTCCTATGACACTCGATCGAGTGGGCCGGTGACTGACTGCATGTTTGCGGCTCTTTTTTCCCTTGCAGAGGCGCAAGACCATCCTCGCAGAGCGGGACAGCCTCATCCTTGAGTTCATCGACTACTACGGGCTGCAGGACTTCGACAAGCCACCCTACTCAGAAGCCAAAATGACCAAGTTCCTCGAAACGACTAAGAAACTGCTGAACGCCATCATGCAAAAGACCATGAAACTGAAGGTGCCCTCTCTTTATGTGTGCTGGGCACAAAGTGGTCATGTCCTCATCATCTCGTGTGTCGTCTGAACAGGAGGAGAACGTGGCAAGCGCAAAGAACTTCTCCGACGTGCTGAACAGGCTCCAGTCAGAACAAAGCACGCTGGAGGCCCAAATGACCCAAAAGAGAAGCCAACTGGTACGCTGCGCCGCCACTTTGCTAGTGCTTAGTGCCAACTCGTTGCACTGACCATCCACCGAACACGAACAGCGAGCCAACGAAAACAAGCTGAAGCAGCTGGAATCAGAGATCAAGGCAAAGAGGGCTCTGCACAGCAGCCTTGGCGCACTCGAAGCGCAAATGCAGTCCGAGGTATAGCGGTCTTTGCATTTATCTCTCGCTCACAAAGAACCGATGCATGCTGACCTCTTCCCTCCCGCGCTTAGCAAGAAGCCCTGGAACAGGCCAAGAAGGAGGCGGGCCTTGAAGAGCTAGCGCGTGAGATCGGTGACCTCATGCAGCAGAGGAAGCAGGTCGAGACTGGCATGAACTCCCTCCGCGAGCTGATGCGCAAGCTGAACCTCCAGGCCGACGCGAGGGCCAAGCTCAACGTCAAGAAGTCTCAGCAGAGGGAAAGAGAAGAGACCTACCGCGCAAGGTATGTGCATTACCGCACCACCCGCCTCTTTTTGCCCTGTGTCCAACTCATTTCCTTCTCCACCCTGCACAGATACCAGAGCAAGCAGGCCGATTTCGAGGCAGTGTTGGGTCAGGCGGTGAACATAGAGGCCCTCAAGCCCGCGCTGGGGAAATCCATCGCGTACACACTCCTACTCGTCGCGATCTTGCTTTGAGTTCACTGTCAGGTGCTCACTCGCATGCCGTTTGACCACCGCAGGGCCAAGAGGGAGGAGGTGGCGGCTACCCGCTCCCGCCTGGAGGGGGTGAAAATGAAGGCCTCTTCGCTTGTTGGCGAAGAAAAGTCGATCAAATCGAGATTGGCGCAGCTGGAGCGACAATTGCAAGGTTCATGATATCCTCGCCAAGCCTCACTGTTAGGTCAACAACTGACCTGCTCTCTTGTAAACAGCCAAGAGGGAGGAGATCAAGGTGATCGGCGAAGACGACCGACCCCTGCCGGTGCTCATAAAAGAAGCTGAGAAGAAAGTGGAGAATGTGAGAAAGTGCGTGGTCGCTCTCATCGCTAGTGCTGTTTCTGCCAGTTGCTTCTAACCCCATCGCTCTCCAGGGACGTGCTCATGATCCAGTCCGCCGAGTTGATCTACCAGAACTTCATCGAGCTGGCGCGTGAGAATCAGGAGTGTCCCCTCTGCGATCGTGGCATCCATGGCGACGCTCTCAAGAAAATGCTCGACCAGGTTCGCCTCTCCACCACACATGTTGGCTGTCTCGTGCCACGGCGTGAGGCCAAGAACTGAGCGTTGAATCACTTTTCTCTGCGTGCTCTGGTGGTACGTGTATGCAGATGCAATCGACCATAGACAACGTGCCCACGTCGCTGCAGGAGAACAAGCAGCTGCTCACGGAGCAGGAGACGCTCTACGAACAGCTGTGTGGCCTGTTGCCCACCTGGCAGGATATCACGCGCTTGAAGGACACCGAGGTTCCCCAGATCCAACAGCGCCTGTCGGCCATCCAGCAATCGATGACCGAGCTCAACTCGGAGATCAAAGAGGTTCGTCCATGATAGATGTTTCCCACACCCCCAGCAAGGAGAGCGCTCACCGCCACCTCCCTCCGTTTAGTCGACACTCCGGCTGGAGAAGCTGCAAGCTGAAGAGGCCAAGGCCTCCGCGCTCATGTCCGACGCAGAGGCCATCCTGCGCCACTACAAGGACTTCACCGTGCTCAGCGAGCAGGTACCACCCCGTGTCCCTTGTGGTTCCTTCACCCCTAAACACCCCTAAACTTCTCACATTTCTTTGCCCCGGCGCACAGATTCGCGCAGAGGAAAGCACGCTGCTCCAATCCTCTTCGGACATGCGCACCGTGGAAGAGGTGGACAAGGAATACTCCACGCTCAAGGAGAAGAGGTACGTTCTTGTGTGCACCTGGAGGAACGCCTGCCGCGCACGGCTGATGACTCCCGCCCCCATCTAATCAACCGCAAATCCACAGCCAAGAGCTTCTCGAGGCTTCCGAGCGAGCGCAGAAGGAGCAGCAGGCGCGACAGGACAACATTCGTCGCCTGGAGTCGTGCGTGTTCGAGCTCAAGGACAAGCTCCTTCAGTCAAAGGGCAGCTATGACTCCATCGCGCTGCTGCAGAGGAACATGGCTGAAATCGAGAACAGCAGCAAAACGCTCCAGCAGGAGATTCGGGTACAGTCTACGCATGTGCAATGCGGCCTCATGCGTTGGGCTTGCGGGCCGATTGACGAATCGCCACTTCATTGGAATGGATGTGCAGGGAGCGGAAGAGGGCCTCGCGGTCAAGCTGGGCGAGAGGGAGGAGGTACTGGCGCAGAAGAACCAGACCGAGGCCGAAAACGAGGCCAAGATGAACGAAGTTGTCAACGAGCGACAGCTTTTCCAGGAGCGGCTGGCCTTCATCGAGACCCTGCAGAAGCAAATCAGCGGGTTCGGCTCTCTCTTTGGCTTGAAGAGTCGCTGTTTCCGTTTCTGTGACGAGCTTGCTTACACTCTTTATCCTGCACAGGAAGAACTTGGAGGAGCTGATGACAGACGAGGAGAAGCTGGCAAAGAAGAAGCAGGAGACGGAGGCGCGCATCGTGGCCATCAACGAAGATGTCAAGAAGGGCAACGACACCCTGCTCGAAATACGCGAGTCCCTGGCCACGAGTGACATCTTCAAGCGCAACATTGACGACAACATCCGGTACCTGGTCTCTCGACTTGCCGAGTCCGAATTGCAAAGGGCTAACTCAGCTTACTACGGCGATGTTACGCGCACAGATACCGGAAACAGAAGGCCGACCTGGAGAAGCTGAACACACGGGTCAAGAAGAAGGAGGAAGAGGCCCAGCTGGAGAACACCGAGTCGGTGGAGTTCGACATGGACCGTCTCACGAGCACCACCGAACAGAAGAAGCGCAAGGTACGTTGTCTGCGCGCACTTGGATAGAGAGAGCAATAGATCGCTCGGCATGCGCGCTGACATGCATGCTCCCTGTTACAGCTCAACCAGCTCATCGGAAAGCGGGACACGTTCACGAGTCAGATCAAGGAACACCACAAGGAACTCGCCAAACCCATCTACAAAGACATCGACGACCAATTCCGACAGATGTTGATCAAGGTCAAGACTACGGAGATGGCCACGAGCGATCTTGAGAAGTACTACCACGCCCTCAACAAGTACGCACAACTTCTCTTCTCCTCTTCAAGGTTCGGTTTAATCGAGCATTCCCTGACGTCCGTTGCGCAGAGCCTTGATGAAGTACCATCAGGTCAAGATGGAGGAAATCAACAAAATCCTTCGTGAACTGTGGCAACACACATACAAAGGGCAGGACATAGACACCATCGAGATTCGCGCCGACGTCGATCCGACGAAGGAGGGCGGAAAGTCCAGCTACAACTACCGGGTATGCTCCCACACTTTGTTCACATTGAACGGGACACATGCCAATGTAGCGGGCTTGGGCTAACCGCTGATTGGCTACGTGGTACAGGTGATCATGGTAAAGGGCGACACCGAGCTGGACATGCGCGGCAGGTGCAGTGCTGGACAAAAAGTCCTGGCTTCGCTTGTAATCCGGCTTGCGCTGGCAGAGACCTTCTGCCTCAACTGTGGCATCCTCGCCCTGGACGAGCCCACCACCAACCTCGATCGTTACAACGTCGAGAGCTTCGCGAATGCCCTTGTCAAGTACGTTCCCTGCTCCTCGCCTGACCGTCAACTGCTCTTCCTCTCACGATGTCCCTCCTGTCAACATTACGGTGCGCAGCATTATTGCCTCTCGAAGCCAACAACGCAACTTCCAGCTCATCATCATCACGCACGACGAGGAGTTCGTGCAGCTCCTTGGCCGCAGCGAACACGCGGATTACTACTGGCGCGTATCGAAAGACATCAAGTACGTCCGAGGCCAAGACTCCTATGAGTGAGGATTCGGAATCTGACTTGATTACTGGGTGTCACCACGCGTAAAACAGCGGCCACAGCATCTTGGAGCGACAGGACATTCGTGACCTCAGCTGATCCTGCCTTAGCCACAACACACAATGCCACCAGGTTCTCAACTTCAAAAACTAAAAGCACTGTAAAAAGGCATTCATCAGACTCTGCAAGTAGCCTCCTTCTCCAAGAGAGGCAAAATATGCATCATCTCCCAGACAAAAAATTCCCCACAGGTCTGGCTGTTGTCTGGCTGCCCAACCAAAGAGGCAGGCAAAACAATCGTGCTGGGGAGAGGCCAGGTAAAAAGATATGCATCCGCCGGGAATTGAACCCGGGTCTCCCGCGTGGCAGGCGGAAATCTTGCCACTGGACCACGGATGCTTCTGATGAAGGTTGGGCATTGGACACGTTTGAACAGCCCAGACGACAAAGAGAGGAAAAAGACAGAAAGATGCTCCAAAAGAAAGCGAACAAGAAAAGCAATTCCTGAAATAATCAACAACATGGGGGACAGAAGCAAGATACGGGAACGTACGTCCTCTTCCACGGATAAGCCAGAGAAGCCCGTCGCTCCTACTTCATCTGCCACAGCAGCATCTAAGGAACTTGAAGACACGGCCGCCATCCGAAATCGGCTTGTGGTGGTAAACGATCGACGAGTCACTACTCTTACCGCCAAGTTCTTTGCATTCATTCGTGCCGCCGAGAGCGACACCACCACCCTCGACGAAGTGTACCCTCCCCAACCCACTATCGATCCATTATTTAATTTGCTTTTTAATCTACTTTCCTCTGGGCTCAAACAACTTGGCGCAGGGAACTGGTGGAGGGCCAAATCCAGAAGGAGTTCGACCTGTTTGACATATCCCTCGATAAGCTGCGGGCCACCGCTGATGCCAATGGTCGCGAGCTCCAGCAGTACCACTCCCTCCACCTGCAGCGCGGTACTCGCCCACACCTTCACCCCGCCTTGTGGAGTGTGGGGTCAACGCTCACACCCCGGACCCGTTCCAAAACGCGCAGAGGGTCAGATTGCGCGGGCAAAGGAGGAGCTGGTGCGGCTGAAGACGGAGCTGGAGCACGAGAAGAGGCGTAGGAACCACAAGGAGGAATACGAAGCCATTGCCAAAATCATCAATCAGTACCCCAGCCGGGCCGACACTCAGAGGTGAGACCTTCCGCCATCTCACCTTCCTATCATGCTCGTGCGTGCGTGCCATCGGGCCTTCTTTGTTGACACCGGCCTCTCCTACATTTGTAGACAGCTGCAGGCCCTCGAAGACGACCTGGCGTCCCTGGCCGACGCCAAGCAACAAATCGAGGACGCCACGCGTACAAGCCCCGCCTTCTCCCTTCGTCAATGACGTCACACACAGACGCAAAAGCTGACAACGTTTTGCCTACGACCCGCCCGTACGTATGTGCAGAGAAGCGCAGGAAGCAGTTTGCGCTGCTGTTCGATTGCATCGACGACCTGCAACGAGCCCTGCGCGCTGAAGGAGAGGAGGCGAAGGAGGACGAGAGCCGGAAGGAGTCCGTGGCCACGGGCAAGCGCAAGCGTCCGGCAACGGAGGCAACGGACGACACCCTTAAGGGCAAGGCACTCGCCGACGAACCACCAGCCGTGTCCTCCTCTGCCGAGACTGCCCGGAAGCGGGTGCGCGAGGTGGAAATGGAGGAGGCTCGCGATGACGAGACCGAGCCCGGCGAGATCACCACCAAGGGTCTGCCATCATGCTGCCTCTTCCTGCTCTCGGCTTAGCCTGGTGGTTGACTAATTCGTGGCTGGTGGGTGCGTCATGTCAGAGGTGACCATGGCCGACGGCGTATGAGCGGGCTCCTGAACGACGCCGCACTGGGAGGTGCGATTCACCGGACATGGACCCACCAGACGCAGCCGTGTGCAACACAGCACAACACTATAGGGTTTCAATTTGAATCATAAATACTCTACAACGCGTCCTTCATAGCATCGCCACCATCACCATCACCATCACTATCAGAACTCCATGGAGTAGGAGACGGGGTCCCTGTCGATGACGATGACGGGCACCACGGAGCGCCAGTAGAGGATGTTGACGTCCCACCCGAGGCTGATGGCGCGGCACGCGGAGAGGAACACGCAGAGCAGGTACCCCGCTACGCCCTCCAGCACGTGCCACAGTGCGTGGAAGTTCCAGACCGCGATCGTCGTACAGTACTGGGTCTCCACCAGCTACGAGCACGACACACACGACACGACACGAACGCCACGTCAGCAAATGTAGGTGGAAACCGGGGCGAGTTCTGCGGGCGCACCCAGAAGACGAGCGCGAGAGCGAATATGCCGAGGGAGGCCTTGCCGAGTGCGGCGGCTCCAGCTTCGTCGAGGATGGGCTGGTGCTCGCTGTAGGCCCGCCAACTTTGGAGCGCCAGGGCTGCCGAGCCAATGTCCGCCACACCCGCCGTGTTCAGTCAATACATCGACGTGCACGACAGTACTGGAGTGATGTCTGTTGGGGTGCGTGGAGAGGGGAGGGGGCGCACCGGCCAGGGCAATGCCGGCGAACATGGGCACCAGCGGGACGAGCTCGTCAAAGTCCAGCAGGATGGGCGCGAGCGTCGAGATCCCTGCGTACACCGCCAGGCACAGCACGAGCTGGGGCAGCACAGCGACGCTCGAGTCAGTGCTTTCTTCACGTGTGGGCAAGGGGCTGTAGTGAGCTCGGCGCGTAGCAGGCACCTGCGACTCGGTGGCCTTGAAAGGAGGCTCGCGCTGGCTCGTGAGGACCGAGAACAGGAGCACGCACGCGGCATACACCACCGGCAGCCCATGGAACAGCTCCGTGAACTCGAGCAGCGTCACGTGGAACAGCGCCGCACCCGCTCCTGCACCAGGCTGGGCGGTTGAGAAGGGGAGCAAGAGGAAGAAGAAGGCTGCGGTCAGGGGTGAGGGTGGGCACCGAGGAGGGCGAGGGCGAGGTAGGTGGCGCGGGTGCGCAGTTCGTGGCCGGGCGGTGCGCAGTGATAGAGGCCGAAGAGGCCGATGCCCACGATGGCGAGGGCGGCCAGGGTGTTGAAGGGCTCCCCCACGAGCCGCGTCAGTGCGTAGTCGCTCTCGCAGCCGTTTGTGAACGACCCCACCGGCCTGCCCCACACACCCTCCCGCCCTCCCCACGTCTCTGCTGCTGTTGCTGGTGGGGCCGCCTCCATCGCCACTGTTTTTAACTCAAAAAAATAATGAAATGAAATGAAAATAGAATAAAAGAAAAATAGGAAGAAAAAAACCCAAACTCCGGTGCGTATTGTCTATTCTTTGGGCGTTTCGCCTTCTCCCACTTGTGGTGGCTGCTGCTGGTCGTCGCCGCCTTTCTCGTGCGCCTCGTTCGGGTGGGGTGACTCGTCTTCCTCCTTCTCCTTCCCCTTCTCTCCAGGCACCTCCGGCTCCGGCCCTAGCTCGGTCGGCTGGGCGGTCGCACCGGCGCTGGCCTCCGGTGCCGGTGCCGCCTTGGCTCCGCCGAGCTCCTTCTCGTAGATGCGGCGCACGTTGAAGTCCTCCAGCCGATCGTAGGCCCCGTTGGGAATCACAGCCACCCCGCACGCCCTCTGCCAACCCGAGGAAAGAGAGAGAAGCCCGCGTCAGCACTTCTCTTGGCGGTGAAGTGGTGGTGTTGAAGTGGTGGTGGGCCACTGACCTGGAAGATCTCGACGAGGATGGTGATCTCGGCGTTGCGGTAGTTGAGGATGCCCACATCGCTCAGGAGCTTGGTCGCTGCCTCGATCGTGTCCATCTGCCTCACCTTGTCGTTGTTCCTGCGCTTGAACACGATCGTGAACTGCGATCAAGCACGACACGACACGCACGACACGCACGACACGATGAGGAGATGCCAAGGGTCAGAGAGGATACATCGAGAAGGAAGACAAGAGGGGAGCGGGTACGGGCTTCTTTTGGCCGGGGAGGGGGTTGGGCGGGAAGTGGGGCCGCGCGAGCTCTTCGATGAGCTCGAGCACCTTGTCCATCTGCACCGCGCACGTCTTTTCGATGGGCAGCATCCGCACCGCATTCCTACCGCCGCCGCCGCCGCCCAGAAGCATGTCCGTCAGTCTCCGCGGCTAAGAAGAAGAAGAAGAAGAAGAAGAAGAAAGAGAACGTACTTGGTCTTCTGCTCCTTCTTCTCCTTGAGGTCCTCCAGAATATCTGTCCGCGGGGACATGTGCGCCGCGATGTGAGGGGACACAGAGTGACTCGATGGTGGAGGGGAGGTGGTACGGGTGATGAAGGGGACGGGCTGCATGCGGGGGTCGGTGAAGCGGATGAAGATGAGGCCCTTCACGTTGGTCTCCAGGACGTAGAACTTGCGCTGCCCCTCCTTGGCCTCCTTCTTGATATCCGCGATCTCAGCCGCCAGCGCATCTGCGCCCTCCGCCCCAACATCCACGCCCGCAGAGTCAGCCAGCGTCATTCCACGAGGCCACGACTTGGGCGCTGCTGGGCTGCGCACCCTCAATGCTCAGGGACGCATCGGCCTTGGGTGCCTCGGCCTCCGGGTACATGGCCTCTGCGTACTGTTCTCATTCACGCGGTCAGCGCCGCTCACCTGCAGAGCTGCGCTGATCGACGCACTCACGGGCGGGCGGCGGCGGCGGGAGGGGGGGGGGGTCCTACGTACTTCGTTGAGCATGTTGAAGAGCTCGCGCACGGCCTGGCCCTCCTTGTGCTTCCCCTCGCAGGTTACCAGCACGCCCTTGAACCCATCCTTGGCCTCGAACTGCTTGCGCTCGAAGCCGCCGCCTCCGCCACCTCCGCCGCCGCCTCCACCCCCCTTGCCCTGCGCTTGCAAGCCCCGCCCCAATCTCTTCAGCAAAGGCTGCCGGAGCGGAAGAGCTGGGGGATACGGAAATGGTACCTTTTGGTAGTACTGCTTCTTGGAGCGCTTTCCGCCGCCCTTGTCCTTGCCTCCGCCCGTCCTCTTCATGCTGGCAGACACCTTCGATTCAAAAAAAAACACCAAAACCAGAAAATCAATTCATAATAAACCAGAATATCAAAATAGAGATTCCGTGCCTTTTCTTGTCATTTTCCCGGATCGCCAAAACCGCGAATTGAAAATCATATATCATCTCGCCATCAATCTAACGATGAATCAACAAGATCAAGCGGCAGGCCAGGGTACCAAGCGAAAGGCTGATGACGAAGTGGTCGTGGAAAAGGCGCCAGTGATCAATCGCGAGGCATTGGCCCAATCCTACGCGCCCTACGTGCCGTATGAGCACAGTGAGCAGCAGCATGAGCAGCACTACCCACAGCAGTCCTACGGCGCACCGCAACCGTACTACGCCGGAGGAGGCTCCTACTCGTACCCGCCCCAACCCATGTACGGCAGCATGCCAACCATTACCATGGCCCCCCAGCCCTACTACCCCGCCCCTCCCTCATCTGCGCCGCCCGTGGTGGTGCAAGTCGCGCCCCAGTCAGCCACAGCCGCCAAGAAGGCGCCCTCGGCATCGACCAACAAGATCGTCTACCGAAAGGCGGCGGGCAAGAGCTGGGAGGATACCACCCTGGCCGACTGGCCCGAGAACGACTTCCGCATCTTCGTGGGCGACATCGGTAACGAGGTCAACGACGAAATACTGAAGAGCGCCTTCGCCAAGTACCCTTCGTTCCAGCGGTCCAAGGTGGTGCGCGATCCCAAGTCGCTCAAGACCAAGGGCTACGGCTTCGTCAGCTTCAGCGACGCGCGCGACTACGTCAAGGCCCTCCGCGAGATGAACGGCAAGTACATCGGCAACCGGCCAGTCAAGGTATTGTATTGTGGCTCCCCTTCTCTTTTCATTCGACCTCTGCATGTTTGAGCACACCCTAACACTCTTCCTTGTGTGCGGATGCGTGTCGTGTTGCGTGTGTTGTGTGTGCTCTGTGCTCTGTGCGCTGCAGCTGCGCAAGTCGACGTGGAAACAGTATACGGACGAGGAAAAGGCCCAATCGGTGCTGCAAAAGCAGCAGGAGCAGCAGAACAAGGCCAAGGGCAAGGGCCAGCAGGCGCAGAAGAAGCGAAGGGTGTGAACCTCCTCTCCCTACCCCTCTTACCTGCTACAGGTACAACCGTTACCCGCTTCTCCGTGTACATACCGTCACCATTATACCATCATCATCATGCTGTCATGACCACACAGTACTTCACCACCTAGCACGCCCCTCTTTCTCTGCTGCGCGCGTGACGGCGTTGGAATCCGATAAGATGGTGTCACTCTCGTTCCACGGGAGGAGCAGGTGGGCCACCGCGAAACTCCCGGGAGCCCAAGGGCAGGTTAGAGGCCCGTCACTGCCCTTCTCCTGCCCCCCCCCCCAACGGAGGCCGTGGTCCGCAGTCGCTGCGGTCATTCCCTCCACCTCACACCTTCTCGCACTCCCCCGCCAACCCACCGCCGCCGCCGGGGCCTACGAGGAAAGGAAGAACGAAGAAGAGCACTACCCCTGCTCCATTCTCCAACTGCAGCGAAAGAAAGCGCAACCACTTCCGTTGTTGCCTTCTTTTTCGCTCGTTCATTCCTTCCACTCCGTCGCCCCCCTACACTCCGGCTTTTGGACTTTACAGACAGGTCTCCTCTACTCCTACTTCTTCTACTTCTTCTACTTCTTCTTTGACGAGGATGAGGCGTAGCCACGGCGGCAGCTACCACGGGGACGACCTCCCCTACCTCTACGGGGGTCCGCCCTACACGGCTTCGCCGCCCCGTAACCACATGTACCCGCCTCCCCCGCCCCCGCCACTTCATCACTACCCCCACCCCCACCCCCAGCATTCCCATCTCTCCTCGTCGGCCCCGTCCACGTTCCACTTCGCCCGCCTCCCCGTCGCCGCCGCGCCGCCACCGGCCCGCTCCTTCCTCTCCTCCGCCCTTTCCCCCACCACCACCACGACCACCTCCACGACGCCCTCGTCGTCCGCCTCGTCAGCTCCTACGCCCCGCCTGCTGGCCGGGTTCGCGGGGCAGCTGCGGCAGCTGCAGGACCTCCTCCACCCACTGCTCCCTTCTCCTGATGATCTCCACGACGAAGACGAGGAGCCGAAGGCCGAGGCTGAGGCCGAAGCTGCGGGGAACCGGTGTCCCTCAGAGGGCGAGCAGGAACAAGAAAACGAAAACGAAAAGGAAGACGAAGAGGAGGAGGAAGAGGAGGAAGAGGAAGAAGAGGAAGGGCGGGCAGCAGATGCCATGATCCGCCGGCTGCTCGTCCATCCCGACCACGCGAGCCAGCAGCTCGTACGCGCGACGCCGTCTCTTCATTATTGCAATTGATTGTGCTGATTGGTGGTGGTGGTGGTGATGGTGGTGGTGGGCGGTACGCACATCCAGGGCCTCCGGGAGGAGCTGGAGGCGGCGAGTGCGGTGGTGGCCAAGCTGCACGCCCGCATTGCGCGGGTCACCTCGTTCGTCCGCTTCATGGTGCGCACCATCCCCCCTGCATGACCACTCGTCTCCGGTCTGCACTGCTCACACTGCAGTGGTGGCTGTGCATGGTGGGCGATGGTGGTGAGCAGGCGCGTCATGGGGTGGTGAGCGAGGCGGCGGCCGGCACCTACGGCTACTTCGCCGCTCTGCCCAACGAGCTGATCCTGTGCATCCTCTCCCACACCGACCCCAAGACTCTCCTCCTCTCCGGTACCCACCTCGCCGGGTGGTTGGCCCGCTCGTCGTTGTCCGTCAACCACGGTCCGCTGACTTTTGCGATGTGTGCGTGTGCCGTGTGTGCCGTGTGTGTCGTGTGTGTCGTGTGCGTCGTGTGTGTCGTGTGCGTCGTGTGTGTCGTGTGCGCAGTGAGCGCGCTCAATCGCACGTGGCGGCAAATGGCCGAGGACAGCAACGTGTGGGGCGTGCTCTACGGCAGGCGGTGGTCCTCCCCCTTCCCCTCCCACGCCGCCATCCCCCGCTCCGCCTCCTTTTACGACATGGACGTCGACGACTACAGTGCGCTCCCTTCCCTCTCTCTGACACGGTGAGGCGGCAGAGAGCAGCCGACGAAGCTAACGCGGGCGGGCGCGCAGATCCGCGAGAGCGCAAGCTGAAGCGCAGGCGCTACGGGTGGATGGAGCGGTTCAAGGAGCGGGCGTGCGTAGACCGGAACTGGCTGAAGCGGGGCTCCTACTCGGTCTGCGTCAAGCGGGCCGAGACGCAGGGCGAGTACACGCGCCTCGCCTGCGCCGACTCTCGCCTCTACCTCGCCCACCGCGCCTACCCGCCGGGCCACGGTTCGTGCCACCACCTCTCTCCCACCTCACCCACCTGCCGCTTCTGACTCAACGTTGGACCCGGCCCATGACAGCGGGGCAGCAGCGGTACTTCTTGAGTCACCACCTGTGGGAGGATCAGGGCGCCTTCACGGACACGACCGGCACCACCATCGCCACGCCCCACCGCGCGGTACTCCCCCCCTTCTCCTCATTGAGCAATCCGTTGTTGAACCACTAACGGTGGCGTGTGTGCCTCGATGCAGGCGATTAACGACATCCAGGCCGACAGCGACCTGGCGATCACCAGTTCCGCCGACGGCACGGCCTTGGCCTGGTACCGTCGCCCCCCCCCCTTCGCTCCACGTCATCGGGCCGTGGCCGTGATGGGTTCACGACGTGCTGACCCGCGCGTGTGCGGCCTGCGATGTAGGGACGTGGGGACGGGGTCCCTGCTGCACCAGGTGGCCCGGTACGAGGGCGAGATCGTGCAGGCCCGCCTGGCTTCGCTCACCACCCTCGTCACCGCCTCTGGTACCTACGCCACCCCGGGCAATTGACCCAGCCACCCTTCTCGTTGTCTGCGCTGATCCGTGCCCTTCTTTTGGGCTCTCGCGTGTACCAGACCGCTCGGTGGGCTTATGGGACGTGCGCAAGGGCGAACGCACCGCTGACATCGAGCACGCGCGTCGGGTCTGCTGCATCGGCGTCAACAGCGACGACGATTCCCCCATCGGTAGGTCCCTCCTCCCCCTTTAACATGGGTGCCGGTGGCGCACGGCTGTCTCATGTGGGCCATTGCAACGGCCGTGCAGTGAGCGGGTCGTTGGACGGGGTCGTGCGGGTGTGGGACCGCCGCAAGCTGGACACCCCGGTGGCCGTGCTGCAGGCCGGCGGTGTACCCACCGCTCTCCACCTCCACGAGCAAGTACGTCCCGCCCGCCCCCGCCCGCCTATTCGCCTACTTCCCCTCACCATCGCCATACATGGTGGGTCGGTTGGCCGGGGGGCGTAAAGGGGCTGCTGGTGGCGGGCAACCACTACGAGGGCCACGTGCCACACTCGCGATCGGCGGCCTACCTGCAGCGATGGAAGGGCGACCAGCTCGTGTTCGCCGATAGCCTCCGCAAGCCCATCTGGCGCCTCGCTGCCGACCACTCCCGCGTCCGTACGCTGCCCCTCCTCCTTTCCCCCCCCCATAAAGACGGCACGTCTCACACGTGACCGGGTGTCGTGCAGTGGTGGCGCAGGGCGGCACAGTGGCGTGCTTGGACATCGCGTCGCCAGGTGTGCTCGCCACACACGAGTCGGGGTACGCCGACGTGGAGAGCCTCCTCATCGATCCCACCCGCTTGCGTACCCCCCCCCCGAGCGTTGACGCGTTGCTTTGCTATTTGCTGTTTTTGCTGTTTTTGCGCTGTTTGCGCTAAGCTCATGGTGTGCGGCGGGCGGTGGTCAGTGGTGGTAGGGGACGGGGAGCTGGCCATCCACGACTTCTCCGGCCGTTCGCTGGAGGCCTCCTTTGGCTACCGCGAGCTTCGTGGCGTTCGCGTAACCTAAATTTCTTACCTTTTTTAGTACTGGCGTGTGATGTTCGCTCGCAACAAAACAGCTTTGCACGCAAACACACAACATAACACAACTAAACAAGACCGGGCGCGTTACAACTTTGAAGAAAAGGTCTGTTCTGTTGAGTTCTGCGCCGAAGATGAGAGTCAAGAGGCTGGGGATGACGGTGCTGGCGGGGTGCATTCTACTCTTTGGCGCCCTCAACGTGGTCCTGGTGCTCCAGGTCCACGTCTCGACGCTGGAGGCCGATATGAAGGAAGCAGCGGCGGACTGGCCGCTCAGCGCCCTCCACTCCCTCTACTTCACCTCGGCCCGCTCCCTCCTCCCCTTCGCCGAGTCCAACTCGTTTCTCATCAGCCCCGGGGCCTCGACGAGCGAAGAGGAGCAGGCCCCGGGGCTGACCGAAGATGATGAGGAAGACGATGCGGGTGAGGCACCGCAAGAACCGATACAAGAACCGGTGCGCCTCGAGTGGCAGCTGCAGTCCGACCTGGAAGAGGATGACCGCCAGGCGCTGCAAGTTGAGGGCGACTTGGAGGGAGAACCTGAAGGAGGAGAAGGAGAAGGAGAAGAAGGGGAGCTCGATGCCGCGGACGAGCCCCGAGTAGTGCAGGAGGCTGCTGGTGGTGCAGGTACTGCTGCTCAGCACGCCATGAGCTGTTCACTTGGGATTGTTGGGTGAGCGCTGATGGCTGATATTCTTCGCGTACAGTAGCAGCAGAAGAAGCGCTGGCCGCAGCTGTTAGCGCGCAGCAGGCCGTCAAGTTGAGAGAGAGGACGTTCAGCAGGCGCGTCAATGAGCGAAAAAAGGCAGCCGTGGCCCCCGCGCTGGGCACAACAGGCAGCGGCACCAGCGGTGCAGGCAGAGGCAAGGGCCGCGGGGGCGCCGCCCCACCACCCCCGCCGCCGGCACCGGTCGCAGTGCGCAAGGGCCAGATGCAGAACAAGAAGAAGAGGCCTAGGCCATGACCTGTGGGCCTGGAGGCTCGGGCGTGTCATAAATTATTTATTATTTATTGCACAGCTGCGGCGTCGGTGGTGAAACGCAAAAATGGGGGTGACGGCCAGCAGAGAAGAGGGCGGGAGGGGGAAGGAGCACTTGGCCACTTGGTCTCTTCGCGGAGGAGCGAAGAACGAAGCGAAAGCGAGAGCGAGAGCGGGGCCTAGTTGAGGGCGACGTAGTTCTTGGGGAACTTGCCCGACCGCGATCCGATCTGGCCGCTCCACCAGTTGCCCGCCTGGGTGCTGATGGCGATGACCTCGCCCTTCCTGAATGACAGATCGCCCGCCTGCTGCGCGTTGTAGTCATACAGGGCGGTCGCGGTGGGACCGGCGGCGGCCGGCGGCGGCATGCCCATCGGCGGGCGAGGGGGGCCGCCAGGGGGCGGGCCTCGCGGGGGACCGCCAGGCGGCATTCCCATCGGTGGTCGCGGTCCGCCCATTGGCATGCCTCCCATGGGAGGGCCACCAGGGGCTGGCGCACCCAGAAAGAGGAAAGAGAGAGAGAGAAGAGAGTCGCGGTCAGTCGCCCGTTCACTCACACCTCGAGCGGTAAAAAGAAGAGGAAGAGAGATGCGTACGGGGTCCGCCGACTGGCGGCGAAGCGGTGGGCCGGGTGCCTCGGCCGCCGAGCTTGGGGATGCCGCCGGCGAAGAGACCGCCCATGGGTCCTCCGCCTCCGCCAGGAGGCGTCTTCTCCGTCTCTGCGGTGGTCGATTGCGGTTGGTTGGCTGGCTGGCTGTCTTCGTTGGGGAGGGAGGAGGGGGCAAAGCGTACTGAGGATGGGGGCAGACTTGTCGACAGTGTTGGCCTTCTTGAGGCCGCCCTTGCGGAAGCCCTCGATCGACGACAGCAGCGCGCCGCGGCCGGCCGCTGGCGCGGCGCCGCCCAGCTTGACGGTGGGTGCCGGGGGCGGGGGCGGACCACCTGCACACAGGAGAGGCGTCAGCAAACACTCTCCCACGAAAAAGAACGAACAGCGGCAGCGAGGGGGGGGGATGATGAGATGTCGCCGTACCGGGGGGAGGAGGCGGGCCACCGGCAGGTGGAGGCGGCGGGCC